GCCGGGGGGAGGAGGGAGCGATGGCTAAGGGTGGCGGGCTGGTCCGAGCGAGGACGGGCGGCTGGGCTGTTTGTTACAGTTCAAACTGGAGCCGGCTGCCTCTCGGCATTTGCAGGAGGAGCAGGGATCCGACTCGCAAATTTCGGGGGTGACTTAGGTGTCCGCTACCGTGTCTCCGGCTCGGGGCTCCGCTCGCCATGCCACCGCCGCCGCCAAAGCCGCCGAGCCAACCGAATCTCACCTGATTCCCGCGCTCAGGTACCCATCATCCATATCTATCTCTCATCTCTTCTCTTCTAAACCCAATCCTGGTAGAAAAAAATATTTTAAAAAAAAAAGAAAAAAATGTTTAAAAATTCGTGAATTTTGAAATGACATCTCTCAAAATTTATTTTACGGGAAATTCTTTTTGGCAATCCTGGTAGAACAACTCTGAAAAAAAAGTTTAAAAACTCGTGAATTTTGAACTGACAACTCTCTAAAACTTTCAAAATTTATTTTAAAAGAAATCATTTTCGGATACTTTTCTAGAAAATATTTACACGAAGTGAATTAAGTGAAATTTTTTTTAAAGAACTATCCTAGGTTTTCAACAATAAAAATGCTTGAAAAAATGGGGGGGGGGAATGAAAAAATGGAATGTAATGAAAAGTGAGAATGAAAAAATGTATTTTACAGGAAATTCTTTTTGGCTAGTGTTCTAAAGAAAATTTACACGAGGTGAACTTTATGTGAAAAAACTTTTTAAAGAACTATCTTAGGTTTTTAACACTAAAAATGCTTGAAAAAAATGTATAAAAACCATAGAAACATTAAAATTTCCTTTTTTGAAAATCGTTTTGCGAACCTTTCACTTGCATTAAATAATAAAAAAGTATCCAGAGACAGTTTCCTAAGATGTAAATTTTCAACAGTCTATCTGCGAATAAGTGGAAAGTGCTTGTTATTATAGCGCGGATGCTTGTTTTACTGAAGCGAAAGGAGTTTCCATCGAACGCTCCAAGAATGCATACAGCGTCAATTTAATCTAAAGTAGCATTCACGAGCTCCGTTGCCAGTACTTATTAAAATTAAATTTAAATTTAATTCAACATTCCATTTAAAGCATTCGATTCAATGAAGTTAAACAAATAGTTAAATGGGATCATTCCACCATTTCACACAACGTTCAGTTATAATTACAACACAATTTTTCCGACTACGTTTTCCAAAAACTAGCCAGCATTTTATGGAGGGTAATAATTTGTTTGTTAAACGAAGTTACAATTAAAGTAAATTGTCAGTTTATTTCCCTGGGGAAATGAAAGTTACAAGGAGTGCTTTCGTTCAAAAAGTTATCTCATGAGTGATCCATGATTTTATTTGGCAAACTGCAGAAAAAAAAGTAACAATCAAAATATAGTCTTTGGTTCCTTCATAGATTTCTCAGGGGTGAAGTAATTTTGGAAAGAAAACTAGGCCTTGTCGATTCGCATAGACTCTCAAGCGGCGGGCGACCCTACTCCTTACTGTAAACTGACTCCTTTCAATTAGACACCGCTAATTGGAGGCAACAAGGCTCATAAATAATATGCACCTTTTTTTATTCTTAACATAAATTTATTATATACCCCATATTATTATGATCTCGATTATCTGACCAGCTAGAACTTTTCAATATGTCAGAAGAGTTTGAATTATTGTCTGTATTTTGCCGTGTGCGAAAAAGAGAGAAAGGTCCTTTTAAATAATGATGGGTGTAACTATTTCTTCTATTATCATAATTTTAATAGTTTATCAAAAATGTTGATTTTGTAATTCAATGAAATCTGTTTTGGTTTAAAATATTAGTAATCCCCTTAAACTTACCAAATATAGAGTCGAATTTTTTACAAGTAACCAAGGTTCAAGACGTTCAGCAAATCCACCCAACTGAACCGTGCTCTTTGGACGCGATTCAAATTTCAGGTTTTAAATATAATTCAGTTTTCATGGTTCCTGTGGACATAATATGTAGAACAGCCACTAAGAATGCAAGGATGTCGGTACCTACGTTGTTTTTCCTCCAACCGCTCGAACGAAGACTTCCCAGTAACCACACCCTGTTGCGCACTCGGAACCTGGTCTCATGACGCTGGGCCTTTTTTGCCCTTATTCTCATTCATAAGCATGATAATTTTAGCTCTTGCGGGTAGAAATAGTTGCTCTCACGGAGATCCACCTTACTCGTGCTTCATGTTCTTATCATACTCTATAGTATAAAATCATAAGCATATCGAGTTAAGATCGGAGGCGCGAAGCGCTTCGGGAGGTTGGACCGCGCAGCGGTCAGGGAACGTAACCCCTAACTCGGGTTAAAAAAGCGGATGCATTTTGGCTGGTTGTAAAGGTTTGGTCAGAAGGCTTTTAAGTTCTGAACGGTTAGATTTCAAAATATTATTCCCAAGGTATGTACGGTGGGCATTCCATTGATTTATTATAATATATTTTTAAGAACTTTGAAATTGTTTATTTCTACAATGGGCTGCTGCTTTAATGATCTCACACCATTCTAACAAAATGTAATCGTGAGGCGCAAGGCACGAGAGTCTCCGAAATCAAATACTTAGAAGAAATCCATTTTAGCTCATTTGATGACCTGTTTGATGACAAGAGAGTCACGATGATTTTCGATGAGCTGGAGTATATATATTAAAAAAAAAGAAGTACGACTGTCAGTCGAAATCTGGAAAAGTGTCCGTGAGGAACAAGTTAAGACATATAACTAACGTCAAATGAGGAACAATACAAGGTTTTTTTTAAAACCATTTTTAACCATTAATTAGTTTTCTAGGGGTGGGGAGGGCATGCATATAAAATAGGTTTAGCTAAACAGAGGCATTATGAATATTTGAGGCAATTGTGACTTGAATGCTTACTTTGTGCTACAAAAGAAAGTAAAACATATCTTTATACACCTAGGAGATGACAGAGAATATTTAATCGTCGTTTTATCTCTTTTCCCAACATCCATTGTCACAATTATGGCAACCCTGGAGTTGCATAACTTTTAACTCTGTAGTTTAAATACATCCCTAAAGCAGATTAATTCCAACCACGTTCAATGTTAGGAGATTTATTTCGCATGGATGTGTATATTTGTCTGAAAATAAAATGTAGAATAGTTACATCTAAAGGAATTCCAAAATGAGGTCTACTCCATCTTCACCAAAATCTTAAACCGAGTTGATGGTTTGAAAGTTGCGACTGTGTAGCGAACTCTGAAAGCGAGCAAGCAAAGAATGGAACCCCAACGATGCAAATGCCAACTCTGCATCGCAGGGCGCAGACTGTCCTCTTTTGTTTCTTTTAATTGAAAATTCACACCAACCTGTACAAAGATGGGTGCCCGCCTAACCCTCTTCCCTTCAACTGAGTTTAAGGGCATGCATGTACCTAAAGGTCAACATCCTGCACTTGCAATTTTATTTCGAGATTCATTAGTCGCACGTGTGTGTTTTATTTTCAGAGTGTGTAGGTCTAGTAGTGCATGACATTAAAATAGAAATCTCAAAATGCTGTCGATCTCTTGGAGGAGAGCGAATCTCATTGTATACTTGATGATTTCCCTATAATATAGCTTTTAACATTTTATGGACTCAGAGAAAAATCGGCGCTCAAATTTTTCTCAACCAGAACCTATCAGAATTTTGGGAAATTATTCAGAGAAAATAAGTAAATAAAGACTAGAGGTTCCTTGCTGTGATCCCGATTATGAATGAAATTTGATTGCGTGAATGAGCCTGTCAAATGCAAACATATCTGTCTAAATTTCGGCAAAAAGCGGAAATTTATGTAGTTGCCTCGATACTCACACCTGAGTTAGTATGATAATATCTTTCAAGTTTACGCCCTATCTTATTCCATTTGTTCTCTTTTTTGGTAACAATTTATCACTATGATGAATGCACAAACGGCTTTATATATATATCAATAAAACAAAACAACGTTTACGTAAAAGCAGCTTTCACAGAACTCTCTGATGCTCTGCGACGCCTGGACACCTGAGGGTACTATAGAATAGGGTACTGTTGCCGCCTGAAAATAGGGTACTATTCTCTCGAAGGCCATCAGGAAGTATAGATAGTCCCTCATTTCATGTAAAACCGCCTGTCACCTGTTGCCATCCCTTCACTGGGAGAGTACTCTTCGTGTCCTCCCGAGAAAAGCCAAACAAGCATCTTCTTAAGCAGCTTTCTTTAATCCGTCATCCTATTAACATGATCATACCAGACCAGCTGTTCGGTCATGTCGTCAAATACGACGTCATCCTCAGCTTCCATGACCTGACGCACTCTATCATTACGGATCCGATGCCCTCTAGAGACTTCTGCCTCAAATACTGAGGCGTTTAAATACAATGTCAGACCTCAGGAAAGTAATTCTGAAGAAATTTAAACCTGTGTGTACCTTTACAATTTTTATCAAGCATTGTGTCATGTTGGAAATTTTTCCAATTAAGTATAAATAATTCTTTACATCCTCCAATTCTTTGTACTTTGCATCCTCTCGTATTCGTGGTGCTGATTTTTCTTCTCTTTTTGCTGGATTACATGAAATTTGATATGATCATTTTTTACGTTCCGTCATTGACTAAGGCCGAAACGAATGATAATCGAAGCCAAAAGTTTCCAGAAAGCATCCCTGCAACTATCCACTACACTCCTCGTCAGTTTCATCAACACCGCATCACATGCTACACATTTACACACCCTCCCCCACCCTCACTCATCGACGAAATAGATTTGGTTTCACAGTGCGATTTCCTATAAAGTAACAATGGATTCCATTCAACTGACCCGCGGTCCGTAGTACCCGTCCGAAATATTTCGACTCTGTGCGGCTCCAATGTGATTGCGATGCACGGAATCCGCGTTTATGGAAAAAAAACTCAAAAAAACTGTGCTTTCGAATCAACTGTAGCAAGCGCATTTACAAGTTACGGCTAATGAGGCAGTCAGGGTTTAAATTTTGCGATCGTATCTTGTTTCAGTGTAGTAATAATATTCCAATTCGATGTGAACGTATAGTGACCTCTTTTTATTGTATTTTATCATATAGTTTTATAAAAAAAAAACAACCATGAAATCATCAATTAATTTTAAGAGGAAAAGACAAAATATATAAACGGGATGACTAATGAGAAATCTTGCTTACTCATTTGCTGTAAATGAGTTTAAGTGCATTGTGAGCGCTCCGGATCATAAAATGCGGCATCATGAAATGCAAGGTATACATTTCAAAAATGTGCGATTTTTAGAGGAATATAGGTACGCATTTTACCTAAATTGCCCAGAACGATTATGAAATAATACGTGATTTGCCTTGCCATACCCATTTGGTGGCATAATAGAATTGGCGAGTATTTGGTAAGACTGAGAAATTCATCAATCATTGTCGGTGACCCTTGAAAAAATCGTCCTTTTAAGCCAAATATATTACGAATACCTAGGAATTTTTGATCCCATACATATTTCGCCCGACCATATAATAATATACTTGTATATGGATTTCCCATGGACTATTGTTCATATTTTAATCGTCTAAGTACACGTCCATCTGATCTTGCTAAGATTATGCAACCTTGCCTCTCTTCCCTGAAAAAAAATCACTAAAAATGTACTAAATATTCTAGAAGATTATCTCATAGAATTTAAATTTTTAGAGGTCAACCTTGTAAATATAGATGCTTCTGATTCAAAAATCAAATATTTTGTTATATCAAAAAGTCCAAAATTTCAGCAACGGCAAATGCATCCGTGCACTTCTTCCGAAAAATCTGTTTGATAAAGTTGTATCAGTTACCAGTTTGACTTAGTTAATATTGTAGGGATAAAGGAAGACCTCATATTTTGAGGGCTTTTAAACGGCTCAGCGCAGTGATTTAAAAAGTCAGATTTAGAGCAAAGAATAGATAATCTGAATCAGTGAAGACAAACTGAGAGGTTTGGAGGACAAGGCTCATAAGTGCAGTTTTTGAAAAAATTGACATATTAATGAATTCAAGTAAAACTAGTCTTAATGCATATTCCGTGAATTTCCTCCCAAATTCCAATTTTTAAGCATCAATAAGTCAGTATGAACTTTTTCCCCGTCATTAAAGATCTATGTAATTTCGAAACTTTAAACTTTTAACGTATTTCAAACTTCAATTACTGTATTTCACGAAATAGCGAAAACTGTACTAAATCGCCTTTTCCTCCAAGCCCCTCAACTCATATTTCCGCCAAGTTTATTCCCTTCAACGCGAGATTTTAAAGTGAAGAATATGAGAGCGCTCGAGCTCCTGAGCCCATTTCGAGCTTGTTTCGTAAAATCTATTTGTTTCTCTATATGCCGGGAGCAAATTACGATTCATGCAATTGTCAAGTCCACCCAGCTCCGCTTTGTGTGTCTGCGTCGTGCGCGCGTGTATAAGAGCGAGCTTTACAGGTTTATGAAATACGGCCCTCCCAATAATTAAATCACAGGACCTTCTTCCCTAATTACCCAACTGCAGAAGTAACGTGGTCGTTCTTGTTCCATCCTGTTTTGTTCGGTGTGCATCGATCTGTGTTGCCGTTGACGTATTTGAATCTGAGGACTTCCTGGCGTCGAGCAGCTCTCGTCGTAATATTCATGCTCCATTTCGATAGCCTTTTACGATCCTAACACCCAGTGTACCTCTGCTAGTGGCTTCTATGTCTGTATAATGGTGAGGTAGAGGTTCATTGAATCGAAACGGAAAAGAAATTCTACTGCACTGCCAAGGAAAAACGTCGTATGAACCTATAGGCGTTGCCAAATTTCTTACGATAAAACACGAATTTTCTAGTAAAATTATGAATATCTTTCTTCTAATTTTTCAGATAATTTTGTTCGCAATTTCACCTGAAGTCCCTGAAAATGTGAATGAAAGAATATGCATAACTTTCGTTAACAATAAAATTTTTAGCGAGGCAAATTCGGCAACTCTCGAATGTTCATACGGCGTTCTTTCTTAGCACGGCAGTGCAGAAGGCATATGACCGACGGAAATTTACGAACTAGGGTAGGCAATATTATGCATTAAGGTGCAACTCCTAATATGACTATATTGCAAATGGGTGTTTCACAGAAAACAGGGATTTTATTCTTACGTTGCTGAAGAATGGGATCTGTATCGGCTTCACATGCACATCATGGTGAATAAATGAATGTGTTTCAGAGATCATTCACCCCATGCATATTGATCTCCTATCTTACCTTCGGTAGGTTAAGGGGATCATACCTTATGCTGATATTCATTATGTTAAGATCCTGCGCTTATAGACGACCCATTTCTCACGAATTCTAGGCATGATGTTTGTGCACGAGGATGCGACTTTCAAACATTGACCATGATCTGAGGACCAAAAAAAACGAAAAAAAAACAAGGTCATATTTCAAAATCGTGGGTTCTCAGTGCTGAATTTTCAGTGAGGGATGAATTAGTTGGTGCTTTCCTCTTTTTCATAATTCGAAAAATTGAGAACAATTCTCGGTGGGTTAAAAGTTTATTTAAATAATACAAAGCTGGCAAAACAACAACAACAACCCTGTACATAGCTTAGGTTAGATTATTAACTCAAGGAATCTCCACAATTTTATTTGTCTTCAAATTCATTTATTCTAACCACCGTACTTCCGGAAAGCTGACTTTTTCCTTTGATTGAATACTTTACAACCGCAAGCCTCTGGCATTGCGTTTGAAAGCTAAAGAACGAGTCTGTAAATAAGAGGAATTGATACTCTCGTCGTCGGGCAGTAGGACGCAGTGGCGAGGTGTGGTAATCGACTATCGGTAGTATCCCATTTGAAGCTGTGGTAAAGAATCGATTATGAAGGTGTTCGTTGCGAACACCCTGTTTATCGATACTTTCCCATAGGTTTAAATGGCAGATCAATCGATATATCGTAAAGCACGCCACGCCACTGAGTAGGACAGCAGCATAAGGTCTGGATAGGTTGGGAGTATCTGCGTCTAATGGAGATATACTACTCCACCGGTTACTCTTGCACTTAATGCAAAGCTACGATGCGTCAAGTCGTTTGAACTTCATACAGAGGGTTCAGGAGTTTTGGTTCCTAATTCAATCAATAATTAGACTCGTGACCAGTTTTCGAACTTATTAGTTGAGTCTGAGTACGAATCGAGTCTGGCTTGCTCAAAGTTGGTTATTCTAAAAGCTGTCTGAAGTTTCAAACGCTATTTTCTTTATTATTCTTTTTTTTCCTCCAATTTTTTCTTTCTCCCTTGATTCGTGGAAGTAAGGTATTTTTTGAAGTTACTTGCCCTTCGTCCTCCCTTCATATTCTTCATACTCTCACCTCAAGAATATCCACTATCTCTCGTTGAAAATGGATTTGAAATGCATTCGATAGATTAGTAGCAAGAACGATGGTATGGTATCAACATTGAATTTGCTGAGTATTAGAGTAGAGACGATGGATTCTGGAGTATACACAATTATGAGGGATCATAGGCGGATCCAGCAATTTGGCAACACTGTTTTTCTCCATTTAAACCTATGGAAATGTATCGATTCTTAGAGGGGCCAGTTGCCCCGACAAGAATCGATTGTTTAACATAGGTTCAAATGGAGGGAATCCGTTGTTGCCAAATTACTAGATCCGCCCCTGTGAGGGATATAGATGAAGATTTTTAATTTTTATAAAGGTTTTTTTATGCAAGAAACGAGTGAAAGTTTAGGTGATTTGTCTTGGGTACTTGGCGTATTTGAACTGTCATGCGAAATATCATATCAATTAAGTAAAAAATCAACGCAGATTGTTGACGCCCTAACACAACTAAAAATTAAATAAATGAAAACACAAGTTGACATGTGGCTGGCAACTTTGTGATTAAAAAATGTTTATATGTAGTGATTTGTGCGATTGGATTCTTAAGGCTTGGATTATAAGAGTAAGCAAAAAATCATGTATAAAATAGTTCACCGCAAAAAAGAAGAGATAGGGATGTAGGAAAGGAGAGGAGTTATAATAAACGCTTTGTTTTATCGTAAGTTTCAGTGACTCTATATTATGTTTCAGTGAGGCCATGTCGGACCTGGGCGAGGAGGATGGTGAGGGCGAAGAAATAGCGGTGGTGGCAGGAGGTCCTCCTCCTCGGGAAACATGGGCCAAAAAAGTGGAATTTCTTTTGGCTGTAATTGGTTTTGCCGTGGACCTGGGAAACGTTTGGCGTTTCCCTTACATATGCTACCAGAATGGAGGAGGTGAGTTCTAATACATATCCAGGCTTTTGCGGTGACCATTCATTGTAGATTTTATTAACCTGTACAAAATTTCCTCCTGAATTGAAGTTTTTAGGATAAGAAAGCGTTCATTAATTACGTCACGGTTTCTTTTGGCATTTTTACCCCTCCCCCTCCCCCCGTAACGCTTTCGTGACGTTAGTTCCTATCCTTTAACATGATAAAACGAAATGACGTAACGCTCCCCTTGGCCCCCTCTTTCCTCCTAGAACGTTACGTAATTTTAGAACGGCTCCTAATTTTACTTTTCATGATACGGGAGATATTTGATTTGATGGTGATTTGTAAGAAACCGATCAAAGGCATACTATCAGAATTTAGTTATATTTTAATATTGCTGTTAATCTTTGTTTCCTTTGAATTCTAATTAAATTTCAATTTTATGCGCATCATTCAAGTCAAGGAGCTTAAGGTGATTTTTGCACGTATGATTTTTTTCCCTCATAAGACATGTATAAAATTGCAATAAGGTATTAACATTTTTGTAAAATAGGTCCATCAGCAATCATCATTTTTGGAATGAATATCTGAACAGGGAGCTGTTTAATTAATGAGGATTTACTCACTATCCTTAATACTAGTTCCTGCTTGAGCTTCAAAATGTTTGGTTATTCTTATTCACAGGGGCATTTTTGATTCCATACACCTTGATGCTGATCTTTGGTGGATTGCCATTGTTTTACATGGAGCTTGCCTTAGGTCAGTTTCACCGGTGCGGGTGTTTGACAATCTGGAAACGAATTTGTCCAGCTTTGAAAGGTAAGATAACTTTTTTTTTTACGTAAGTCTCTCTGATTCATCAATGTGTGTGTGTAAAAATCTAAGGTTAGTGTTTTTAACTGTGCTGTTTTTCAATAATTCGTGCGTTTGTATGCGTGTTGCATTGTGTCAGTTGGTTGAAATGCAATTTCATACCATCTTTTACGAATATACAATTTTATAATTTTGATTACATGATTTCTGACTCTCGCGAGTCACTGTAAGACATAGGTAATTTTCCAGGCACCTTTTTGTTTGTGCGTATTTTTCGGGAGTTATTCTGGTCGTAAATGGGAGCATGTTTTTCCTCAAATGGAATCGTGGATAATTCTCCACTATTACCAGATGCAGTTGATTTTTTGAAATAAAATCTTTGTAGCATTTTAGACGTTTCATACGCACATCAGCGGGTATTAGTTTACTTTAAAAAAATGACAATACTTCCTCTACCCCAGGGGAACGAGAAAGTAAAAAATTAAAAGTAAAAAAAACAAAAAACAAAAAAAAAACAATTTAGCAGCTTTTGATTTTTGGTTTCTTAGATTTCCGTAAACAGATATAGTCTTTCTGAAAACTTTGAGAATCACGGAATCATCCGGTCACCAAAATTGAAAAGGAGAAAGAAAAAAATTAACAAACCTCCCAAAACTCTCATATATTTAGTAAAAATTCGCTCTAATTAGACTAGTGCTGTCCAAGTAAGCCAAACCAAAAATGAAGCGTGAAAGCAGTCGGCATGAAAGGTGATAAAACTGAAGCAAAGTTGAGCGAGTGAGGCGGTTTGTAACTGAGGAAGCGCGCGTTGTTTGGGATAAACGATGACGGAAGTGACAAAACCTGACGCAGACACTTGTGGAAAATTCGCCTCGTTATAATTTTTGGAGAGGGTCGCGGATTGGGATTCGGGGAGGTTGCAACTCCCGGATCGAGAGACGTGCCAGAATTGGCTCCCAGTGAAAGAGTCACAGATTCGTTGCAGACTTTTTGTCTCGCGCAACTACGCGACGACGCCGCCGACGCTACGGATCTATTCAAGAGGCACGGGAACAGGGAATACTGCCTTGCTGAGGAAGAACGCCGTATGAGTCTTCAGATGTTGCCAAGTTTCCTCCGATAAAAACCGAATTTACCAGGAAAATTGCGAATATTACATTCCACAATTTTCAGACAATTCGTACGCAATTTAATCTAAAATATCTGAAAATTTCAAGGAGAAATATGCATGAATGTTCTCAAAAATACATATTTTATCGAGCAGGGTGTCTACAAGTCCGGAATTTTCGGAAAGTCCGGAAATAGTACTGATTTTTTAATGGCGCACAGTGGATCGAGTCAATAGGAGAGGTCGGACAAAATTTAGAAGCTTTAAACGCTTATAACTCCGTTTATACAAAACTCTAAGGTTCTAAAATTGGTTCCATTGGTTTTCTCGTGAAATTTCACTCAGTTGGCACCCCTTGAAATTTAAAATGTGACGAAATAAACATCAAAATTTGCAGCTTTAGTAAAAAATTTCATGTCCGACCTCTCTGATTGACTCGATCCACTGTGTGGAGGTCCGGAAGTACTAAAAAAGTGCTGAAATTCCGCAAAAAGGTCCGTAGTTTTTTTTTTTTTTAATTTTTTGTCATTTTTATCGCAATTACAAATTTTTGAATTTCGTCAAATGGAGGCACTAAAAAGTACGGAATTTTTCTGTCGGAGGAGGTACTGAATTTCTTGAGAATGTACCGAAAAATTACTGTAAAAGTACTTATTTTTGACCAACCTGTTCAAGTAGACACCCTGTCGAGGGAAATTTGGCAACTCTCGGGGGTTCATACGACGTTCTTCCGTAGGACGGCAGAAGAGGCGTCAATCGCAAAATCAAGGATATGATTGCGGGATGCTTCACAACGTATCACTCATCCTGTAAAGCAGCCCCCCCCCCCCCCGCGCCCCGGCTCCCTGCCCCCCTCCCCCGCGGGCCCGTCCCTCCCCGGCGTGAATATTTGTTTTCGAGACTGTTGCAAATCAATTTAGTTTTCTATTCACTATTCCTGATAAGTTTCCAAATCCGGCCCTTACCGTGCGCCGCCCGGGCCCGCCCATCGTTTCCAGCGCCGTGACTCATTCAATTGCTTCCCCCGACGACCTAATTGTATTACTATTATTATGATTACGACGTTAGATGATTCGGTTATCGCGATGGTAGCATCTCGGCTGCACTTGACACTTGATTCATGTTCCTCCGAGGGGGATTTTCCATACGTCGCGGCAAGGTATGGCACGTCGTGCAAAGGTCACGTCACCGCTGAGTTGGGGAGAACTCCAAAAAAGTAATTTTTCGGACGTTTTTCAAATATTCTCGCTTTAAAGTATGGAGACGTAGGCAAGATTTAAAACGATTTACCATGTTATCATCTATGTCACTTTATTTTACTTAATTTCTCCCTCTCTCTTTTTTTTCTTCTTTTTTTTGCACGAATTATGATGATTTATTTTGATTCTCGTGATATTTCTTTTTTGGTATTTATCTTTCTTTCATATCGCATTTATTGACTTTTTTTTACTTTTACCTTTTTATATTTTTATTTATTTATTAATTTTTTTTGCAAAATATTTGAACCATTCATTGTTTGTTAGTTTGTTGTTTTTTTTTCCTTCCTCAGTTTTGTTTTGTGGTTGGCTTCATAGACTATCTACTTTAAGTCCATGGAAATAGAACACCGATCGTAATTGTCAGAGCGAGGAGGGTTCCTCCATTGATGTAGTAATCTGTCTGCGTTTGAACGCGAAAGCGCTATGCTAAGTTGATGTCAAGGCCTGGATGTACTATTCGGTGACAGCCACGCGTATTGCATGCGTATATAATTGAAGGCGCACTCGTGTTGTACTATAGCGACGCCAAGTATGATTATCGATTTGAATGTCAAAACTGCGCTCTGGCTTGACGATTTTTAACGTTCGTCCGCTCTTTTTCTACTTTTTCTCCTAGAAATAAATAGTTCTATTGGATAAGTCCAGCGATACATTCTCATAAACGTGCATATTAAAGACAATACAGATAGGTGCATAACCTCAGGACCAATCCGTAAATTTGGCTGATTATAAAGCTAAAACAATTGTCTAGTTGATGGTAATGTATATCTGAAAGGAACGGAAAATGATATTAGAAAAACGGGTAAAAATTGTAGATGTTAACTATTTAATTAGGGGTCAAGTATACGCGGCATAGGGGGTATGAGCTGTATCTACTTAAAAAAAAAAACAGCGCTAGGGATTCCCTGAGACTTTCCACTCAATTTTTTCGAAAGTTCCACTGTTGAAAATATTCTGGGCCCAGCATTGACTTGCGTAAAGAAATCATGGTGCCCTGATGAAGAAAAACTACCGCATACACATAGAGCAGGAAGTCAAGATGCAAAGCGAAATAGCAATATCCCCAATGTCTACCTGTTGAGCCGATTAAAACGTTTAGCCCACCATGGGCACTTTAACAAGGATTTAAATCCCGGGCGCTTAAGATTCCCTCGATGATTCTCGCAGCCCTCTTTTAATTTCCACCAGTTGCTTCACTTCAACGGAGGTTGTCAAGTGAATAATAGGTAGAATTAAAATACGCAACAGACCACTTGTTATAATTCTTTTTCCTGGTTAAATATATTTCTCCTCAATCGGAAGGCTAAAACTGGTATAGTATCAAAACTAGCATAATCGAGCTTTGTAAACATTCAAACGCCGACCTGGATAAGCTTCGTTTTAAATATCCCGCCGAGACAATTTTTTATGCATAAATGTTGATCACACCATCGGACCAATTCAGTGACGATTCTATAATAGTTTTGTTCTCTCAAGTATCAGTCTAGAATTGAAGAAGACACAAAGCTTGATAGTTCCGAAAAAAAGGCGATACCGTTCAACGCAGTTTCGTAAGTCGCAATAGCGTGCCCTTATTAGCCAAGGCATGATTTCATTTTTCCCCGGCTGAAATCGATCACCAATCCTGAGTCGTTATCCGTGTCTGTAGAGGAGCAGAAGTCTCTTGATTTGGCCAATCTCGTCGGTAGTTTCTTCCCGATTCCATTCGTTTTCTTCTCTCGCTCCAAATTCTCACGAACCTCGGAGAAAGAAAAGAGGAATACAGATCAGTCGTTTTATCACACGATTCTTCATTTTTCAATTATGACAGGAAAAGCAAAGAAAGCGCAACATTTTGAATGGGTAAGTTGATTGTGTCACGAGCGGAATGAATTGTGTTTTAATGGTAGAATCATGTAGAATCACAGAAGTGAAGGGAATCTCGCTAAAACCTAAAAATGTTCATATGTATGAAATTAATGCTGAATTATAGCCACTAGAAGAAATTTGGCAACATGGAACTATCCATAAGCGCTTCTTAGCAGCAGGCTGCCTATTCCGTTCTGAAAGAGATAAAGAGCCGAGAAAGTTTCATCAATCGAAGTCGTGAAAATAGCGTGTAAAAATTCAGGATTGAGGCGCCTTCAATTCGAGTGATACTTCCAGCTTTGCCGGAGAGTTAGTTTAGTTGCGTGACCTAACTTGACCCAACCTGACTAAGTTGCGATCGGTTCCCGAGCTTCGTGACCGATCAAATGAATAAAGCCGCGGCATATTCAACAACGGCATATCCAACGTTCTGGAATATTTGTATTTTTTTGCACAAGGAAACTCATCAAATTCTTTCCCTCGAAGTCTTTCGTAAATTTCTGTCACTTTGCAAGCTCGAAAGGGAAAAGCTATCTCTGCTCCTGTTGGCTCGCTTTTTGTCAAAATCGGGAGCAGGGGGTATTTTTTGACAGGAAATTCGAATTCGTAGTCATATTTCCAAAATTAAAACATCCACGATGTCAAACGCTGCCTAGAATGGCATATTGGCTACTGTTGGATCGAATTTCATGAAATTCGGTAACAGAGAGTATTTTTTGACGGTAAACTCGAATATTCAGTCAAATTCTAGAAAACCCAAAATTCAAGAAAGTGGACGTGGCCTAAAGTGCAATATTGCCCTTTCCAAAAGGATATATTCTTTGCAATCAAGATATGTAAATTATTTTGTAGTAATTTTCAAAATAAATTAATTCGCAGGTAATATAAACCTTGATATAGGATGCTTTTTGGCACTGATGTGTTTCTCAATTTTATGAGCATTTTTATTCATTTATGTTGCCCTTCTCAATTTTTCACTTGCCGTCGTTAAGTTTGCCCTCTCCGTTACCTATATATCTCTGTTACTACTCTAGAATACTTTTTGAGATGCCTGTTAAGACGATGAGCCTTAGGTCTATGGTGTAAGTAACTTCAACTTTACATTTTTATTTCAGTTGAATGACTTTTTGTGAACTCTTTATTTGCATTCTGAGACGGAAATTTTGTTTCGCAAGTCATAGCAGTCGTTCAAGATAAGATTTGAAAGGATCCAAAGTTTGAAAATCGAATAAAAATTGGAGATTGTTCAAGATTAAGATTTGAAAAATTTCTAATAATCCATTCAGTAGAAGAGACTCGCATGAGAGGAGGTAGAGGCAATATCGACGGAGAAACTACCAGGAAACGTATCTCGTTTGCGGTGTTTAAAAATTTCCGCTCCCATTTTATTTTATTTTTTTTGAGAGGGAACAAATCAATATCATTTCTTGAAATTCTCACAGAGTTTTCTTTGCCTAAAAAGGATAAAACACGGACGTCTTCAAGAATTGACGTTGAGTAGTTTTCCATTTAGAAATTAAAGTATGACAGGAAGTCTACAACGTCGCCAACCGAGATACGTGGTCTGGTAGTTTCGATATGTGCAATGAATGGCTTCGGCCTCTGATAAAAAAGAGCGGTGCGGGTCGGACGTGAAAGGCCAAGAGATTTGAATAAAGCACAACTCCACAGCAGCATTTCACGCTAAGCCGCCGCTAAAGTCAAGACCATAGCCACCTGGCCGCAGCTCGAATCAATTCAACCCCCGGGACATCGACTTTGAAATGTCATAATTTCCCGCAAGACTTGGCAGCGGCGAGAAGACGTAAAGCTTCCCGGGGGGAGGGGGCACAACCTCACACTTGATCATTTTCCAGCGATACTTGATTCCAGCTCATAAACAAATAACCCGAGTTCCTTGTGTTTGCTTAGTTTTTGAATAGAAACTTGAAATGATTTCCTTTCCCGCTACTCGCCGATATTGAATCTGCGATCGGACTTAGGAATAATTTCCAATAGCGCGTGCAAGAGATACTCTGAACTCGCTCCCCTCCTCAAGATTGCGCTCTATCCTCGATTTCCATGAGAATCTCCTTGGTTTTCAAGTTGCGGCCACGCCCTGCCGTAACCCCCCCCCCTCCCATCGGTACCCAGACTAAAACCCCCCTCATCGCATCGTTGACAGGTGATATTCCAGAAATATTTTAAAATATTCCTCCGGAATTGAAGTGTCATACTGACAATAGGACTGGCTCCACAAATTTTACTACTGTGCTCTACCACTGCGAGGGGTGTCTCAGGGTCAGGGTTAAACAGCCGTATTACAGGATCGTCTTCTATGCTGCCACGCTAAGGAAAAACGCAGTATGAACATTTGAGAGTTGCCAAATTTCCTTCGATTAAATGTTTATTCTTGAGAAAAATTATGGATATTGTAACAAGGTGGAGGAATGGTGTCGCGTCCACACCATTTCGCGGGAAAATCATTAGGTGAATTTGGCCCCTAAAAAATCTTCAATGGCCCCTAAAAATCAAGCTTGATGCACCACATGGCTCCTGAAACTCGAAGGGGGGTTCCGAACACTGATAAAGTCCCATGAAATACCCTTGCGACGAACATCATCTGCAATTAAACGTTCATCGAACTGGGCGGCGGGCACCGAGGAACAAAAGTTCAGGTTTAAAGTTACAGGGCTCCATTATGAAGCAGAGTGTTTGGGTGTACGCTCATGAATCCGTCGTTGGGTCGCTTTGAGAGATAGATAACAATAAATTAAAAGACAGATTCCTCTATGGAGGAGAAGATGGTCAAAGGTAAATATTGGTCGAGCTCAATTCATGAGAAACTAAACGGTCCTCGAATCGAGGCGAACCCCACCTCTCCCACCATCGGCAAGGGACATTGTTTACACGAGCAATGAAATGAGTAAATCTTCATCATCCCCTCTGCCCTTAGCCACGGCACGAATCGTCAAGTTCTTACTTCTCAATTAACATACTTCCAATTATTTTACCGCGGGTTTTGCCTCGAGTTCAACCTTTCCAGAGATCGCAGTCAATATTGCCCTCGCGCTTTCTCTTCGGTGCTTCATACCTTTTTTTCATTCGCAACCCTTTATTAGACCATTAGACAGGGCTATTTATTGAAAAAATACAAGAAAATCCTTTCATTATAGTTCATACAGTGATGATGAGAATTTTCACAATTCAGGCATGAGCGAGAGACAGTCGTTTCCTAGAGGCAATAAATGTAAGCCCCTCACTTCTCTAAAAATAACAAAGTCAAAGCATGGGCTAAATGAACTAAGCATTGAGAACTAATTTGATTTTAACAAATTGAATGGCTCGTTTTGAAAAGTGCTTGGCTTAGAAAAAAAATGCCTGAAAATGAAAAAGAAAAAACTAAGTTCAACTGATAACTTTTAGCGGATGGAAAATGTTTTCCGGCGCATGCTATTCATTCCGCAAATATAGCGTTGCATCCAAAAATATGAAACTTTTCGGTACTTGAATGGTCTAGTTTGAACGTTCTGAAATCATGGAGTTGAGCTTTATTAAAAACAAACAAAATCCGTACCTATATTTTCAATAAAATATGAAAAAAAGCTTCGCGCGACCCAAAAAAACATTTTACCGCTATGAGACGGAATTTCAATTTCTCCCGGGTTGAGCATTTATCGAAGCAAGGCATTCAATTACAGTCAAGATATCAGTTAATGACATTCTCAAGTCAAAAGAATAGAATTTCTGGTGACTTTCCGAGGCAGGCTATTGGCTGCAAATAGAGATCGTAACTCTCCCCCCTCCCCCTCCTCATTCTCTCGCTGGTCGCTCTTTATGTTCAGGAAGTGAACGTATTTTCACATTTTTTTTTTTTTTGTCTGTACAACAACTGTTCATTTGAAACATTAGAGGCTATCTGTCGTCCTTTCTTCGATCTTTCAATCGAGCGATCAAAATAGCAATGCACTGGCTTTGTTTTCAGGGGTTGGCTACGCAATTTGCCTGATGGACGTGTACATGGGGATGTATTACAACACAATCATAGGCTGGGCTGTCTACTATCTATTTGCCTCTTTTACATCAGAACTACCATGGACTAGCTGTAATAATTCATGGAACACAGAGTTTTGCACCCCCGTCACCTCAAATAATACGAACGAAACGTCTGTCAGTCCAGCAAAGGAATTTTTCGAGTAAGTTTTTCTCATTTTCTAATTGGGTATTTATTTTCTTCACTTATAAAGCAAGGAAATGTTGTAAGGCCAACAAACATGCACTTTTAATTAAATTGATTATAAAGTTTGATTAAAATAAACAAGAGTAAGAGTTTAGAGGTTTGGATCAGGATTTACCTACCGGTGCACAAAGTTGAACGCTTCTGTAAGTAATATGCGCACGCGATTAACCTTCAGAAGGCAATAAAATTAAAATAATCAAAAGGAACTCGAAGCCAGTGTTCGAGAATCATAGGCGCCAACGCGCCAAATGCGCCTAAAAAATCGGCTATGGCGCCTAAAAAGTGAAGGCTCTGCGCCAACGTGGCCCCTGAAAATTGCCCCTTAAAAATCTGAATTTTCATATCAGGTGATTATTCGGAATTTTCAGCTCTACAAAGGAGAGCTTTTTCAATTCTTCGCGATTTCATCCTTGGTGCTTTTGTCTTCCCCAAGTTACAGCTACTTACTAGTTCTGTTGCGAAACCATCTTGTGTCTAACTTTTCACTAAATGCGCCGTAACATATAGGCAAAAAGTCAATTTGGCCCCTAAAAAATCTTCAATGGCGCCTAAAAATCGGGCTTGATGTGCCAAATGGCTCCTAAAACTCAAAGGTGAGTTTCGAACACTGCCGAAGCTATCGCAAGATTGCCATCAAATGGAATAATTGATTAAATTACATTTTTCAGACGCAGTGTGCTTGAAGTGCAACGGTCAGATGGAATGGATCGACTCGGAGCTATCAAATCATCTTTAGCTGTTTGTGTGTTCGCCGTTTTTCTCCTTGTGTACTTCTCCATTTGGAAGGGCGTGCGTAGTGCTGGAAAGGTAATCGAATCAAATTTTGATTGAAATGAGCCCTCATAGGCTTTTCATTTAAATCGGCATGCTAAATGAAAGACAATTACCTACTTTTTGTTGGCTTATTGACTCTTATTTTGGCATTACCGTTATCGCTTACTTTTTCTTCTTCTCCATCTGCTTCTTTCTCATTTCTTCCTCTCGGTCGACCTCTATTCCCTACCTAAAAATAAGGAGAAAACATGAGTGTCTGAGGGGCTATAGGGAGCAAATCAGTGATTAGCAAACTGCTAGGTTGACATTGGCACCCTTATGAAACAGAGCTGCCGTGGTATCGAAGAAAGCATCAAGTTCGTCTAATCTCTTTTAAATGAAACCACTGAAATAGTTAAAACAGCAAAATTTATTTTAATAGCTCATAAACGAGGTATATGAGAAAGCCATAAGTGCGCAAGAAATTACGGAGTTTCAGGCAAGACAGCAGTAGGTGACATTATACTTCTGGAGAGCCAATGAAAACAGTGCTTCCAAGGGAAGTGCCACCCTCCTCTGCCAGTTTCTAACCTGAGGATGTATTTTTTGTGTGTTCAAAATGCAACTACGAAAGCATGCAGAAAAAAGCACTTACGGCTGTCTTGCCTGACAATAGTCTGGCATGAATTTGAAAAATGCCCGTTTCATGTGATCGAAATGAAATCGGTTGATTTTTAATCATCCAAACGATTTCAAAGAGTCTTTTGGGTGATCAGTGGCGATTTGACAAAAAATGGAGGCCATATAATTTTTCAGTGAGACGCTTCTGAGCCCGTCCTCTCAAAACTTCACTTTTGCACTTATTGCTCTCTTCGCTATCACGGCAGAAAGGGTCTCGAGCTTTGAAGTTCCTTCCATAGGAAATGATAAAATTACGACAGTCTTTTCGATAAATTTTGGATTCCGGGTATTACTGGACTATCAGAATCGCCGATTTAGGACAGAAATGGCAGATTTATGTGCGCTCTCAAGGAACGCGGTGATTTTTCGTAGTAGGTACTGCAGAATCTTACCCCGAGCAACTATTTCGACTCTCTTGGGGATCGAATTTCATATCCAACAAAATGAAGAAACTTCGAGAGCTCAACAATTCTTGCTTTAGCAGTCCACTTAATAATGGCGCCGCACCGATGCGGAAGTTTGTTTTGACCCCGGACAACTATTTTCACTCTCCGAAAATCAAACTGCATGTTCAACAAGACTTCAATTGGGTTTGATGACTCGTGGCCTTGTAGACGAAGATTCTTTTCCAAATTTGCGTTTTCACGCCCTTTTTCCGCTGCATTTACGATTCTTTTAATTATTTTCCATCTTTTTAATTATCTGTTTCATTCTCTAGGTATTCTTTCCCCCTCTTTTCGACCTCTCCTTGAATCCCCTTTACCTTCTCTTTTTGATACTCGTTCTTTATTTATGTCAGAACCTGTTTTAATTTAAATATGTTAGCATCATGGCACGTCATACAGTTTACTTGTCCAATCAGTCATCCGTGGCTTGCGGAACCATGCAACATGCAACAGCACAGTGTCAGTTCGGCTTATATCGATGGTGAAACTACCAAACCGCGTATCTTTTTTGCGGTGTTTAAAAATCTTCACTTCTATTTCATTTTTTGAAAAGAGAACAAATCAACACCATTATTCGAAGTTTTTCCAGAATTTGCCTCGCACGAAGATAGAAAATCGCGCAAGTTTTCAATATTTGACGTTGCGGAGTTCTCCATTTAAAAAATAAAGTATGACAGGAAGTCTGCAACGTCGCAAACCGAGATACGTGGTTTGGAAGTTTTACCGTCGATATGTTTCTGTGTTTCATGCCGTCGCACAGTGGATCGAGTCGAACACAGAGGTCGGACATGAATTTTTTGACTAAAACTGCAGATTTTGATGTTTAATGTTTCCTGTTTTAAATTTTAAGGGGTTCTTCCAGAGGAAAATTTCACGAGGACACCAATGGAACCACTTTCAAAATCTCAAAGTTTTGATTTAACGGAGTTATAAGCGTTTAAAGTTTCCAAATTTTGTCCGACCTCCTCCATTGATTCGATCCTTTGTGCGTCGTGGAGAAATCTAGAATACTAGTTGAGATTTTTCATCCCTTTATACCCCAACAATCTTTTGGAAATTACCTGGCATTACAATCATTAGGATTCGAAAAGACATCTGGTTTTCCTGGAATAAACTCGATCACGAGTCATTAATTTGCAACAATTTTTCAATGTAGAAAGTCAAAGGGCGTCAAGTATTTAAAGGCGAGACAAGGCGATGGGTTAAACTGAGAGATAAATTGACTCCGGATAAAAATACCAAGATCCTCATTTCGCACGAGCAAAGAGTGGAAGCTGAGAATAAAAGAAAACTACTGGGGAGGGGTAGTCCAAGTGGTTTGGATTAGACTTAATAAAATAAGTCTGAAACGTATCTCAGTTTCAGCAGGGGGACGACGCGATGCGAGGCGGCCGGCTTTTTCACAGCTTCGCCAAGTATACTGCCGTGCTAAGGAAAAACGCCGTATGAAACTTCGGGCGTTGCCAAATTTCCTTTCATAAAACGCGAATTTTCTGGTGAATTTATGAATATTTTCCTCCCAATTTTTCAGATAATTTAGTTCGCAATTGTACCTACAGATTCTGAAAATTTAAAGTAAAAATGTTCATATAACTTTCCTAAAAAATAAACATTTTATCGAGGGAAATTTGGCAACTCTCGAATGTTCATACGGCGTTTTTCCTTAGTGCGGCAGTATATACAACACTCGAAGAAAAAAATCGGAGATTCCCTGTCTCATTTGACAACTGCAGCCTTAATATACCCCTTATGTTACTGCCTCAGTTAAGTGTGGTTTTAATAACGGACGATGAAGAATCAAACCTTCAAAATCCGTGTAACTCGTTTACAGTTATATCACCAGAGGCAGTTAATATCTCTTTTTCTATCTCGCCGTCCCTCTTTTCTGCTCTTTTTCAGGTTCTATTTCTAGTAAAAAGGTGCTTACTTACCTGAAGAAAATTCCGATTTTCTGAATGTTTGATTTTTTGACAAACGCTGCACGGAAAAAATTAAATTGCTGATTTAACATTTAAATTGCTTAAAAAAAGTGACTGTAATATTTCAACGTAGATTTCACATCAAAAAAATGCTACTTTAACCACTATTGTAAGCTAATTTAACCACGAGGGTGGTTAAAGTAGCATTTTTGTGTTGTCAAATCTACGTTGAAATATTGCAGTCACTTTTTTTTTTAGCAATTTTGAATTGTTGAATCAGCAATTTAATTTTTTCCGTGTGGCGTGAAATGCGATATACCGATTGTTATGCCATATAAATCTATGGAAAAGAATCGATAATCAGGGTGTTTGCAGCGAACACCGTAATAATCGATTCTTTACCATAGGGTTAAATGGCAGAACAATTGATATATCGCAAATCACGCCACGCCACGGAATCTTATCTACAGAGTATTCAAGTGGAAGTATGCCTTACCTAGGAAAAAAAACACGGGAGGAAGAAAAATGTAGAGGAAAGAGAATATTAAGAACTATGAAGTGTCTTCATCTCAAGAAGACTTCAAAAATCCTGGAAATTAGGAGTTCTAGAGAAGCTTGGCTTTCATCACGAAGCTTTTGCTCTCTCATGCAGGGTTGTCGGATACCGGAATGGATTTGAAACTTGCACGAACTGCCCATTGTACGCACGATTCGGGAACAATGAGCTTGGAATCATTTCCCAGGCCAATTGTAACGAGTGCCACGTTCATCCTTCATCTCCCCGTTAATTTCGGATCGGAGCACTTCGGAATCCCTTTGATCTAATTCCCTTGGCCAATCATCCCCCGCTCGGCTGATTGGTGGCGCTCCGGTGAAAATTGGCATCGCGAGATATCACCTGGCTATTCTTCCAATCTGAGTCATTTAAATATTTTCAAGGGGCTATGGCTTTGTTAACGGGAGTATTTATCCTCCATCACCCCAATGAGCCTTGTGTAAATATACAGCTATAAATTAACACAAAAATCTCAACTATTCGAAACTATTCGAATCGATTAGATCTCGCTCATGAATAAAAAAATACATGGAACAGAAAGTTCTTATTTTTTGTCATAAAATTTGAATCCGAAGTCAAAACACACCCTTCCTATTTGAAATATGTGGGACACCAGGGCCGGATTAAGAGGGTGGCCCATGGCGGTAAATTTAGGGGGCGGCAAATTTTACAATTTCCTTAAATGTAGGTATGAAAAGTATCGGATTCAGAAAAAAAAAATATCAATGAGAAAAGGGGACAAAATTTCTCTTTCCTGAGAGTATAGTAATTTCTAATTTTGTCGTTTTTTGGTGATACAAGAGACAGCATCTTTAATTAGTCGAGTTAAGAGAGTATGAGGAACTAAACACGCAATTTGGCCTGGAGCTTAGCGCAGAGAGGAATGATGATGAGGACTTGAGATGAAAAGGACAAGCCTTCGGCGCGGCGGTCGGCACGTAACACATATTAGCGCCTACAAGACTGCATGAATACTTCACGAATTGCGCCAAAGACAGTGCGGTCAGGAGCGGTTGGCGTAAAACGCATAGCGCCTACAAAACTGCAGGAATACTTCACGCATTGCGCCAAACACAGTGCGATCAGCGCAGCGCAGCGGCGGAGGTTAAAATTATTATACAACATTTATGTTTGTTCTTTCATAATTTTTTTGTTCATTTCTTATAAATGGAGAAGTAAAGTTCCATGAAATTTTGCTAGTTGTGTTGACAGAGCTTTCGCAAAAAATGTATTCAACACGAGTAGGTGAACGCGTCTTATGCACCCCTCCCCCTCCGGCACGTTCACTAGATGGTTTTTTTTGATGTTTCAAAACGAATGAGAAGGGGGCGGCAAAATACCTACAGGCGGCCCATTGGCAGCAAGTATGCAAAAATCCGGCCCTTAGAGACACGGTGGATAACCCCCCCACCCATGGGTTCACGGGGAGCTGAAAATATTTTTGAGCCCCAATTGAATAAATTGGGAAATTGAATGAATCCCAAGGAGTTCAACAACCTTTACAATTTTTCGTCCCGAAGCTCGAATTTCGGCCGTTTCCGAGAAAAGATAGTAGATGGGTGGTCTGGAACACCTGGTAGAGTATAATTTTATCAACCCATATTCAAAATAAAATATAATTATATCTCATTCCTCTAAACCGTAAATAAAATATTGAGGTACAATACGTTTGACCTGTTCAGACAATGGCTCATATTCGCAATAATATAATTTAAAATCGGAGCTCAAATCTGTTGCGAGAGGAACTTTGCAGCTTGAGGGCTACGCTCCCCTCGTTCAACTGCACACAATCTCTTATAATCCCTCAAAAACGGGGCGGAATGATACGAGGATTCAAGGATTACATCTGATATAACGATGAAACAATGCCGTGGATATCCGACCGCACTGTGTAAAGATTTCTAATATCCATGCAAATAGCGTCGCTGATCGGAGAGCCTTTGCAGTTTGCACGGCCCAATTATCAATAGGTTTCGTTTTGTCTAGATATTAGCAGAAGGTTAGCTTGAATCGATTGACTTTTTAGCCGCTCTATTAACCAATTCCTGCTGAGAGAAATTTTTCCGAGTATCTAAAGTTCTTTCATCGTGTTCGTATTGTCCTCGCGCCGACCGGCCTATCAGTAAAATTTCACTCACGCGGTCAATTTTGATTACACTACATGATTACATTGTGTAGCATTTTTCATGTGTCCTTTGTTTTCGTGACGTGTTTCGAGGCTTTAAAGTTCATACAAGGATTTTTAGTTTTGACAATCCACCATATTCTCGTATTAATTTTTTTTTAAAAAAACTTTAACGTTCGTGAGAATTTCCTTGCACGGGTTTAGGATGGAAACATCGAGTACGATATTGAGGAAGATAAGCTACTCTGTATTTCATATAAGCCAAAATGGTAAAATGTATCTTGACCATAATACGTGAAAGGGCATAGTTCAATTTTAAGTCGCTTCAACGAGAAAAAAAATTGGTAGAATTTACCATTCCTTCACGCTGTATTTCACACAGCGTCAATTCAGGGTCAATTCTGCCCGAAGAAAGGTTAACGTTACTATATACTGGTACATGTAACTATTCCACGGGCAGAATCGACTTTGAATTCACGCTGCGTAAAATATAGCGTGAAGGAATGGTAAACTCTACCAATCTTTTTTCTCGGAATGCTATTATGGTATGCTGGTGCGTGATACCTACATGTATTTTTGCGAACTTCATGCAATCACGTGATAGTTAGAACTAAACAAGAGAACATTTTTCTGCAGCACTTCGAGGAACAATGAGATCATAATTTGTGAACAAAGAGATATATCAATCCACCGTTGGACGTATTTTTGCTAGAAGGAACTATGTGCATAGGGTTTGCGTGGAACATAGTTCCTTATAGCATAAAATATCCAGTTGTCTGTCACCGACGTCTGACGCCGTCCATCTCAATATTAAAAGAACGCTGTCAGGTGCCGGCATCTGATAGCAGCGGCGCCACGTCGCATCGTCGCCAGCGTGATAAATTTTTTTTTTAATTTATTAATAATAAAATATCTTTTCAGTCCATGATGGTACGACTCAGCTGCAGTTCTAATATCCTGATTTGTAACCTTAACATGAACTTGTCTTTTAACTGATTTTTTTTAACTTAAAATTGATTTTTTTTTCGTTCTCCAACAGGCAGTTCCGTGATAATTGTATTTCTTTTTTTATTTATTAATAATAAAATATCTCTTCAGTCCATGATGGTACGACTCAGCTACAGTTCTAATATTCTGATTTGTAACCTCAACATTTTTTTGCCTTTCAACTGATTTTTTAAACTTAAAATTGATTTTTTTTCATTCACCAACAGGCAGTTTGGGTGACTGCTCTAGCTCCGTATGTTGTTTTATTCATATTGCTGGCACGTGGAGTTTCTTTGCCTGGAGCTGACGAAGGAATTCGTTACTATCTGACACCTCAGTGGCACAAACTATCAAATTCTAAGGTAATACCAGTGGCAAAAATATTTATATTTTTCAGTTGAAACTAGAGCAAGTAACCACGAAGTGCTGCGATAGTTACAGAATGGCAATCAAAGCATCAGATAACTGAAGCAAAGCAGATGATAATAGACGAAGAGAAAAGAAGAAAAATGTTATTCGCTTTGAGTAAAGGAAGCACGCCGTATGAACCTTCAGGCGTTGCCAAATTTCCTTTGAAAAAACACAAATTTCCTGGTTATGAATATTTTTCCTGGGAATTTTCAGAAATTTCAGGTAAAATTGCAAATCGAATTCTTTACGGAGCTGGAAGAAAATTGGAGCTGGAAGAAAATTGTGGATTGTCACAACCTCCCTTGAAAACTGAGTTAAAATTCTGCAACGTCCAATAGCTTAAACTGCGCTAATCTTCATCACGGCAGAGTTGCAATCTTGAGCAATTGACAAGATGCGAGATCGACGTTGATCCAGGCGTCGTGATACAATTATTCGTACTCTATGGATACGCGTGTTGCATATACGAACAATTTAAGGCGTTTTCGTTTTCTTTGCGCTCGGGGTGCGCGGATATGGCTTGCGCTGCGACGACACGTGCGGCACGCAATGCTGCCGTGCTAAGGTAAAAGGCCGTATGAACCTTTAGGCTTTGCCAAATTTCCTTTGATAAAACACGAATTTCCTGGTAAACTTATGAATATTTTCCTCTCAATTTTTCAGATAATTTTGGTCGCAATTTCACCTTATAAGATTATGAAAATTTAAAGGAAAAATATTCATAACTTTCCCAAAAAATAAACATTTTATCGAAGGAAATTTGGCAACTCTCGAATGTTCATACGGCGTTCTTCCTTAGCACGGCAGAATAGCTAAATTGCCAAACCACGCATCTCTGTTGGCGACGTTGCAGACTTCCTGTCTTACTTCATTGTTTCATTGCAGATCTAGTCAATGTAATTTCTTGAAAACATCCTTGATTTTTCTTCGCTAATAGCAGAATATTCCGTACAGATTTCTTCGAGCTATTTAGATGACTTGTTTCTCTTTAAAAATATAAAAAAGGAGCAGAGATTTTGAAACGCCGCGATATAGATACGTGGTTTTTCATTTTGGCCATAGATATGGAACAAATCAAAATAAAACGGAAAACATGGCTTGCTTTTTTTCTATTAACTTCGGTTAAAAAGTTCAGTTATGTTAGAGATGATATTGCGCTATCTTACAATGAAACAATACAATTAGTAAATAGAAAATAAGGGGTAATATATTATTTTTAAACATTTGTTTTAAAGGTATGGATAGACGCTGCATCGCAAATTTTTTTCTCACTCGGCCCCGGCTTCGGAACTCTTTTAGCACTATCCAGTTACAACAAGTTCAACAATAATTGCTATCGGTGAGATATGTTTTGAAGCTATTATGTGCCTATGTGACTATTCTGAGGAATATGTAATACTGTATATGCAATGATGCATATGTGTATCTTATTTTCATCCTTAATTTATCTTTTATTTTTGCTTAGTCAAAATCTGAAATAGAATACACAAGCAAAAGACGACACAGAATGAATTTATAAATTATTTAACAAATCATCAAAATTTGAAAAAAAAAGAGAAGAAAAGTTAATATTTGTTCTCCAAGCATTATCAAAATTGTGCATACTTAGTTACACGGTACCGCACTTGATTTTCTGATACTTGATCACAGGATATTATGTATATTCTTACGCACTGTATTCACTTCTTGCCAATTTTTACGTTTTTGATATCCAGAAAACAAAGCATTTCATGGAAAATTTAACATTTAACATATTTCTCATTTTTATAATCTTTCTCTCTTTTTCAAGATGCGTAAATCCTTGATTATTGTTTTAATTTTTCAGCGATGCAATCATAACTAGCAGTATCAATTGCCTCACCAGCTTCTTGGCTGGTTTTGTGATATTTTCGGTCCTCGGATACATGGCTCATGTGCAGAGGAAAAGCGTTGCGGAAGTTGGTCTCGAAGGTACGATATCTTTCTAACTTTCCCTGAATCTTTCACTCTGCACTCTCCATCGCGAGTTCAAAATTTCGAAGACAAAAGTCAAAATGTCTTCTAAATAGACGAATAAAATCAACAAGTTTCCTGATAAATACATGATGTAAATACATGGACAATGATTTATACTAATTTGGTCTCACACAATTGGTTATTCTGGCATTATATGTGTGTGTCATGAGAATATCTTTAAGTTTTATGACTAAATTAAGAGGCTGCGCCCCCTGGACGCCTTGTTGCAGCCCCTCCCCCACCCGCTTCGTGCCTCTTCTATATGAGAAAAATTTAAATATAAACAATTTCTGATCACACTTCTCACAATATTCGCATCATCCCCCCTTTTTGAATTTTCATACCATGTTTTGATTTGCATCTTGCTAATGCTCAAAGTAAAGCTACGCGTAACTAAGAAGGGGGCGATGTATATAGAGGCCAACTCGATCAAAACTTTGTCCCTGAGATTTACAAATAGTCATTGCAAATGCGAGAGAAAGAGGAAACTGGGTTCGATATGAGTGCAAAAGGCAAGCTGCTACTTTCACATGTATATTTTGAATCGTGGATTTTGATCTAATAAAAGCAACAAGAAAAAAATATATATATCACTGAAATAGCTTGATATTGAAACTTCTGGTTGCAGGGCCTGGTCTTGTTTTCATTGTTTATCCTGAAGCCATAGCCATGATGACTGGATCGGTTTTTTGGTCCATTATATTTTTTTTGATGCTGATTACCCTTGGTAAGTATACTTTTTAACTTCAGTTTTAGAACTTCAAGAGCTTAGCGCAAATATTGTGATACAATTATTTTAACTCCTGTGTAGCTTAAATTGCATACTTTCCAAAATGAAGGAGCACCTCATGTCACGCTGGTATTTTCGTTGGATTGCAAATGTCATATTCTCCTGCTTAAGTTTGTCTGATGGAGCTGAGAGGAAGTGAAGACGAACTAAAAATGAAAAGAAACCTACACGGAAAAAAACTGGACCGATGAAAGCAGCGGGGAGGAAAATAGGACCAAAGAAAAGACGAGTGGACATGGTGAACACTATGCCACCTTGAGTTACCTGGTCGTTTCTCTCGGGTTGCAAAGGTTACATAGAACTGTGATTATTTTATTTCATCAACTAAAACGTGGCATTTTATTCGGGGTTTGGGAGTCCTCTTTTGAATTAAATATTTCCTATTGAATCTACTTTAGGAATAATTAACGAATTAATTTCTAATTTAACAAAAGTTTGTTTTCGCCCTTTCTTCTCCCGTGCTCGAGCCAATCCTTTTTATCTTTCCCCATGTTTACCTTGTATCGTCGCGTCGTATGGTGTATCGAGTCAATCAGAAAGGTCGGACATGAAATTTTTGACTAAACCTGCAAATTACGATGTTTAATTCATCACATTTTAAATTTTAAGGGGTGATTCTCGAAGAAAATTTCACGAGGAAATCAATAGCGCTATTTTTATAATTTCAAAGTTTTGTATGAACGGAGTTGTAAGCGTATTAAGTCTCCAAATCTTGTCCGACATTTCCTATTCACTCGATCCATAGTGCGTCGTGACGCCATTACTCGCTGTGATGTCGAAAGTACAAAATCACTTACTCTAAATTTCCGTGAAATTTCAAAACACTGACTATAATTTGTGTATGTTGCAGGTCTAGATAGTACTTTTGGTGGCCTGGAAGCAATGATTACTGCGCTGTGTGATGAGTATCCAAGATTACTCGGTCGACATCGTGAAATATTTGTTGCACTTTTGTTATGTGCTGTTTACGTATGCGCTCTTCCAACTTGTACTTATGTAAGTGTGGAAACGTGTTTTCTAAACTTTCAGACCTTAAAAATGTGCCCTCTTTAAGCCCTCTTCAAGGGTGAATTCTTAAAGACGTATATTGTAGATGAAGAAAGCAAAAAATGATTGGAACGATATGATGTATTGTTACGAGGAGAGGGGATATTTAACCTAACAAGTGGGTAGAATTTTTTTCGAGGATTGTGGATGTAATGTGTAGTGATCGATCATTGATGAGAAAAAAAAATAAAATTAGAAAAGAGTATCATCCCGAATTTTCCAGAAATCTTCATTACCGATGTCAAGATGAATAAAATACGATTAGAATCACTGCAATGAGGCAAGGCAAGACTGCCTACTAACTTAATGGAGATGTTGCATGTGTGAGGAATTTGCAATTTGACTGTTGATTCTTATGGAATAGTTCGCAAGAAACACAATGGTGCCACTGGTTTCCTCTGAAATCCACTCCGATGCTCAAGAAAAGCTCTCAAGTTGAGGCCAAAATGGAGGGGATATCTCACGCTATCCTAAGAGTCCACCTCTACATCAAGACAAGGGCTGCCACTTTATGTGGGGACTCCAAAACTGAAAAAACGGCAACCCTGCTAATATATTTGCTCCCTATCTTTGCATGGACAGTTTGTCTTGATGTAGGCGTGGACTCTCAGGATAGCGTGGGATAATTGGGATATCCCCTCCATTTTGGCCTCAACTTGAGAGCTTTTTTTGAGCTTGAGAGTTGATTTCAGAGAAAACCAGTGGCACCATCGTGTTTCTCACGAACTTTTACGTAAGAATCAATAGTCAAATTGCAAATTCCTCACACATGCAACATCTCCATTCGGGCCATTGCAGCAGCCCTAGTTTTTCAAGTATGTATGCTTAGGTGTTTTTAAAACCATTTGGTGCACACTTGCTGGTGCTTTGGTAAGTCACCGGTGGAATCATAGCCATGCAAAAAGTTTGGGGTGAAGCGGAAAGAAGAGCACTTGGCTCGTATGAGAGTGCATTGCACATTCAGGAGAAGCACAGGAGGAAAAAAACGTTATGCATTTAAATCTCCAGGAATCAAAAATTAACATTTTTATTCGAGTGAGCGAGTGGTGTTCCTCCTAAATACTTGCAATGAAATTTGGCTACCTCGCAGCGACGCGACAGTCTTCCTTTTATGAAAACCGCACTTCTTGAAAGTATAATAGTGTGAGAGAGTGCAGTTCGCGACGAAATTTAGAATTTCAAATCACAAAATCGCACTCGATTTAATCTTGCCGCGAGGAGTCATTTTATTTTCCGACGGTTCGGCTTCTCACGGCAATCCGCTCTATCTGAGCTCATCTTCAGTGAAGGGCATATTGCAGAACCTATGCTTTCGAATTGAATTTTTTTATATATTTACAAATAAACGCTCCATCTGATAAAACATTGTACAAAATAAATTTCGGAATAGCTTTTTTCAAAGAAAATTCCAAGGCCTTTGGTTCATTTTCAAAACATCTGAGGATGCAGACATATTTTCGGGTGTAAGCATCACAGAATTTTGAGCTGAAAAATGCCGCTGATCTTTGCAAATTCGTTGATTCTTTGAGTCAAAAAGAGACTGTGTGTGTTAAGAGAGTGTCGCAACTAGTTTTTCATTTTCTGAAAGTACGGAGTAAATTTATCTCCTGGGAATTTTTTCGGATTTTTTGTAAAATCCTAGATAGCAAAGAAGCCCCATTTTGAGAATTCCAAAAATGGGACCCATCACCTCGGCTATTGAATTTTGATTTGTAGGATTATTAGCTCTTTCTCCTCTTAAAAGTGATTTTTTGAACTTTTCAATGAATTTTTGGTATCTTCAAGAAATGTTATGTAAGAGAAAATACACTACAACCCTGCGAAAATTCCTAGCCTTTGTGACGCACCCTAACCCAACAGCATATGACGCGACGTCCACTCTCACCTGAATATGTTTTATATTACTTGAACATCTTTTCTCATACCAAGATATTGAATTGAATCTCAGCCCAAGCTGAAATTTCAATTACCATTTTTTAAAATTTAATGGAAAGTAGGCCCAACGAGTAGAAAAAACCTATGGACCATTCTAAGATATTTAGACTTCATTCGGCAACAGAAAACCACTACTTCTGGCTAATCCATGAAAACACTTATCTGTATAGGACAATTAAAGGCACATACGTTGTTTCTAAAATGGCAATAAATAGTGGTTCCTCATTGGAAAATCTTAATTTGTGTGTCAATACGTGAGGGTGTAAGAGCTAATGTCTACTTGTTACATTTCACTTACTTTCCTCCCTTTTTTCTCTTCCCCCCTTTTTTAAGTGTAGAACGTTCTTTTAAATGTTGTAATGGAGGGAAATCTGATAGTTGCGGACAGGGACAGGGAGGTGAAAGAGCACAAATGGACGAAGGGCGCTGGTGAATCGTGTCAGAGAGTGCAAGGACGCCGTCGGCGGCCGTGTTGCGGTACGGGGATTTCCTTAAGGGATAGGGATGCCGGGCGCTTGGTGTTGGGCGGGTGGCGGGGCGGATTTTTGCAGGCGCGGGGCCAGTGGGAAAGGGGTTAGAGCTGAGCGCGGACACGGAGAGAGTGTAGTAAAGGTGTGTAAATTCAGCCATGAAGGAATTTCATCAGATGTAGCGGTGAAAGCCGCGCCGGGAGTTTCTCGGGGGCCCCGAGTTAAATAGAGAAGGTCAATGAATGACAATCAGGTTTAGATTGATGGAACACAAGAATCGTTTTACTGATAACACTCGGCTTCCTTCCTCTCATGCAACATTCATGTTCCTCCCCAATTTTATAAGTTAAATCAATTGTTTTTAATCTCTTTAACTGCGTCTCGCTGTCTCTCTCCCCGTCTCGACTTGGCTCCTTTCTCTCTCCTCCCGGCTGCGGCTCCGCGACGAAATCTTCATTCCATCCCTATCCGGGGCCACACTCAACGCTCCGCTTTATATATAGCTTAATGAAAATTAGGAGCCACTCTCGGACTCTCCGAGCTGGACCCCAGAACACCCTCCCTTTTTTCACCTCACCAAATAACTGATGTGCTCTGTCCGCTACGGGAAATGAAATTCTTCTGCTTCGCTCCGATTCTTCCCAAAATCTCTCGCCATTTTCGCCTTGCCTATCATTTTCTATTCGATAGCACCTCCGCAACTCTATATCAGTAGACGCTTCACTCTCGCTGCAAGTTTCCAATTTTGTAATGCTTACTTAAGCTTCCAATAGGGAACTTGTCCCGAACTTATGGCAAGGTGTTTTTATCAAATATTTATATAGTCTGAATAAACCCGTGTTAATATCAAGTTTTTGCAAACTACGATCGGTAAACCTTACATTATATTTAGAGCAATGGAATTAGGAAACGGCCTTTTCTTCAATTTTTGGGGTACTTTAAATTTTAATACTCCGATGAATGTCGATTAAAAGTCCGAAAAATTCCATTCTGGTAAAAAATAAATAAAAAAATGAAATAAATGAAAAAAAAGTAAATAAATATCGGGTGAGGTAAATACGTTATATTTGAATGGTTAAATTGCTATTTTTGTATTTTTTTTTCAGGGTGGTGTGCACCTAGTAAACCTGTTGAATGTCTTTGGACCCGGATTAGCAATTCTCTTCATTGTATTCGTTGAATCGGCTGGTGTTTGCTGGATTTATGGAGTTGATCGATTCTCAAACGATATAAAATGCATGCTGGGTTTTAGACCTGGATTGTTCTGGCGCATCTGTTGGAGTTATATTAGCCCGTGTTTTCTTCTGGTAACGTTTCTGATGATTCATTATACTGTTTCATACAATGAGGTATTTTTTCACTTGCTTCCCAAAATCGAAGGAGGCTGAAATGCATCAAATTTCTTCCTAAAAATGTGATACCATTCACAAACAGGTTGATATCAGCATAATCTCTACAATTGCTGCTTCCACGTGTTTTGGCTAAAGAACATCGATGAATTTTCAAGTGAATGACACAAATTATTATTTTTTCATGGAAATTAATGATGCTTGTTTTCATGGTAAACAAGAGAAAAAGTTATGAACTCACGGAAGTAAACTTGAGGTGATTCGATGGACTCCATATTTTGTGTCAGAATGACATGCGATAAATCGCATCAATTGGTTCCATTTTTTCAGCTACTCGTCATTTTTCTGGAATTTTGAGATCGCACTTCTGTCGTCTTGAGACTAAAGAATTCATGTACCAAATTTGACAAAGAAATTCAACGTAATAACGGCAGGGTTTTTTAAGAGGAAAAATACCCCACTCGAGTTCTGTTTCGATATCAGTATCGGATGCTATATTTTTCCTCTTAAAAAAACCCTGCCGTTATTACGTTGAATTTCTTTGTCAAATTTGATACATAAATTCTTTGGTCTCATGACAACTGAAGTGCGATCTCAAAATTCGAAAAAAAATGACAAGTAGCAGAAATTATGGAACGACTCTATGCGATATATCGCACGTCGCTCTGACACAAAAAATGGCGTCCGTCAAATCACCTTAACTAGAATAATGGATCGGAAAATTTAATTATACATAGGCTGTCCCAAAACAACTGGCACTAAGTCTGTCATTCGGGAACTACAATAGATATCGACATGCGGTTTGCGGGAAGTGATAGCTCATACTCTTAGCTCTTCCACGAGCCTAAGTTGAGCTAATTTGGTTAAAAACTCAACGAATTACATCGATTTTCCCGAGACGTGTAAGAAAATACCCCGACGGAATTTTTCGGTAATTTTTCATTCCTTAACTTTGCCTCCGCAAGCTGTGAAATTGGTTCAGACGTTATGAATCAAGTTTCCACTTCTCTGGATGCAAGTTTCTAGAGTCCCTTTATACCCAGAGTAACAACAACTCGATTATCAGCTGACTGGCAGCCGACCTTGGCTGGCCATGGAAGCCGAAACTAGTGCACTCAAACGAACGATATTGGGGGATAAGGATCAGGAATCCTGCGATGTCTGTCACACAGAAACAACAACATCAACAAATTGATCAATTAAAAAGAAAATGAGATTGGTTTGTGAATAATTTCTTAATCTATTTTCATTTTNATACATAGGCTGTCCCAAAACAACTGGCACTAAGTCTGTCATTCGGGAACTACAATAGATATCGACATGCGGTTTGCGGGAGGTGATAGTTCATACTCTTAGCTCTTAAACGAGCTTAAGTTGAGCTAATTTGGTTAAAAACTCAACGAGTTACATCGATTTTCCCGAGACGTGTAAGAAATACCCCTACGGAATTTTTCGGTAATTNGCCATCTTGGTGCACTAGTTTCGGCCTCCATGAGCGAGAACCAATCAGAATTGGATTTTTTTTTAGGCCACTTTCAGCCCAATCCTGGCCCAACCAAAAGTGAGTTGTCGTAACTCTGGGTATAAAGGGACTCTACAAGTTTCCACTTGTCAACAAGTGTTTCCATCATAGCCGAGAAGTTTTTTTCTGTTTGCAAAGTCAGTTTAATGGAATTGTCCGGCCTGATAACGCGATTTTTTGTGTTTCGTCATGAGTTCACCCGCGGAGTTGAAGAAAGAGCAACGATACGCAATTCGATATTGCGTTCGTCGTGAAATATCTGCTTCTGAAACACTTCTAAGCCACTGTCATTTCATTCACAGTTTCAGAAGCAGATAATTCACGACGATAACGCAATATCGAATTGCGTATCGTTGCTCTTGCTTCAACTCCGCGAGTGAACTCATGACGAAACACAAAAAAACGCGTTATCAGGCCGAACAATTCCATTAAACTGACTTTGCAAACAGAAAAAAACTTCTCGGCTGTGATGGAAACACATGTTGACAAGTGGAAACTTGCATCCAGAGAAGTGGAAACTTGATTCATAACGTCTGAACCAATTTCACAGCTTGCGGAGGCAAAGTTAAGGAATGAAAAATTACCGAAAAATTCCGTAGGGGTATTTCTTACACGTCTCGGGAAAATCGATGTAATTCGTTGAGTTTTTAACCAAATTAGCTCAACTTAGGCTCGTTTAAGAGCTAAGAGTATGAGCTATCACCTCCCGCAAACCGCATGTCGATATCTATTGTAGTTCCCGAATGACAGACTTAGTGCCAGTTGTTTTGGGACAGCCTATGTATTATAGCAAAGTAATACAGAATGCATTTCTTACTCTGTGAACTCATAAAGAGCAACGCGTACCGCACAGAGCTTGAGGCGCGAAGCGGTTAGAGGGGTACCCCCTGAAGTAATTAATTTGCGGTAAACAACCATCATTATACTTTGATTAAAATAATACTTTTCGTGCATTATTTTGGGTTTAAGCATCGAGGAAGCCAAAAGGTTTCGTCTTCCTACCAAAGGCTAATCCAAGGAGTGGGAAATATTGTTTTCGTCCCATTCAAACCTAAGTTAATTAATCGATTCTCGTCGGAGCACTTGACCACCCTAGGAATCGATTCTTCTCCATAGGTTTAAATAGAGGGAAAACAATGTTGCCGGATTATAGGACATTATGTCAACGATTTTTTGTCCGCGCACCTATTTTTCCGGTTGTTTACGTCCACGCGTTTTTTCGGTGGGAGAATTTCCTCCACGTACCTGTTAAGACCCAAAGCCAATTGGTCCACGTGTAGAAACAAAGTCCACCTGGTGCACATGGCCGAACGTATTCGTCTCGGCGCAAAGCAGAGTCAGGCCTTCGAGGCCTCAAAAAGGAAACCTTGGAAAAAGATCCGCCGCGCCGTCGCTACTTCGGTACCGGAACGGTGCCGGATGAACTGCAGTGAGTGTGCCTGGGTTTGGGTGCCATAAAGAAAAAAATGGAAAGAAATCGAAATTAAGAGAGAGAGAAACCAGAAATTTAAAAAATTAAAAGGAAAAGAAAATTTAGCAAAGCTCGATATGATGCTGCTCAGACCACGCACCACTACTTCGCTCTACTTCTTAAAAAGTTGAGAGCGTGCTTCAAAATTTATAAAGATTTATTTACTTACCGCCTTGAAGGTTTCCTTATAAATCAATAAAAAAAAAATAACGCTCGTAAAAATAAGAACATATGCTTACATAAAAAGAAAAGTCACTTACGTCGAGCAGAACCCCGTTTTCATTCCGCAATTTTATTCTTGATTCAAATAAAATCTTCTTTACGGCATACTCAAGAATGTTTCTGCCTAAATTGAGTCATTTTTTCTCTGATGAAATTCAAAAATTATGCCAAACGTTATTAAATACGGACGCGAGAACTTAGTGAGTTTTGTGACTACCGATCTCTTTTTGTGCCGTAGTATCTTCATTCATTTTGCGAGGAAATCTCCGTACTCTCAAAGAATACCTGTCATTCTCGATACGTTGGAGCGCCTTCAATTTCGTATGATGCTGTACAACATCTCTGTTGCGAAATAGTTGCTTGAAGCGCCGTGGTACGCCGCCCCGCGGCGGCGGGCAAGTGCGACCAGTGCGCGACACGCGCTGCGCTGGCACCACAACGCTCCGACCCGTGTTCGGATCTAATATTTAAACTCGCGGAATCAGCGTTTTTCAACTCGTGATTTTGCAATGTTTGCACACTCTGCATGAATTATTATCCTCATCTAAATCGATGGGGGAAAAATATGTATTAAAGGAAAACATACTGTGTGTTTTGTAAATATTCAGATGATTCCGTGTCAAATTTAATGATTTCCGAAGCACTTTAAATTAATATTTTATATTTTGTGCTTTTACTGTGCTGCAGCATGGTGTGCGCGCAACCAAACGCTCAAGATAGGACGTATTTGACTCCAATAGATCTATGTACAAACGGGTTAAAACCAAAGATTGCGTGCTTCTTTTTTTTCTATGATTCATTTTTGTATATATGTAGTTCCTTTCAACACAACTGCGGCTCATTGAGATTAATATCGATGTTGCGCTTTGAAAATTTTAAGGATAAAAATAAAACCAAATATTCGCCAATGACAATTTGAAATGATGAATCAAAAGGAGAAAGTAACATTTCATTTACGAAATGAGTTATCATAACAACACCTCCTTCTCTCTCAATTTACTCATTTCAATATTGTCACTATAGTTTTACACTTAGACTATAAAACAGGACGCTTGGACCAAGTCACTGATGACAATTTTACACAAGGACTTAAACTACTGGGCAAAACAGGTGCGCGGACAAAAAACTGTTGACAATATGTCCTGAAACCTGTTGCCGTCTTGTTGGATCCACCTTTCCTCCTTTCCCTTTAAAATGATGATCTTGCTTTAAATACAAGAGACATCGTCAATTGACTTTCCAAAAGTAAATTAAATTCTTTCAAAATGAAAAAACAGAGGTCCAATTTTATTTGAATATTTGAAATTTTTATTTCGAAAATCATGTACTTCGATTCAGCCTATTTATCCTTTCTCCGATAGAAAATTGTGGTAAATAAGTTATTTTTTGCTTTGGACTATAAATTAATATCAAGTCGCATAGAATCGTTTTAAATTGAGATCCTCATCTAGCTAATGTAATGTACAGTACTCTTCATGCAAAAAAGAACGATCACTCGATTTCTCATAAAATGTCATTGAACCAACCAGGGCTTCGGCAAAAATTTGAAATATTACACCTTTTTTACAGGAACAAAACTCAAAGGGATATCTTACGAAGTAATCAATAATCAAGTACTGACATAAAATTATTGACAAGTAATACCTTGTAATTTTAATTATAAAATGTTTGGTGCGCCAATTACTTTGGAGGCGCCTAGCTTATTTACTTCGTTTGTCGAGTTTTGACTCTTTTACACATGAGAATGTGTCGATTAAAAATTCACTTCAATCAACCGAATTTTTCACTATGGGACATAATTATTTAAATGATTGTTGACAGACAATATTCATTTGCTCCCTGCTAAGTTACGAAGATATGATCTCTGGAGAGTATGTCTATCCAAATTGGTCCATTGGATTAGGCTGGGCTTTGACGGCATCGTCTATTATGTGCATACCGGCATACATGATTTACAAGTTCTACATCACCTCTGGATCATTCTTCAAGGTAAGAGTCTTAAAAATTATAACGAATCGAAAAAGGAATCTTCCAATTTATAAAAGATTTATCCGATCTGTTAAGAATCGATTCAAAATCTCTCAAATGACGTACCCAACCTAAAAGAGCTTACAGTCTTAAATGATAATTCATGAAAATAATTGTACAACTTTCACAATTTTTGCACCACGAACAAAAACCACCAGAAACGATTATTTCAATTTTTCTCCTTTTTTTCTGACAGCGGCCTCAGACCATCGAGAAGGGAGGATGAGAGTCGGAAAACTCGCCTCTACTCTGTCGTGCTAAGGAAAAACGCCGTATGAGCCGTCAGGCGTTGCCAAATTTCCTTTCATAAAACGCAAATTTCCTGGTAAACTTATGAATATTTTCTTACGAACTTTTCAGATAATTTTGTTTGCAATTTCACCTGAAGATTCTGAAAATTGAAAGGAGAAATATTCATAACTTTCCTCAAAAATAAACATTTTATCAAAGGAAATGCGGCAACTGTCGTCATACGGCGTTCTTCCTTAGCACGGCAGTAGACCCTTTTATTTTGCAACGCCTCTAAACGAATCGTTCATTTTCAAAATTTAATCCAATCTAGTGATAAAATTAAAATATGTCATGTTCTGGCATACTTATTCCTCTTGTTTTTTCTGGAAGTATGAATTTGACGTATTTCTATCAAATGGAACTATATGCATTATGACGTGAGCCCTGTTATACATGTATTCTTATGGGTCTCAGGGATCATTTCTAAATGCACATAGTTCCGTTTGACAGAAATACGTCCAATTTTAACGTTATCTCAACTGGTGTAAGGTCCAACTCAAACGTCATTCGTATTTTGCAGAGATTAAGCATCATCATGAAACCGGAAGAACTCGCGGACACTGCGACGGTGATCAATATATCCTACGGAACAGGAACTCACGTCTGACAGTTCGAATGGCTCGTATGAAATACGATGTGTCATAGTCTCGCAGTCCGACCTCATGGCAACATCAAACTAAATCTACTACGTCCTTTGAAGATTATCGTTCCTTTCATAAACAATTTCTAAACTATTCCCAATAAGCCCGCCTCTCATCTTTTTGAAGCTTGCTCCGAAATACTGGCATTACTATTCTGCCGTGCTAAGGAAAAACGCCGTATGAACCTTCAGGGGTTGCCAAATTTCATTTGATAAAATGAAAATTTCCTGGTAAATTTACGAATATTTTCCTCCCAATTTTTCAGATGATTTAGTTCTCAATTTTACCTAAAGATTCTGAAAATATAATGGAAAAATATTCATAACTTTCTTAAGAAATAAAACGTTACATATATCGAAGGAAATTTGGCAACTCTTGAATGTTCATACGGCGTTCTTTTTTAGCACGGCAGCCTTGCTCAACGAACCCTTCTCGTGCTTGTAAAATACAACAATCTGGAAAGGCTTTGCAATTCAAAAGGAATATATTTCAGAGATTTGCAGCAAATGTTTGATGCTTTTCGCGCAAATCGCGCTTAAACGTGATATGCACTATTGGTGGGCGAGTGCTGTTGCCAGCGTTTTTGATGCGTTAAACACGGTTAAGGGGTTCGACAAAATGTCTCAGATTGTTGTTTGTTCATTTGTGAACTGTAATATTATCGTTCGAATCAACTCTTTTAATCTCTTTAAGAACTCACCAAACTCTCATTATTTTAAAGTTGGCCCAGGTCACTTCTCCTATAAACAACCTTCGAGTTTACATTTTCCGGTCTCTCTGGGACACGGATAATCGAGGAGAGGTGAAAAAGAGAGGAAGGAAAAATGGAGAGGAAACTACTCACAAAAACAAAACGCACAATGATAGTGTTTCTTCAGCCATATGGACCTATTGGATTAGTATTCCTCATTTTACTTTAATCATCCCTGAATCCTATCAGTGAGTTAGTTTCAGCGCTTTCCCAGGCAAATCTACGGTCACAATCCGGCTGACATGGATGTAAGCCAGCGTTCATGCAGCTTGAATCAGAGGGCAGGGCGTGCTTTGCGATATATCGATTGTAATGCCATTTAAACCCATAGAAAAGGATCGATAAACAGTTCGCAGTGTTCACAACGAACACCTTAATAATCGATTCTTTACCATGGGTTTAAATGGCATAACAATCGATACATCGCAATTCACTACACGCCACTGGCTTGAACCCTGCTTATGCTCATACATTATGCTGCATTTTTAATACCCCTCCTTCTTACACCGTCTCATCGACCAATATCTAACCTTTCTTTTTTCAGAAAACCGAAGTCGTAGGAGGAAAAAGATTAAGAAAAATAAAAAACCGGGGAAAGGGAAAACGCTTAAAATGTACGTAGCGGGGATTGGGGGGGGGGGATTTCATTCGTGATGGAGACGGCATTAACGTCCTAAAAATCGTCGTGTGAACCTGAAATTTGTAACAATGGTTATATGAAGGATATTCTGTAAAAATATCTTCGAGTGATAAGACGAGTGAAGATTGAAGAAATGTAAGATGAATATATGTTTTCAAGGCGTGGTTCATGGAGGTTTTTTTGGAAGTCTTCCTTGGATTTTAGTCAGAGGAAAAATACCTTAAATTATACATTTTTCGGCATCAAGCCACGCTAACACGATCTTCCTCAAACTCATATAAAATTGTCGAGTAAGCATACATCGACGGTAAAACTACCAGACCACTTATCTCGTTTGTGGTGTATACAAATCTTCGTTCGAATTTTATTTTTTGAATGAGAAAAAGTCAATATCATTCCTAGGAGTTTTCATAGATTTTTCTTCGCATAGTGAAGAAAAATCACGGAAGTTTTCAAGGATAGTTGAGTAGTTTTTTGCATCTTAAAAATTAAGTATGAAAGGCAATCTGCGACGTCGCTAAACGGGATATATGGTCCGGTAATTTCACCGTCAATATTCACCGCACGGTTTCACAATAAGTCTCTTGGTCTCTTACAATAGGAGATTCTATTTCATATTCGTTATCATCGAATTAAATTTATAAGGTCTCATACGAATTTTTAAATGTTACCTAATAACGAGTAATTATATACAGTAAGAATCATTCATATACAATGTATATTTACGTTCTAGAGCCTGTTATTTGTTTGTTTTTCTTTCAATACTGGTATATTCTGGTTAAGATTAGTAATGCTAGGATTATAGGTCCTTTTCGTACACTAGTGTAATTTTTCTCTATTTTATTCCTGCGGATGAGCTTTCCGACAAATATAAATATTATATACTCTATTTTAAATACATATACTCCAAAACTCTAATTAAGTCCATTTTTTTGTAGGTTCTAAAAATTGAACATAGAACTTACATAGAAAGAGCTCGTGTAATTTGTACAAATCGTATCATTGAGTGTGGCTATGAGAAACTGACCCTCTTGTTTACAAAGGTAATTATTGAGCAGTATGAAATGATGACCAAAAATGAAGGCATTTAGCTAACTCTCCATTCGTTCAAATTGAAGGTGGGTGTAATTTAATGAACCCGTTAAAGTATTGCCCCCTTTTCACTCTTCAAAGGCGCAAAAATGTCCTGCAAGCTGCAGGACAGCTTTTGTTCTCCATAAATTGGTGCAGGCAAGGGCATTTCCTCCGGCCAGTGAAATCTAGAAAGTTGTGTTGGCTAGGTCTTCTCAGTTTTGGCCCTCTTTATAGCCACAATCGTCAGAAGTGTTCATCATATCATTACCGCCCGTATAGTTTTTGCGTAATTAAGTTTTTAGTATATTTTATCAAACACTTAGTCAAAAGAGTGAATCAAATTAACAATGAGGTAAAAAATATTATTATTTTTTTCTGAATGGTAAATAACATTGTAAAATTGATTGTGATCTCCATGCAGCTTGAGAACAAATGGTTGGCTACCGTTGATCAATAAAAGTGACAATCGGAGTAGGTGCTGACTATTTCAGTAACTTAGGTGTTTCCAGTTTTTAAAGGCAGCAGTTGAAGAATTTTAGCCTTTAATGAGCGTGTATATAAAATTATAAATATGTTTGTAATTGGTTTATCTCTCCAGAAGTATCATATGATATTTTTGATTCGATGTCTTCTTTGTACATACATATCTCATTAGTTACATTGATTATTAGATCACTGCGGTGACGAAATAAGGAAGGTAATTTTTGTAGGTGACTTAGACAATTTTCTCCAGTCATTAACTTCACTACTCTTGAAAGAATAGATATGCCCTCATCGTAAAGTTAAAATGCTCGACCATATTCCATTGTTGAATCGATCATATGAACCTTAAAATGCATGCACGTAAGATCATATCATTATTCTTCACCAAAAGCCGATCAAATTGATGTAACTTACCGTATTTATTAGGCACAGTTATAGACTACCTCGTCCGATAAAATATCCAATCCAACCTAAAAATAAAATTATTGCGACTAAGATTAAACGTGAATACACTTACTATGCATTAGGTCATATAATTATACTACTCCGCAATCGAAATGACGATTCTTGAAAATTGGCAACACGGTTTTTCCTCCATTTAAATATATGCAAAACAATCGATTCTTCGCGAGGCAGCTTACCTCACCTAGAATCGATATTTTTAATGGCTTTAAATGGAGGAAAACAGTGTTGCCAACTCTCAAAAATCGCCACTGCGTCATGGACTTTGGTAATGTGTGTCTAAATAAAATTTCGTGAGGTAGATTATTCAAGTGTTTCAGCAGTGGCGCAGCTAGGAATTCTTTAAGGGGGGGGGGTCCATTCAAAACCGTGGCGGTAAATTTACATTATTTTGTGCATGTTCTTGATAATAATTTATTTCTGCCCTCCAAAAGTAAAAAAAAAAGGTACAATTAACTAGCCCCTCCCCCCCCTTGTTTACGCCACTGTGTTTCAGTACCATTTGAAAGCTGAACGTAAACATTCTGGAGGAAAGCTGACCAATAATGACGCATTGAAACAAGCTTTATAATTTGAGAAGTGTATTTATTTTTAAACTCCACACGCAGTTCTACATGCTTACAACCCGTGATTTTTTGTCCACGCTCATGGTGAAGTGGGAAAAACCGAAACGACGATGACCTGCATCTCAGAGGCGAGGCGTGACTGATCGATTTTGATATTTCCCCATTTGAAGCTATATGATGAAGAATCGATTATTCAGGTGTTCGTTGTGGACACCCTGTTTATCGATCCTTTTTCATTGGTTTAAATGGCGGACCAATCGATATATCGCATATCACGCCCCGCCACTGCTGCATCTCGCCCTCATTTTTCAAAGGATTTAGCAATTCCGTGGTGCAAACAACGTCCCCTTAGAACATAGAAGCAATTTGTTTTATCTGAGTTTCTGAACTGCTGTCACGCGTCTGCGAGAGAGAGCGTTTCATCGGCAAGTTGTCTATTCTCGTCAGTCGTTTTGGTTTTATAATGTTCTGGAGAATTACCCAGCAAAAAGTCTGCATCCTGTTAAATTCTTAAAAATTAGTTCATTTTTGACGAGGAATAATTTCACGCGCACTTAAATCATACATATTTGCCTATGTAAAAAAGAGTAATTGCGATGTAATCAATATAATTTATACTCGGCGACAGCTCGGATCCATCTCCAGAAATTATTAAAATATTAACATTGCAGTACCTACTATACGAAGCAATTTTATAATCCATAACATTGTTAGAAAACAAATTCAGGCTGCTCTACAGTCACTTAAAAAATTCGTCATTTTTATAACAAATTGAATACGTACGGTTATCATGTTACATCTATCTTTGCAACATGTATCGACAAAATTCAAAACCTTTCCGTTCTAAGACTAAAAGGATAAGAAAACGTATAAAAAAATAAAAGAAAATGAATTGGTTAAATGTTTTCAGCCTCCATAATTCCACAAAACGTTTTCCTTAAACAAATTGAAAAATATTCTGTGAAGTGTATTTTTACCAAATAACGTCAAAAATTCATACTTATGGCGTATGACAATGTGGGGTGGAGGGGGGTGGAGGCAGGTACGAGTGAGTCTATATAATGAGTCGGTAAGCTCAACTTGAAATCCATTTTGTTTTTGTTAACATGGATGTTTTCACACATGACGGTGGGGCTCTCATTTTAAATTATTTTTTCCTTATAATTCTTCTTTCTTAAAAACAAGGGCTAGGAATAATTTTTTCATCAAGTTGTTAGTCTTCTGAAAACCGATAAAATGCTAAAATCTCTTTCTTTCCTTCAATTTTTTTCCAATTTTGGTGAAATGAATGATGTGAATCTTATATCTAAGGATACTAAGGATATGGGCACAGTTGATTTCAATTTACAGGATCAACTCTGTTAATTAACTAGCATGCTGTCAAGTAGTTTCTTCAATCTTGCAGCAAGGGAATCGCATTAACATCATTTAATTAATTAAAAGAAGATTAATTTAAGGAGTGACAACGGATAATCAAACCCTAAATCTTATAGTAAGCTCTAGTGCTGGATATTCTTCTCGATCGGGAAAGTCATCTTGTTCGATTGTAAATATTGTGTAGTTACATAGGTATACTATTTTCCTCATTGCTTTTAACTTTTAATCGTTTTGTAAAATTTTCTTTTGTAAAATTATGTGCCTTCATGATTTGATGACAGCCACATCTAATCATGATTTTATTCATTTTTAATGTGCGTAAATTTGCGTAATTCCGTTATTTAGAGACGTAGCTAATTTAAAAAGTTGCATATTTATGTTGTCATTAAAGATTAGAAAATATTTATAATGCAAATGACTTGCATGGACTGTAAAATCAGTTTTTCATTTCATTATATCGCTTCTTAGTATTATTTAATAAAGTTGTCAAGTTTTTCGTTTACTTATTGGATGCATATATTTTATAATCTCTATAGAAACCTTGTATTCTTCAAAAGTGGGTCAGTTGCGCTGGTCACAAAATCGTGTTTTGATGCTTGATTTCTGTAGATAAGCTAAAAATGATAAGATCTATCTACACTGCAACTTTCTACGTTCACTAATAATCGAGATATCGCCCTTTGAAAAGTCGGATTTTTAACGTCATCCACCGCGGCAGTGACACCCTTGGTTTCTTCCACCTTGCTCTCATCCGAGTTTCACGTTGAACAACCAGTGCAAATGTGCGTCACGCTGATTGATGAAAGCAAAGAGGAAGAAACCAAGGGTGTCACTGCCGCGGTGGATGACGTCAAAAACCCGAATTTTCAAAGGGCGATATCTCGGTTATAATATTGAACATAGACAGTTGAGGTTTGGACAGATCTTATTATTTTTCGCTGATCTTACAAGAATTAAAAATCTAAACACGATTCTGTGACCACCCTGGTAAAAATTGGCGATAGGAGCTGCGTTTCAAAATACCATAGGAGTTCTTATAGCCGACTGAAGAGGGCGATAGTGAAAATCATATAGCTGGCTGTAGAAAGTGGAAAAAATCATACGGCCGGGCTACATGAAGCAATAAGAAATTATACAGCCGGGCTATAGTTCCTATCGCCGGGCTTTACACTTTATCGCCTGGCTATAAAAAGCCTGGCTTAATCGGCTATGAAAAGCTATAAGAAATAGTGTAGAAATTCTTGTGCTTTGTAAATCCTTAAGATTGTACGAAATCACCTGAATATTTACAAAACGCACATTATATTTTCCTTTACAACATATTTTTTTTTCATCAATTAAACTTAAAATAATCCATACCGAGTGTGCAAACATTTCAAAGTCATGAGTTGAAAAACGCTGACTCCGCGAGATTAAATATTAGAGCGTAACACAAAGCGGAGCGGCGGCGCACGGGCGCCTACAAACCTAACAGGGATACTTCACGCATTGCGCAATGCGTGAAGTATCCCTGTTAGGTTTGTAGGCGCCAATGCGCGTTCAGCGCTGGCTGTCCGCCCGCCGCGCCGCGCCGCGCCGCAGCGTAACGCGGCGCTTGAAGCAACTATTTCACACCAGAAGTATTGCACAGTATCATACGAAATTGAAGGCACTCCAACATATTAGGAATGACAGGCATCCTTCAAAAGTACGGGGCTTTCCTCGCAAATTAAATCAAGACCCTGCGGCCCAAAAAGAGAGTGGTAGTCCAAAAACTCACTAAGTCCTAGCATCCGTAATTAGTAACGTTCAGCATACACTTTATCGTCAGGCTGTTGCTTATTCGCCATCGGCTATAAAATGCTGTAAGAAATTTGTGTTGCCAGTTTTAGATGCTATCGGAAATCTTACAGCCGGCTGTAGGTCTATGGTATTTTGGAACACAGATTCTACTGCCAATTTTTACCAGCAGGGCAGCGCAACTGACCCTTAACAATTACCCAATGCTTGCATACAGCTGCAGTTTTGTTAGGGGTCAAAATGTCAATTTTGAGGCTATAATAAAGAAACGCCTCATATTACTCGAGGTCTCCTCAATCTCAAATAATTTTTTTCCCATCCTAAGTTTATGTTAGTAACGACTAAATAAGTATCGTATACAGGCCACCTGATAATGAAGCAGTTGTGCGATTGTAGAAGACTCTTCTCGACGTAAAAACTATAGGCTTCTAACAGGATCATCAGTGTCATCATTGACGGTTACAGCTCAGAGATCGTCGAGCCAACGCGACGCATAACCTGATTTTGCGATTCACACAAATAAAGTTTTGTGCGTGCCTGACTGAGAGGCCAAATTTCTATGAGTGGATTCGATTCATTTTGGAACTTTGAGAGGATTGCAACTCAAAAAAAAAAAAAAAAAAAAAAAAAAAAAAAACTGTAAAAATTCCGAGGATTGTTTTTGTCGGTTTTCTCACAAAAAATCCGTAAAGTGACGAATTGAGGTCGTGTTCCTCGACTTTCACCATAGATTTACTTTGCACAGGTGAGGGTATGAGGGTGTGTGTGTGTGTGTGTGGATGCAAGGCGTAAGAAGATGTCTCGCTTCTATCAGCAAGAGAAATTGCGCCATAGGTAGTTATGAGTCCTAATTTGAAGTTTACGTAACCTGTGAAATCTAGAGTCCTTCAATAAGGATTCTGATGATCATGAATAATTAAAAACAGTAATATAAAAGATTTAAGAAAAAATGAAGGCGAAAAAATGTTATAAAACATTTTGGTATCTTATGAACATGCGCACATAAAGCATTAGAGCAAAGCTCTTCGGGTTCAAACAAAGTGCACCAACGCAAGAAATCTAAAATAAAATTATCTTTACCAGCTGATATTAATGTAACGGTTTTCATCATGATAAAAATTTGTTTCAAATCTAAGTATAAATTTCTAGGGAAAAAGGAGTTGCTTTTATTAAAACCACCTGAATTGTTGATACTAGTGACCGCGTCTTAAATTTTGGCTCATTAACAATTATTTTTTATATCAAAACTATCCGATTCAAGATCCCTCACTGAAAAGCATAACCTCACCATTCTAACCTCATTTTATTGTTTACTATCTTAGTGGATTGCCGATTTTCAACACATTATAAGCAAAAAAGAAGAAGAAAATTGATATTTGTTTCTTAATATAAATTTTTGGTGTACTACTAGAGAGAGAAAAAAATTAGTAATTACGAATGCTGCTTTAACTAGCCTAAATTCAGCGCCAATCCCATGTTTTTTGAAGCACTCTCATCAACAGGGCAATGAATGTCAATACAGAATCTGATATCAACGAGTTGCAAGATGAAAAGGCCACTGAACCTGGTGCGTAATCAAGTTTTGTTTTTAAATATTTGTCTAAAATCTAATCTTTCTACTCTCTTTTTTCAGGTATTTTTAGACTTGCACCCGGAAAATCTTCTGATGAAGGAAACACAAAATAAATAATTATCATTAATCATAGGTCTACATGAGTCGGTTATTGCCGAAAAGTTCAAAGAAGTTCTGCGGTAGCCTTTTAGCACTAATTACGGAAATGCCCTCCTTTTTTCTCAATCAGTTCGATCTTGTCCGGTAAAATCGGGAATTTTTTTAAAAATCGAGGTTTTTCATGATAAATCCAGTGATCCGGAAAATGAGTGCATGCTGAGGAAAAAACAAGGCCATTGTCAGGTTTAGCAGGTAAAAATACACAGATTCACGTCTATAATAAGAGTGAGAATATTCCGTATACCTAGTGTTTCTGATAATGGATTTTCCTGTCAAATAATGGTTCATGACTGTTAACGTCATTCTTTTTTAATATCATGAGAATTATTATCTCTCCTCTGTTTTTACAGTTTTTTTTCAAATGCAATGCTGTATCATCGTTTCTAATGTCGCCTAACGTAGTGCGGCCGCCGCGCCGCATTGCGCCGGTCGGTGCGGAACGCATATTAAGTAGCCCCTGCAAGAGGGCAGGAATACTTGACGCATTACGCTTAACACAGTGCGCGCATTACTTGTTGAAAATTCGTAATATCGAGGTGCTAGACTTACCGCGATCGACACCTTTTCCAACCTGTATGAACCCCGAGCCTGCAATCCTAGGATCGAGGATTGTAGGGATTTTTCACCTCCTTAATGATTTGATATGTTGTTCTTGTGGCCTATTGCAACTAGTGGCGTGGCGTGAATTGCGATGTATCGATTCTCATGCCATTTAAACCTATGGTAAAGAATCGATTATTAAGGTGTTCGCTGCGAACACCCTGTTTATCTATCCTTTTTCGTAGGTTTAAATGACATAACAATCTATATATCGCAATTCACGCCACGCCACTGATTGCAACATGTCTCCGCAAATAGAGTCCCTTTATACCCAGAGTTAAGACAACTCACTTTTGGTTGGGCCAGGGTTGGGCTGAAAGTGGCCTAAAAAAAATGCAATTCTGACTGGTTCTCGCTCATGGAGGCTGAAACGAGTGCACCAAGATGGCGGTACCTCGAATGTGAACAAGAATAATGAAAATATTACCTAATTGTAGTTTTTCAAGAGTAAATTGTTATTTCCATCGGTCCAAAATGAAAATAGATTAAGAAATTATTCACAAACCAATCTCATTTTATTTTTAACTGATCAATTTGTTGATGTTGTTGTTTTTGTGTGACAGTAATCGCAGGATTCCTGATCCTTATCCCTCAATATCGTTCGTTTGGGTGCACTCGTTTTGGCCTCCATGGCCAGCCAAGGCCGGCTGCCAGTCAGCTGATAATCGAATTGTCTTAACTCTGGGTATAAAGGGACTCTATCCGCAAAGAAACATTCTATAATTGATTTTCCAAGATAGCCCTTTTTTAGAGCTAATTTGACGGGACTTTATCTCACAAGTTCCACGCCTTTTGCAAACAGTCCATTCACATTGATAGCTCCACCCACTGACAAAACAGAATTGAGAGGAGTGAAAAAAATTGCATGAATATAGCTGACATGTGTAGAACTTTTGATGTTTTTTTTTGTCTCTTTTCTTCTCTAGGAAAAATAATCCTTAATGATACTTACTCTTAAAAACAAAAATTAGACGTTAGTCATAAAAACAAAAATTAGACGTTAGTCAATTTCTAAGTTACTTTATTTGTAAAGAAAAGTTAATTTACACCTAGTAGGTGGTTGTAACATTTATTTGAAGAATAAAAAAAAAAAAAAAAAAAAAAAAAAAAAAAAAAAAAAAAAAAAAAAAAAAAAATGATACTAATATTTTAAAATGAACTTAAAAAGAACGCTATAGTTCGAATTTTGAAATAAAGATAATTTTGTTGTAGAAGATTCGACGTTGAAAATTCATGAGTACGACACGCAGACAGGCAATGAACAAACAGGGCCCTCCGCTAGTGAAGATGCTAGCGCTGACCTGAAAAAATTAGAACCGTCCGAGTCACCCACGTTACTAGAGAACAACGAGGAGATCAAACCACGTTTTTTCACCGAAGATCTCTCGAAAAAAGGCTCATTGAGTGAGTTGCATTCCAAATGGAAAATAGTCAACTCAAATCTGAGTTTTCAATCCTCACGTCAAAATTCAGAACCACAGCAAAACAATACAGGAGGAACCGTAAACGAGACAGTAACCAATGTCCGGCAGGATTTAGAACCTCGTAAAGACTCTGATGTAGACAATTCAGAAAATCTCGTTCATAATGATCAGGCAACTTTACCAGCAGTTAGAGGTGTAGATTTAAATGTTTTAAAGAATAATCAAATCTCTCATCGAGATGCGCATGCACTGGAGGAAACTGTCGGAAGAGAGAAAGAAGACAACGCAATTGGTGTAAACAAAACGCCTCCCTTTTCTGGACACGTTGATGTTAAAATTGTAAGAGAGGAGACCGATCCACCTCCCGAGTTGAAATTAGATGTTCAATTAACTCATCAACAAGTTATAGAAAGCTTGAACACGGGTGACAGTGAAGAGCCTGTGGAGACAGTTGAGATTTTTGGAAAATCGACGGATACGGAAAAACCGAGAGCTGAGAACGATTCCCAAGGTGAATTAGAGTGCCGGCAGTTGGATGAAAGAATTCAAGGCTTCGAGCAACTTGGATCCGGTACCAGGAACGACTCGGGGATGATCAAAGAAATTCTGCCTTTGAGCAAAGGTATGTTCAATTATCAAATATTTTTGAGACACCAATTGCCAATTTATGGACGCATATATCGACGGTTTAAGTCGGCAATCACATAACTCGTTTGCGGTGTCTGAAAATCTCCGCCTCTATGCCATTTTTTTAAAGGAGAACAAATTGACATTATTTCTTGAAGTTTTTGCAGAATTTTCTTCGCATAGGGAAGAAAAATCATGACAGTTTTAAAGAGATCCCGTTGAGTAGTTTCCCGTTTAAAAAATAAAGTATGGCAGGAAGTCTGCGACGTCGCAAACCGAGTTATGTGATTGACGACTTACACCGTCGATATATGCTTTCCTTGTGCTATAGTGTAAGAGAAATCTTTCAAATCAAAATTGATTTTTTTTTTTTTTTTTTTTTTTTTTTTTTTTTTTTTTTTTTTAAGTTCTTTTTCAGTTGATACAAAATCGACATGAATAGAGATCAGTAACGTTGAGCTTTAAATTTTACTCTCCTTCAAAATATCAAAGTGTATTAACTAACATCCAGTGTGTTTAGGAGTTGGTAAACTGATCATTGTTCTCAGGGCAAGAAGTGTTTCACTATGATCGCTAAAAATTCCAGTTACGTATCCTCTTAAAACGATCAAAATTGTCTTTGTAATTCATCCCACAGTGTCTTATGGTTTATTTCATTGCTGTAAAATGCGAGAGAAAGATTAGTGCGTCTTTTTATAGACGGAACAGCATTCCCTTATCGTCAGTTTTTGATAATTCTGAAAACTCATTTAGTCGACACGAAGACTGACGTTAACGCAACATCGATGGATGCAACTATTCGGGCTTAATGGATGTCCGTGTTGCATTCATTTGATTTGAAGGCGCCTCGGCTACCCGCACTATTTTTCTGGCTGTGCAATAGCAAATAATTAAAAATACTTTACTCCAATGATTGGAAACTCTAAAGGCTAATGAGGACGATTTAATTTTACGCTTCTTAAACGTGGAAATGAACATTCATGGAATGTTCAAAGGGAGCGTAAAAATACTAAAAATTGGTCATTTTGCGATCAAAGAAGGCTCTGTAACTATTGTGACCATACCATACATTTTTGAGGATACTTTACGAATAAAGGAGCTATAGAAAAGCAGGAAAAAATTAGAAAAAAAAATTTAAATAATGAAAATAGTATAAATAGACTGATGAATGCATTCTTATTTTTGTTTTTTCTCTAGATTTGCAGTGTTCAGACGAAAACAATAACCGCCAAAAGGAAATCAGTAATGGATCACTCATTCAGAAAGAGGAATTACACCAGACAAAGAATGATTCTTTCGAGCAGCCATCATTGTCTGCCGTCACACCTGAAATATCTAATTTGCAAAAGTCTAACAGTAATTTTTCAAATTTTATTCCTCAATCTCCCGATGTCAGTGACGGAAATTCATTGGAATGTCCTACATCTCAGGCTGCTGATGTAGAGAGAGTTGTTTCACAAGTTCATGTTTATGAAAATGGAAAAAATGTGACAAATCAGCATGTCAAGAGCGCAACAAATAATAATATCCACGTGCTTTTGGGCTCTGGAACCGCCGATAGATCATGTCACGATTTTGACGAGAAAAAATCTACGGTTCATTTTTCCACGGAGGTTCAAGAAGCAAAAATCATTGATTCTGATCATATAAATCCATGTTCCACTGGAGATGTTATGTCTAGAGTTAATTTGCCGATACATTTGGTTGAGCTAGAAATTGCGAGATTGAATTCAGAACTGACAGCTAAAAGAGATGGTCCGAGCTCGAGTTTGATTCTTCAAACTCACCATCCATTAAAAAAAGTAGATAATGCTAATGTGAGAGATGAAGAAATCCACTATTATAACGACGTGAAAGAACACAACTCAAATATCTCGAACGCTGAACACAATTCTAAAGACGATTTTCGTCACAAAAAGGCTCTCGATCGTTCTTCCGACGACTTAGAAGATAATAAAATAACCGTTAACACTAGTAAGGGCACTCATCTGAACAATAATCCAATAAATTTCGATTCTTCTGATCAAATTTTACACCTTAGAGTCAACGAAATTGTGCATACCGTCCCTACGTCTGAAGACCCTAAAACTTCCGAACCTCAATCAGGCACAAGTGCTTGCAAAAAGCAAATCAACACGATGCTAAGTTCAACTACTTCTCATTCTGCAACAGATACCTCCGATAAAATATGTACCAGGGCAGACGGAGCCCTCAAGGAAAAAGACGCTTGCGAAGAAATCTCTACTCATGGTGTTAGTGAAGAGACTCTCCCAAAACCTGGGTCACTAAGTTCCGAGGATCGAACAAAAGTTTTGGATTTCGTTGAACTCAATCTTCGACAGGCAGAGCAATTGTGCGGGATAATTCATTGTGAGGGAGGAAGCGCTGGGATAACTGGTAAACGTTCATCGCCTGGGTTACAGATGGAGTTGAGAGCCGGCGAAGATTGTGATGACAGGAAGCTGCAAAATAAGGAATCCAAAGGCTCAAAATTCGTGACTTTCAGTGTGACTACTATGATTGAAGAGCCGGCACCAACGGCCACTCCTTCGGCGACAGAGGCAGAATCTCAACCCGATAAATTCTCACGGGACGAAGATTTGACGCATCCAGCGAACGAGACTCCAATATCTGTCAAAGATCATTGTGAACGAGAGCAAGTAGTCTCTCCCGTTTCAGACACTGTTCCTGCTACACAGAGCAAAGGTTTTTCTGGACAAACTCTCTTTAGATCTAACCAACAAAATAGTCTGGATGGGCACAGGGCTTTATATTCTAACTCGAGTATTGGTGACGCAGCGCACTCCAAAGTGTCCAACCCGGCTAGTCTCGGCCGGGTTTCAAATGTTTTGGGAACTGAAATCCCGAAAGGGCTCGTCAGGGACAAAAAAAAGGTCATCGAGGAAAAATCGGGAACCATCACCGGGGACACGCAAAAGCTCTCGAAAAAGTCCTTCGAGTTGCTCAGAGAGACGGTGAACATAAAAAATTCGAGGGAGAGATACATCCAAGAGGTGAGAGCCAAAGAGGGGATTTCTGGTAGTACCCATCAGCAAAATCCAGCATTAAATTTTTCACGGACATCGTCAAGTTTGGATTCGAAACCAAAAGTACCCTCAGGCATGGTATACGGAAATACAGACAAGAAGATAAATCCAAATTTTTGCATTTCGTCGAGCGAAAATCAAGGGAATTTTGAAGTTACCGAGAAGCAAAAAATGAAGGAATTCTTGAAGAGTAGTGTAGCGCACCATATGGTGGACGGTGGTGGTTGTGTAGACGCGGTTACTCCATTTGAGCCTTTGAGGGCTGAAATCTCTGCTTTGAATGCTGCAGCATCAGAGCAAGGTGAACATTTCATCAGCGTTCTGGCAACACCGACACCAGAAAAGACTCCAAGCAGCAGCCAAGCTCACATTGAGCAAGGCACCAACAGTTCTGCGAGTCGCTGGAAAGGAGATCGCGACCGACAAGACAAACCGGCACAGCCTGTGGTTCCTGATGATGACGACGCAGTCAGTGGTCATTTTGACACTGCACGAAGAAAGTGGATTGAAAAATTGGACAGTTCTAGGAGAGAAAGTTCTAAAGATCCCTTGGGCGGGAATGAGCCCCGAAATCATGCCAGCGGGAGAATGTCTACTCCGTCATTGAGAGGTCCGTCACCGTTGACGCAAAATGGAAGCGAAGTTGACAAATGCAGCAAAACAACTGTCTTCATCCAAAATGAAGAGGAAAAGGCAGAGTCAAAGAGTTCCGAACAATTTATCTCGAAGAAAAGTTCCTTTTCGGTCTCGTCGAGGCTGAGCCGTGGAAGTGAAAACGGAGGTGAGTACCGCAACACTCTCTCGAGAAATGATGTTTTAAGTAACGATCCGAATCAAATTTTAAAAGCCATTGTCACTAACAAAATGAGTTCTCAAAGAATGGAAATATCACCTAGTTTTCAAACCGAGTTGAAGCAAAAAACAGCCAACTCGTTTTGCACGAAAGATGCAGCCGGGTCTACTGTGATATCTATGAATCTGGAAAGTGGTTCACCTCAGCAAAATTTGACGCGAGATAATTCAGTAGATAACGCGAGGTACCTGAAGAATTTGGAATACGAGATCGGAATGAGCCATGCTTGCGATGAAAACAAAAAAGAGTTTAAGCTGGAAAGTGGTGCCATTGGTACATCTCGGATTGGAGTGGCAAAACCTGATGTGCGTGCTCAGAGGAGGATATCGGATGACACGTTAGACAGTAGATCAGGTTCACGTGGATTCGGGACAGGAGAGACAGAAAAGGAGGTGAAAGTAATTGAAGCAGGTTCGAAAGAAGGAACAAACGAGTTTTTGATCCTGTGCCAATATTACAGCCTAGTGGAGAGCACTGAGCCAATGGAGAGATCCCCTGAAGGCGATACCCAAAGGAAAACGGAAACAACGGAAAACGGAGGCAAGGAGACCGGTTTGGAGGCACAGCTTCACGTTCGTCTGTCACCGGCGCTGACGCAGATGTTGTCGCAACCGAACTTACCGGCAACAGCCCTGAAGTCCGGTGTCGAGATGGTGACCATCACGTCGGATGCCGCCCTGCCCTGTTGGTCCCGGCTGAACCTGGTCGCCACGTGCCAAGAGTTCTGTCGCATCTGCCATGACACCGCTGGAGCCGAGGATTTCATATCTCCGTGCCAGTGCCGTGGCAGTCTCTCGCGAGTACACAAGTTCTGTCTCGAGAGGTGGCTGGCCGAGTCGGACACCAGTGCCTGCGAGCTCTGCGGACACCGCTTCCAGATAGTTCGAGTCCCCAGGTCATGCCCAGAGACAAGAGACTCTCCGCCAGTATCTTGGCAATGGTGGAAGCTTTTACTTTCGGGACCTCATCATTTTACTGTTGACTAGAGTACCTGTATAGCGAGAGTATGGACAGATCGCTTCATGGAGGGCTTAGGGCCCAAAAGTGCAGCCACCCTTCTAACCAACTTCTAACGCACAAAATTTCACTGCCAGTCTGTAGATTCCAATTCTAACGAAGATGGCTAAGAAAGTACATAAATGAGCGTTCTTTCACAAAAATGAGTAAATTTATGAAAAAACTAACTGTAAGTCAAATACGTGCTTTATAAACGATGGTTCGTAACAATTGTATTAATAAATCGCTCTGATGGATAATTGAAATTCACAGGTTGGCTGCATTTCTGGGCCCTAACTTAATTCACGGAGGCATCGGTGAAGGCCTGATGGATTTTCGAAGTTTCATATCTGTCTATACTCTCGCTATACAGGTACTCTACTGTTGACCTACCTACATAATCGATGGTTAGAACGTGTTGGCAGTTTTGTTTAGCGAACAAGCTGCAGTTTGGGGAACTTGATTGGCTCATGATGTCACCCGAAGCTCGAATCCACCATGTAGGTAGGTCAACAGCCGAAATAAGAGTAGTGACTGTCGCTCCCTTATGATTGTCCATGAGGAATTGTTGAGTCCTTGAAATTAAAAGCTCCCATCTGTCGCCAAGAGGTCAGTGGAGGGTCTCCTGTCTCTAGCCATGCCACTAAATATCTCGGTTCGCCCCTTTATAACGTACCTATATTTAACAGAATCAGCGCATTAAGGTGCTCTGATCCAATCTCCGGGAAAATTACACCCTCTGATCTCTTCCTGCCTTCCCATCCACCGACTATTAGATTTCCACGCCATCTTACTCAGGAAGCAAAATTCTGGAACCAAATCGAACACTTGTCTGGGCGACTGAATTCGCCATCTTTCGCACATCCCCATATCAAATCAATTGCTTGGTTGCTGGAAAAAGAGAGTCCCACAAAATCTCCAAGACTCCCGAGAGGAGGAAATGGGGGTGGGGGGGGGCTTAAGCTAAGATTTCCATTTTGATGGATTACCTTGAAAAATACGTACCACAGATTGCGATGTTACGTCACGATCTGGTCCTTACGTCTCGATCTCCGGGTTTCACGCGAATCGATCGAAGCGGGGCCGAGATAGCATTTTGAGCCACGTCCGCTTTTTTGGATTTTCAGATTTTGAAATTGCGACCTAAAACGATATCCAAAATCTAAGCTTAGATTCGGATTCCTCGTTAAAAATCAATGGCAGATCAAATATCATACGTTAGCATTATAATATCCGGTTACCGAACACATGCAGCATAACTATCGCATGTGATGAAACCACTGAAATAGACAGGTTTTTCCTTTGAAAATAAATAGAAATGTAGATTAAAACTCAAATCTGTTTGTTTGTTTTACAGGTACTCTATCATAGACTCGATTGTTCGCTGGTTCAAAAGTCAAGAAAATGTGCGCGATGTTCGAGAGTTATTTTTTGACATGATTGCGTTGTGTGCGTTCACACCGATGATCATTGGAGGCAGTTATTTTGGTTTCTTAGTGGCAGAAACTGTGTATCAACGGGTAATTACATCATTCACCAAGTTAGATTATCAATATTTTTGCCATATATACCTATTTTTAAAATATGTTTGACTGTTACTGACGTTATTTTGCAATCATTATTTTGCAACTCGACCGGTGAAACTCTCAAGGCACGTATCTTGGTATGCAACGTTGATAACTTCCTGCCATACGTTATTGTTTAAATGAAGAACAACTCAACGTCAATTCTTAAAAACTCTTGTGATTAATCTTCTCTGTGCAAAGGAAAGTCTGAAAAAACTTCAAAGAGTGATGTTGATTTGTTCTCCTTTAAAAAAAGTAAAACAAAAGCGGAGATTTTTAAAAACCCTGAATGAGACACGTGGTTTGGACAGGGCCAGATTTACCCACTTGCCGCCCATGGGCCGCCTGTATTTTGCCGCCCCCTTCTCATTCGTTTTGAAACATCAATGAAAACTATCAAGTGAACATGCCGGAGGGGAAGGGGCGCATAAGACGCGTTCACTCGTGTTGGAAACATTTTTTGCGGAAGCCGTGTCAAAACTACTAGCAAAAGTTCACGGAACTTTGCGCGAAAGTTAAGTTCCGTAAACCTATCTCTATGTGGACAAGGCCTTCCATTTATAAGAAGTGATCGAAAAAATTATGAAAGAACAAACATATATGTGGTTTAATAATTTTAACTTCCGCCGCGCTGAGTTTGGCGCAATGCGTGAAGTATTCATGCAGTCTTGTAGGCGCTATGCGTTTCCCGCCGACCGCTGCTGACCGCACTGTGTTTAACGCAATGCGTGAAGTATTCGTGCAGTCTTGTAGGCACTAATATTTGTTACAGGCCGATCGTCGCGTCGAGGGCTTCTCCTTTTCATCTCACATCCTCGTCATTTTTGCTCTCTGCGCGTTCCAGGCCAAATTGCGTGTTTCTTTTCTCTCTTAACTCGACTAATTAAAGCGGCTGTCTCTTGTATCACCGAAAGACGACAAAAGTAGAAATTACTATACTCTCAGGAAATGAGAGATTCTGTCGCTTTTTCTCGTTTGTAATTTTTTTCTGAATCCGATTTTTTATATCTCATTTAAAAAAAATTGCAAAATTTGCCGCCACGGGCCGCGGCCCATCTGGCCACCGCCTAAATCTGGCCCTGGGTTTTGGGAGTTCCGCCGTCGAAATTTAAAAGCAACCAGCGAAATCGATCTTCATAAATCGGGTGATCATTTAGTGACGTAGAGTAGCAATGCTATGACTTACCTAATCCGTGTGATTAGGGTGTCCGTAAGAGCCCCTCCTAAAAAGTTAGAGGGAAGGGGGGGGGGGCTTTACGCACACCCTGTATACTGCCGTGCTAAGGAAGACCACCGTATGAACCTTCGAGAGTCGCCAAATTTCCCAGGATAAAATATGTATTTTTGAGAACATTCATGTATACCTTAAAATTTTTAGATATTTCAGATTAAATTGCGTACACAATTATCTGATTATTGGAGAGTAATATTCGCAATTTTCCCAGCAAATTCGGTTTTTATCCGAGGAAAGGCAACGTCGGAAGACTCATACGACGTTTTTCCTAAGCACGGCAGTATAATGACAGTGAAATTGCAAAAACGTCCCTGGTAAAAATTGGCAGTAGAATCTGTGTTCCAAAATACCATAGACCTACAGCCGGCTGTAATATTTCCAATAGCTTCTATAGCCGGCAACACAATTTCTTATAGCCTTTTATAGCCGATGACGATTAAGCAACAGCCTGACGATAAAGTGTATGCTGAACGTTACTAATTACGGATGCTAGGACTTGGTGAGTTTTTGGACTACCGCTCTCTTTTTGGGCCGTAGTATCTTGATTTATTTTGTGAGGAAAGCTCCGTACTTTTGAAGGATGCCTGCCATTCCTAATATGTTGGAGCGCCTTCAATTTCGTATGATACTGTGCAATATACCTCTGGTGTGAAATAGTTGCTTCAAGCGCCGTGGTACGCTGCGGCGCGGCGCGGCGGGCGGGCAGCCAGCGCGGAATGCGCATTGGCGCCTACAAACCTAACAGGGATACTTCACGCATTGCGCAATGCGTGAAGTATCCCTGTTAGGTTTGTAGGCGTCAGTGCACCGCGCCGCCGCTCCGCTTTGTGTTAGGCTCTAATATTTAATCTCGTGGAGTTAGCGTTTTCAACTCATGACTTTGAAATGTTTGCACACTCTGTATGGTTCATTCTCGTTTTAATTGATGAAAAAAATATGTAGTAAAGGAAAATATAGTGTGCGTTTTGTAAATATATTAAGAAGATGCCGTACAATCTTAAGGATTTACAAAGCACACGAATTTCTACACAATTTTTTATGGCCTTTCATAGCCGATGGCGAAAAAGCAACAGCCAGGCGATAAAGTGTAAAGCCCGGCGATAGGAACTATATAGCCCGGTTGTATAATTTTTTATAGCTTCGTGTAGCCCGGTCGTATGATTTTTTCTACTTTCTACAGCCAGCTATATGATTTTCTATCGCCTTCTTCAGTCGGCTATAAGAACTCCTATGGTATTTTGAAACGCAGCTACTATCGCCAATTTTTACCAGGGGTGGGTCTCGTTTGCGTTCTCTCTCGAATATAGATACTTCCCCATTTGAAGCTGGCAACAGAACAGGGTTGTACTGGTTTGACGAAAAATATGAAATATTGAAAATTTCCGTGAAATATTTCATGACATTTCACAAAGTTGTGAAAAATATGAAACGTATTTTCAGGGGCTAGGTATGCAACACGCACTAAAAAACACTCACACGCGAAAAAAATTAAACCAGTCGCCTTTCATTTGATTTTGCATTTAATTTCAAAAAACATCGTTCAATATGTTTCTAATTTTTCTGAAATTTCATGCAATATTTCACAAGAAATTTCAATATTTCATTTATCATGAAAAATTGCAACCCTGACAAAGAATCGATTATTTAGGTAGGTATACCCTGATGATCGATCCTTTCCCACGGGTTTAGAGGGCAGATCAATCGATCCATCGTAGAGGTCCAGTTACACGATCAAATTGAGCCATCAAATTGGGCCTCTAATTGGCCGCATCCTCACCTCAGGTCTTTTTCCACCAATCAGAACTTCAGTTTGATGGCTCAATTTGATCGTGCAGGTAACTGAACCTTTAAACACAACACGCCACTATGATTCGTCATCTTTTGATGCAGATGATAAGCTCAACGATCTCACGGGCGGCCTCGTTTACATTGGTGAGCATGATGACGGGAATGGATTTGGCATTTTTAACGTGGTTTGCATTGCGAACGCAGCACCACACGATGCAGTGGTACGGCTGGTGGAGGCGCAACAGTGTCGTCAAAATCATCGTCACGGAGCAAAATCAACCCAGACCTAGGAATAACGTCTCTTGTGATGATCAGCCCCCAACTTAGGTACCTACGTGCGACGATTTCCACCCAACTCGCACTTACACCACCCATGGTTGGCTTCGCCGTAACTTGAATATTTTCACATCCTACTCTCGCAAAAATGTCGCTATTTCTCCTTAAGTCTTCTTGTTATCGCGTCTGCGGGCTGATTATTGAAATTGATAGACAAAGCTATGGACAAAGAAGACATAAGGGGTATGGAACGATCTTAATGGTTGAAATGTGTGGTTCTTATAGACTAAGGGAGAAAATGATGGACTAGCTGTCGGATTTCTCGTGGGTTGGTCTATTACCTACTGCCTTTGTACATTGCAACCATCAGCTTCCACCAATATAGGTTCCCCCATATCCCTTTTATCATCTTTGTCTATAGCTTTGTCTATGAATTTCAGTGGTCGGCCCGCAGAGGATGGTGACTTAAAGAGGGTACTTAACCACACATTCCACAGGAGTGATTGAATTTTTTGGTGAACAACAAAAATGTATAAACGTATCTTATTTAATGTCTGCATTTATTACTGGAAAGCCCTTGTCACTCGTCACCCCCGTGTCATACTTCTGTTAACATAAACTCTCTCTAAAAGACACTTGCTACTTCCTTGCTAGATCAAATGCGGATGCGGCGTTATATGTGGAGGTGGCATTATATTTGGAGGTGGCGTTATATGTGGAGGTGGCGTTAAATATGGAGGTGAAGGTGGAGGTAGAGAATGTGCGAGCGGCGTACTCCGGGATGACCCAGTAAAAAGTAAAAGTTGGGGCGATGTACATGAACAAAACCACGAAAAGTGCTATGAAATCGTGTCGCGCCAACAATGTTGGACGATGTGCTGACGCCTCCATCTCAGAGTTGACGTTGTCTCTCATTTTTGCCAACTCGTCGTCGCAGAACTCGGTTCGGGTCCACTCCAGAAACCTGCAACATTTCCGGCAGCGTGAGGCCTAATGCTTTGAGGGAAGGAGCCGTGGAGAGCGTTACGCCATTTGGACGTATTCAAATGAGAAGGATCTGTATCCACTCTGACGTGAGCCCCAAGATCTACACAAATACATGCATGACACGGCTCATGTCACAATGGACATAGTTCCTTTTTATTTAAACGTCTATTTTCTTTCTACGTTTTTAAGGGTCGATCTACGTCACAAAAGCGTTACGAGGGAGGCGGGGGTCAAAGAACCTGAAATTTAGCGTTACGTATTTATGGACGGTCCATTTTTAGTGAAACTATGCAGAAGTGCAAAGACGTTGTCCTACGTCAATTAGAAAAAAAAAAAAACTTAGAGGAAAACTTGTGTTGCCACGAAATTAGACAAAAACTAGAGTCCTGGAGGCTTATTGTTAAAATTCACATTCAAAGCAATAGACAAAGAAGACATAGGGAGTACACGGAAAAAAATCTTTGGTGCTTATAGCCAGATAGTAGGTGGCATTTACCATCTTAATTTCCCAGATTCGACCCCTGAGAACAATTTTGCTACGAGCACAAATGTATGATGGTTAGAAACCTCAAACCGCGATCAGGTAGGCGTTGACAACAAAGATGGTAATTCGCACCAACACTGCTGGGCGGGCGCGCCGTCCTCCGTAGACGTCTCGCACAACGCTGTTGAGATAGACCTTCAAAGATGGTAAACTGACCCATCCGGGTGTTTAGTGTATCAATCATGAAAGCAAGGAGAACCTAATATTTTGTGTTTTTAGCCATAAGAGGAGTATTTTCTTGTAAAACGTACAGCTAAAAAAAGACCTCATAGGAACTTAAATTAATGAACCAGGTGGTGCTCTTATGCCAACTTTCGAAGAATTAAAGGCATTTTTTTTTTAACAATTTACAGTTCTTGAAAATGAGCTGTTTGTGTCATGTCGCGGAGCAAAGCGCCCTACTTTTGGGCCTCGTAATCCCTTGAATTTTGATTTTAGTCCAAAGATCTTTTAGGAACTTAAATTAATGGCCCAGGTGATGTGCTTGATGCCCACTTTTAAAGAATTAAAGGCATTTTTCAAAATTTACAGTCCCTTAAAATTAAAATGAGCTCTCCGTGTGATTTTGCTGAAAATGAACCTTTAACCCAATTTGATCCTAGTCCCCCCAAATTTTAGCGTACCCCTAAATCGTTTGACGTGCATAAGGAGACCATAGATATGGTGTTCTGTGCCAATTTTGAATGAAATCGAACAGATAGATTCTGAGATATCGCTGTACACAGATTTGGGGGACATCGGACGGACGAACCAAAGACATAAAGACGGAGCGCTCGTATCTAAAAGCACGGGGGAAAAGTGAAGCTAGGTTCGGCGCTGCGCGCTTGTGTGAGTGTGTAAATGAGCGCGGGAATCCATGGCGGCAAACGGAAATTTGATTTGAACTTGTCCTCTTGATTTTTCCTTATTTCTTCTTCTTAACGTGTTTTAAATGCCTAAAACGATTATATTAAGAAAGTTCGGTCTGCGTCCTAATATAATACACCTACTTTTGCTCGGTAACAGGCAGTAATCTCAGATAAAGTTAGTTTTTCTTCTGCTCATGGTGGTTCTGCCGGTTCAAACAGGCCGTTACAGTCGTAGATGATAGAGTCCCTTTATACCCAGAGTTAAGACAACTCACTTTTGGTTGGGCTGAAAGTGGCCTAAAAAAAATCCAATTCTGATTGGTTCTCGCTCATGGAGGCCGAAACGAGTGCACCAAGATGGCGGTACCTCGAATGTGAACAAGAATAATGAAAATATTACCTAATTGTGGTTTATCAAGAGTAAATTGTTATTTCCATCGGTCCAAAATGAAAATAGATTAAGAAATTATTCACAAACCAATCTCATTTTCTTTTTAATTGATCAATTTGTTGATGTTGTTGTTTTTGTGTGACAGTAATCGCAGGATTCCTGATCCTTATCCCTCAATATCGTTCGTTTGGGTGCACTCGTTTCGGCCTCCATGGCCAGACAAGGCCGGCTGCCAGTCAGCTGATAATCGAGTTGTCTTAACTCTGGGTATAAAGGGACTCATGGGTCATTCCACGCCTAGGTAGTCCGGGGGGTATTTTTTTCCTCCCCTCCAAATGACCCAACAATATTTATTTTTGGACTCCTTAATACTCCTAGTTTTTGGAAATATATGGGGTTTACATCCGTTTTGTTTTTTTTCTCGCAATTTTCACGTGTTTTGTAACCCCATTGGTTAGCTTCATTCTACTGTAAAAAGAGTGACAGTTTGGTAGCAATATTTTCTGGTGTTCCCGCCAAAACCAAGTTTCAGTTTATGTTTGCAGTTGTCAAGAAACTGATTCAATGTGTTCCTGCAAAGTTTCAATTTTTAAAAGTAATTACTATGTATTATATGTAACTTTTAAAACTTAGTGTACTGACTGTCACACCCGTTACGCAAAACATGGGTTTTTTAATGTAACTATTTTAATTCATGTTATTTTGAGATGCTAATTTTTTCCGTACGTCTTCAAGTCAAGTACAGCTTTGGAGTATTTTTTCCAAATTTTTATTTCAACAATTGATAGGCAAAACTGCGTAACGGGTGTGACACGTTACGGGTGTGACCAATAAGAAGAGACTTCAATTATGCAGATGTTGCCTCACTTCTCACCATTTTTTCTATGGTTATCACAAGAAATACACTCATATGCACAATTATAGGTATGTATACATCTAATAAGAGAGAGATAGCCAACTTTTTTGCCATATTTCAGTATTTAAAGTGAATACACCTATCTCAAAAGGACTTCAAATAGAACTCGTTGAACTCTCTCCGATTGGATTGAAATATTTTCACTTTACTATAGGCCTAGACCTACCGTACCAGGATTTTTTTTTGGTCAATTTGGATCATGCGAGGTCCAGGACCGCGGGAACGAAAGGGGAATCCTGGGCTACCCGAAGAAAAGCCCTGGGACGGTAGGTCTGGGCCACCCTGTAGAAAAATGTAGTTTTGGCATGTTCTACATTAAAATGCGTCTAATTGCTGATTGATTCACTGCTTAGGATTGCCTACAATAAGAGTATGAAAAGAAAAGTAAGTTTTTTAACTTTTAATTGCTCTCAGAAATGATGGACCTCAGAGAGACAATCTGTCACACCCGTTACGTCACACCCGTAACGCAAACGGTAGGTCTGGGCCACCTTGTAGAAAAATGTAGTTTTGGCATGTTCTACATTAAAATGCGTCAAATTGCTGATTGATTTACTGCTTAGGATTGCCGGCAATAAGAGTATGAGAAGAAAAGTAAGTTGTTTAACTTTTAAACTCTCTCAGAAATGATGGACCTCAGAGAGACAATCTGTCACACCCGTTACGTCACACCCGTTACGCAAACTCTCCCATTTTTCAAGGAAAGAAAAAAAGAGAATCGAAAACGGATCATCGGCAGATGAAGCAAAAACCCTTGGCTTCATCATATAATTTAATCAGATTTTTAAATTCATAAAATTCGCTGAGTTTCCACTTTACACTCACTGAGGAAAAACTCGCTTCCAAAATCGGTCACGCCCGTTACGCAGCCTTTTAATTTTTTCCTGAGGAATGGAACAAAGTATAAACAATTTCTGATAAACTAAAATGATCTATAAAAAAAGTTCTTTCTGCTACTGCAGATAATTTTTTAATTAAACCCCAAGAAAGAGTTCAAATTCTTGTTTAAAGTTAAATTGTTGTCACACCCGTTACAATGAAATGACCCTCTAGTAGATGACAGTTACTCCCAAATGAAATTAATCGGTCAACGACGGACCAAAACTAACCTAAAGTTATACAAATATGAGTGTGTAAGTGAATTTGGGCAAAAATCAACTTAAAATACTTTGTTTCCGCAATTTTATTTAGTTCCCGCCCTACATTTGAATTTCAAACTTGTCCCGATTTCGCCGCCAATCCTATAGCCAATAGTAGAGGTGATTGAAAAGAAGCTTCATTTTTTGCTTTTAGCGCTCCGTCTTTATGTCTTTGGGACGGACACACATTTTTTCAAGTACGGTTATTTTGACTCCTGGTACCTTAAAACGTACAGAAATGATGAAATTTCGACTTTTTTTTTTTTTTTTTTTTCTTGGAGGATGACAATACTTCCTCTCCACCCTTGGGGAGCGAGAAAGTAAAAATTGAATACAAAGGTGTGCAATGTCGGGGCTCGCAGCTAGGAGATGGTGGAAAAGGGTTAATCGCGTAAATAAATTTCGAAATCGAGTAAAAGGAGACTACGCAGTACTTATTGTGAGGTGCTGTAGTCGTATCCGACCTATCAAATTTGTTTGCCTACCGCGGGGATTGGACCTGGGACCTATCCAACCCTAGCCGCAGACCCTAATGATTGAGCTATACAGTATGATGAGAATCTTGACCGAACGGAAAACCAGGATATTCAATCTACATACTTAGATTGGTTCATTCATTTTTCTAGTTTTGTATTTCATTTTATTTTTTAACGTTATTTCAGTTTTTTACTTTATTTTATTTCGTTACTTCATTTTAAATTTTTTACTTTATTTTTTTTTCTTTACGTAATATAATTTTTATTTTTCTTTGATTATTTATTCTTTATTTCTTCCCTGTATTTTACCGTTACTTACTTTATTTTATTTCTTGCAATTTTTTATTTTTTTACTTTAATTCAGTCACTTCATTTTAATTTTTATACTTCATTAAATATCTCTTCGTTGTTATTTATAACTGCATTTTATTTATCTATTTTTTCTTTTTTTCTTTTCATGTCGAGAATCAATTCAAAATTTTCAAACTTGGATTATTTTTATGATTGGCTAAAAAGCTTCTAGCATTGGACAAATAAGCCCAGGCTACTTACTTGAACAAGTGAGATTATGTAGAATAAAAAATAAAAAAAATTACCCCTCTAAAGTACTGAAGCCTTGACACGGTGTTAAATATAGTGCACGCCTAGCCTACTGGTAAACCTGGGATGTTTAGCTTAACGACAGCATACAATTGACAAGAAACATTGTTAAAACATTCGTAACAATTGATAAATTTCTGCCATTTCCTTGGAATTTTGAATGTGGAAAAAATTGATTTTGAAAACTTTTATTAGTGCCAGGGGCCTTTGGCCGCTACGCTGCCGACAACCAATGCGGAAGAAAACATACATACGTAAAAAGTCGTAGAACAACCGTGTTCAAGTTATCTCGGAGATTAATGGATTCAAATACCGTCAATGTTTTATTTTTGATCAATGTTTTTAAAAGAATACACACTGTTATTCTAATGAGTTTCCGCAAATTTTCCTGAGTGATTTAAAATAGATAAAAGAAAATTTGACTTAAAACGCATAGTATCCGAAATCTAAGCTCAGATTCGGCTTCCTCGTGAAAAATCGATGCAATTTCATGTATCATATGTCACCATATCATGAAGGAAAGCGATTAACGTAGGCGTGTAGATTCTAACATATCAGTCCGACGTGGCAACATGGGTGACTCGGAGTGGGTCAGCTGATGAGTAAGAAGAAGTTTGTTTTCTCGGAAACGGACGAACTAGGGATGTCGATACTCAGGGAAGTATCGATACTCGGTATCGATACTGGTATCGACTCTAAGCATCGATACCGGTATCGAGCATCGAGCTGAAGTATCGATACTTATGAGGTATCGATACCATCGATACTATTTCAAAATTATGCCGTGATTCTGAGTGTGCGTATGTCTGTCGGCCGTTAAATTCCGCCAGATTTACGCCTCTCTCGAAAAAGCCCTGTTCGCGTCCTTGGTCAACTATTTTGAGCCCTTAACTACAGTTATCGAACTGAGCTTTTAACATTTTCATTGAAGTATAATCATCTTGAGAAACTTGATTACTCCGTCGTTTGTCACAGTGCATCATGGAGGTGAAATAGTAGGGAGAGAGTTTTTTAAAAAAGAAAAAGAGGCCTTTTTCATGGCCAAATCAGACTAAGTATCGATACCGTCGATACTGGGGTCTTGACATCGATACTGCATGGTATCGATATCGTGGAGTATCGATGCCGAGTATCGTTAAGTATCGATCGAAAGTATCGATACTTTGCAAGTATCGGATAAGTATCAACATCCCTAGGACGAACCAAATGCTTGGCGCCTGGCGCCTGGCGGCGTAGCTCAAACGTTTGAATTTTGTGCCTATTTCCGCATACCGGCCGGCTTTGATAGAATCTTTACGCCTACGATTACCCTCTTTTCTTTGTGCTGTGGTAACATATGATACATGAAATAGGTAGCATCGATTTTTCACGAGGAAGCCGAATATCTGAGCTTAGATTTTGGGTAGGTATGATGGGTTTCAAGTTTAATTCTCTGAATTTGAAAATTTAAGACGGCAGACGTAGCCTAAATTGATACATCGGCTCCCATTCCATCGATTAAATTCGAATTTTTAGTCTAATTTCGAAAATTCGAAAAACCAAGGTGGCGAGCGTGGCCTAAAACTCTATCTCAGTTCCTGCTCGTCGAAATACTAGGGGGCTATGCCCCCTGACCGCTACGGGGTCCAACCCCCTGAAGGCGCCCCGCGCCATCAATGGGCGGCCCTATTTTTACCTCCTATCAGTGTTAGTTTTATTTTTCCCCCCAAAAATTACGAATTACGATATGAGGTATACTTACTTTACTTTTAGAATGAAATAATTTTTGGTTTTGATGAATATTTTAGTTCGTTTTAATCCGTTTTTTTTTTTTTTTTAAATCCGTGAAAAATTTAACATCGTCCGAGTTTCTGAATTGTTGTAATAAATGCCCTTTAATTATCATTAAAACCGAGCAGAGTCAAGAATAATTAATTACTCGAAGTCATATAGTTTTGCGGCGACTTCACCGTCGCCCGAGCCAGGGACGAGAAAAGGAGTACGCTCCACGAACATACATATTATTACACGCTTATCAGTCACACAAGGTGGGTTGAATATGAATTCTTGAAAATTTATCAACATACTTTCCCTAATCAGCTCATATCTGATTGCTTTCTTTGGTGACTCAATGTTGGTAAAGCGTAAAAAATTGACGGGGCAGACTACTAACAAAATACTTTAATTGAGTTAAGTATCTGAGATGGTGACCTTCATAATCAAGTTTATAATTTGCACTAACGCATTCTGTAGTTCGATGAGCCCACTTAACCGAGTAGCATCAATCAAAAACAAGGTAGGTGAAGCGCAAGCGCACTCTTTGGTGCAATGAGTCAACTTAATGGAGCAGTTTACCATCAATTTTGTCTCGGTGAAAGATTTGTAATAGCTAGTAGCAACTAATTGAAAATCATTGATTTCCCGAAAGACGTTTTGAACAATACAATGCCGTTGGTTATTCTATCAATTTTTTTCATGTATACAGCACCAACTTTTAATTAACAAAACCAAGATGGTTATCCGCGCACAGTCATTTTTTTCTGTGAAGGTCTGGTTGTGAACTTTTTCAGTGGAGATTTCCGGGTAGGTTTAAAAGTTAGGCATTTTTCGACGCTCAGTATGAGGGAAGAGTAGGAAAAATTCAGGTCAAAAATTCCCCATGTTGAATATTTCGTTCTAAAATAATCGCTATTTTCAACAGCTCTTGAATATTATGGAACATTAAGTTGAAAGGAACTTGCTGTACTGAAATAAAACGGTGGTGATCCTTAAAATTAATATAAAGATAATGCTGCAAAATGACGCATCTCCGTTAGTAACATGGCTGATTTCCTAGTATACTAGATTTTATCTGTAGAAAACGAGTTAACATAATTTCTTGGAAACTTCCTTGATTTTTCATCTATATTAGCGGAACGTTCTGTATCATGACAAGTACTGATAATGGATATTTAGAACCCCACCAACATTATGTAACTCTGGAAAAATTCTGAGTTCTTGAGATATTAAATTTCACATCTTACGTATGATTTAAAAATTCATAAAAGTTAGGAAGGAAACTGCTTACTTTGAATAATACCTAGTTTTGGAGATATGATGATTTGAAACATTGTCATCCAAATGCATAGATTATTTATTTATCTACCTGGTTATCTTTTTAAACAGAAAAAAAAGAGAAAAACAGAACGGCCAGTATCGTTAACACCCATAAAATGGGTTGAAAACGAGACAGAATAAAAACAGGACAAATTTGAAGTTCAGTATAATAAATGATCTTTATTAATTACATATATATTTCAAAAATCAGAAAGTAATTTCAATAGATAAAATTAAAACAACTATTATGTTATATTTCACAAGGGGAGAGTAAATGATAGAAGTAAAACGAGGGGTGATAAAATGTGATCAGTAGAGACTTCATCTGACAATTCATAAAATAATTTGTATTTTGGACAGACGGACTTATCATCCATTTTTAGGCAACAAAATATATATCATATTCATGTTCATTAGGTACAATGAAAAATTCAGGGAGAAAATGGGGACAAAATAATTAGATAATTTTTCTACCAAAGCTACTAGATGTGCACTTTTTTTTAAGAAAGAAAAAAAATTATAGAGGGACATCTTGACAGAGATAAAAAATAAATAAAACTAAAAGGACTGGGAGACAAAGGAAGAGGAGGGGTATATATGATGGTAAACACTTCAAATTGAGCTTTCATTATGAGTTGACTAAAATAAATGGACTGTACATAATTAATATGGTACAGACACAAAACCACCAGGAAATAGCAAATCATGTAAAGTGATTAGGTTAAGAGGTCCTGATAAATTTTCAGACAATTCCCATTATCACTTTACTCCAAATCAGTGGTGTAGAAAAATAAATTAATTGAATTAGAGCAATGATGCAAGGTCAAAATAAATTGCTTAATAAGGAAGAAAAAAAGTAAGGCCCAAGTTGTAAAACGAGAGAAAATTTGATGAGGGAAACAATTCAGACAAAATACGTGAGATATGCTGATTATTACTTGATAAGACTGTGCTATTTCAACACATCAAGTTATAATGATATTTAAATAAAAGACAGTTTTTTTTAAAGACTCTGGACATGATTTTTACTTTTCATGCATTCACTTTAAAAAAAACCAGCTTTAAATTTTGAACTTGGGAAAATGAAAAATTATTGAAGTAGGAGGATACGACATTATAATTTTGTGATGGTTTCAGGAAAGACGACATTATAGTAAGTACAAATTACGGAAAATTTCACCTCATCAAAAATACTGTAGGATGCTATTAAGTCAAAGTAAACATTGGGATTTGAAAATCATGATTTACAGTAATAAATACACATTTTACTTGGCGTTAAGTTGGAAGTATGTTGTTCTAATTTCTTGTGGTCCCTTTACTGAGTTGAAATTTACCTTCTCTTTAATGAAGGGAGACAATAGTTGTGTTTTATAAGAGAGAACACAAATTCTTGGAATTTCAAGGTTATTATGCAATATTAATTCATTCAAGTTACAAAGCTGGAAATAAATCAATAGATGGGAGAGGACAGAAAATGGGAACTATGTGAAATCTTTCCACGAAAATTTCAAATAGGCACTGTCAGAAGTGAAAATGAATGGATTGACTAGCATTTCCATTTCTCTGTGATTGAGAATGTGATGCCCCTTCTTTATTTGCATTCCTGCAAATTTTATGGCCTGGGTTACGCGATCAAACTGAGCTCATCAGTCCAACAAAGTTGCTTCTATTGGTTTTTCATCTTCCAATCAGAGCATACCACCATCGAACTCTCGCAGGCTGCTTCAGTTTGACGGAGTATCGTCTGTGTTTCCATTCATTGGGTAAAGTGTGGGCTTCAGAGTCCAGGTTTTTAGGAAATACAGCCAGAACCGATCAGAGTCCTGGAAATCTGAACTTGTAAGATTGATAGGCTCAGTTAAATCGTAAGACACAAGCTTAGGGGTAGAGCATTTAATATTTGCAACCAAACTGTGAATAATAGATTTCCTTATTTTATCAAAACATAAATTGATTTAACTTCAGTCCTTGTTAATACGGAATCTGAGAGCAAATGGAAAGATGACTGAATTCATTACCAACTCATTCAAATATTTGATCACTTCAATGACAGCACTTCTAAGAAAAATCTCTTTGCTCTATTGATTAGTAGTTTCAGATTGTGCTCTATCAAACTGATTTAAATGTGCCCTCAAAGTGTTCAGAGAAGAGGAGTAAAGAATAGTTATCACAATGTGGAAGCTCCAACACAACATCAATTGCTATTAGCCTGATAAAAAAATGAGAAAAAAAAGAAAAAAAAGCAACTTATCCCTAGTGGTAATCAAGAAAAGTTTTGCAGTTTCAAAAACTTAAGACAACTAATTATTGATCACAAGAGAGACCTCTGTTGAAAGTACGATATATTAAACTGCTTTGTAGGTACTTTGAAATCTGTCATTTACAATCATCATATCATCATATTTGTTGTCTCTCATTACTCCGTTAGACAAAGAACGTGAGAAAAGGAAACCTACTTACACTACTCGTTTTGTATTTAACTAAAAAAATCTTACACTTCTACAAACAGAGAAGGCGGAATTGTTAAACTTAAAAATTCAACAATTCTACTGTACGCATATGATGGTAACTGTTCAGTTTATAACTCTTCTTCACGTTCTGAAATGACGGTTTTGGGTAGGAGACCCAATGATCGATGAAATGAGGAACACATCCACATAAAAACTAAAAATGAATTTTCTGCCTCCCTTATGCCTTACTTGGTATTAGTCAGGTCTGAAAAATATTACGGAGCTATAAATTAAACAGTTTGAAACAAAAAAGTTCTGAGATAACTGCAAACCAACATAATTAACTATCTAACAAAATTATCTAAGTTAAAAGAGAGAAGATTGAAAGTATAAAAAAAAAAGAAACATCATGAAACAGAAAAGGAAAACTATTTGCCTGTGTCATTTGCTCAATAAAATTGTGTAAAAAAATGAACAAGATGACCAAGCGTTTTTAATCTATTGCTTTTAGAAAAAAAGAGAGGAAAAAAAGTGATATAATATTTATATACTTGACTTTACTCGAGGCTTAAAATAACTAGTGCTTAAATTTGACTAATAAAGAAAGATTAGAGTCAACAAAATAGATGACAATTTGAACGTCTGCTGGTCTCAGGGGAGGTTGATCGGAAATGAAAGGCTGAGAACCCATACAGAAGGCAGAAAGAAATTGTCGTTTTATTAACCTAGAACGTTGATGATTGAACAGAACTATAATGGCAAATTCAACTGAATTATCACAGATTTTTTTAACTTAAGTGTAAGATTGTTCTAACTTTTCTTTCCTTTTCTATAAATAAGAGACATTTCATAATTATAGCTTTTAGCATCTTATCTGCACCCACAGCAACTTTGAATCTGAGAAAGGAAACTGCAAAGTTTCTCTATTCGTCCCGCAGGAAAAATAAAATATCTCAATTTTGCTACTATGGTGAAATGGAATGAAATGAACGATAATTCCAAATGAAAAATGATTGCTGAAAATTTTGGTACAACCTTAGGATAGGGTTTTGATCAATCTCTGTTAAGCTGCTTACAAGTACATATTAGCTAGATGGTAATTAATTGCTACTGTAAAAAAAGAAAAAAATGCTTCTCTCTTTTGGCAGTTGGTTGCAGTTGAGTTCAAAATTGAATTGGTTGACAGCCACAGATTTAAATAATGCACAGAAAGCTTTTAAACTAGCTTTCACCATGTTATAAATTTTTATTCCAGCTCAAATTGCAATGAACACAAAATTAGAAGATGAGAAAAAATATGAGCACTCAAAGTTACTTTAGTTAAATAAATGCTTGCAGACAGAGCAGAAGAGATTCTCATTTCAAATTCTTGAAAAATCTGGAATTCGAAACAAAAATTCTCACGAAAACTGACCCATCTCTGCCATTCTTTGTAATCATTGTAAAAATGTCTTCACGAGTGTGTTATTTTAAATACAAATGAAAAAGTCTCTAAAATGGTTATTGACACCAGAACTTTTATGTAACAATGGTAAAAAAATTTAAATGTTATTAATTATAATATTTGATCACTATACACACAAAAACAGGGAAACCAAGGAAATTAAATAAGGGATGGGGATGGATAAGAGAAGGCTCTAAGGCATTTATATCGAATTATAATATGTACAAAGCGCACCTGAGAATTTATAATATTTATACCTGCATTGTGAAAAACTTTACTTGACTAGGCGTAATGGCAAGGTAAGTCTAAAGAAGCAAGAGCATAAACCAGATTTTGTTAAGTAGTGTCATTCCGCATGGGGGACAATTACATGCTGTTCTTGCTGAGAGTTCTTGATTCTGGCATACCACACCTTATATTAAACAAATGGACATACTAAAAATCTTCTGATTAGACTTGCCTTGGAGTAACAGAAGAAGATATGAAGAATAATGAATATGATGATGACAAATCACAAAAGGAAACTGAATGAGAGTTAAATTTTGATTTTTAATGAGAGACGTTGGTTTTAAATATACTTCAGAGAAGAAGGTTGATACTCATTGCTTGAACAATACTCATGATAATTCTGGACTCAGTAAGGCTATTGCAGTCTAAAATTTTCTGACAAATGGTGTCAAAGGGGCACTATGTACACAATAATACGATAACATATAAGTAACATTCAACATTACTGTTTTGAACAGTAAGTATTTTTATCCAATTTTCGATTTAACATTTCTTTTTACTTTCAAGAGGTATTGCAAAGTAGGTAGGTATTCATCACATGAATAATTCAAAATCACTTGAAAGCATTCAAATTCATCTAATTCAAAGAATCATGAACAATTCACGATGATTATTCAACAATAATAATAGTGATAATAAATAAAAATAAATAAAGTAGAACTGAGAGTAAAAACTGAGGGGAAGAATTTTAAGGATGCTATAGTTGATGGTTGGATGAAGGCTGAACAACATCCATCATTTCATCTTGTGGAACAGAATTACTTTCATGACGGTCAAAAGGATTTCTTAGCGGAGGACTCAAATATGAATGACCTTGTGAACCAGCTAGTCCTTTCCGAGGTGAGCGAGCTTTGATAACCCGAGGCCTGTACATTTCTTCTAGCACTGACGGGGCAACATAGGTGAATCCCTGCAAAGAAAGCAAAATCTAATTATGAAAGATGGTGGTAAACAAGATATCTGTTTAAAGTTGTATTCATAAATATATCCGATCTTCCTAGATTTCTCGAAGTACAAAATGCCACCTTTAAAGAGGTCATTAGAAACCTTAACCACAGCAAACTCTAAATTTTCTCAGGGTGGGGACATCACAGAGGGCCACCAGTTACTTGCCGGAGGATAAATTTAATCGTAGGTAGAATTTCACACTGATGTTTATAATAACTGAGCAAACAAACTTTTTTAAAAAGTTCATGAATAATTTAAAATATGTGACAAATCATTTGAAACTAGCGCAGCTGTGACAGATGTTTTAACTCAACTTGTGAGATGTATAAATTACTTTCATAAGTGGATTGAAATTAATCTTTAAGCATCTTGCAAAATATTGGCTGACAGTATTCTGAAGGCAGACGATTTCAAAATCCCCTAAATTCACAGTATTGTAAATTTATTAGTCAATAGGTTTCTTCCACATAGGAGATACGAGGGCTGTCCCAAAAGAAACCGGACTTTTGTCATAGAAGGCGAACCAAGCGTTGTAATGAAGTTTTCTTGGGCTTGTTTGAAAGCTGATAAGCTACTGAAGATACTTGTTTTTACAGAATGCAAAAATTTGTCTTGGTAAGGAAACTACACGCTTTGGAATAAAGGAAAGTCAAACTCGAGTTGCGATTTTTGTCTTTATTTCAAGTAAAATTTAGATACTACTTAAGAAACCCAGGTTTTAAGTTAGATACTTCGTTGCTCTCTTATTCAAATGCTTAAAAATAAGGAAATTAACATTTTAAGCAGCTTACCAAGTCATAACCTATCTCTTTCAAAATAGTTGCCAGCTTTGTCAATGCATTTTTGCCACCGTTTCTTCAACTGGGAGAAACACTGTCGGAAATCCGCAGATTTGAATGATCGCAATTCCTACAATGTGTTCTCTTGAATTTCCGGAATGGTTTGAAAACGTCGACCTTTCAAGGTAGATTTAAGTCGTGGAAATAAGAAAAAATCACACGGAGCCAAGTCAGGTCACCTTGAAGGAATTGCGATCATTCAAACCTGAGGATTTCCAACAGTGTTTCTCCCAGTTGAAGAAACGGTGGAAAAAAATGCATTGACAAAGCTGGCAAGTATTTTGAAGGGGATAGGTTATGACTTGGTAAGCTGCTTAAAATGTTAATTTCCTTATTTTTAAGCATTTGAATAAGAGAGCAACGAATTTTTAACTTAAAACCTGGGTTTTTTTAAAGTTGTATCTTAATTTTTCTTGAAATAAAGACAAAAATCGCAACTCGAGTTTGACTTTCCTTTATTCCAAAGCGTGTAGTTTCCTTACCAAGACGAATTTTTGCATTCTGTAAAAACAAGCATCTCCAGTAGCTTATCAGCTTTCAAACAAGCCCAAGAAAACTTCATTACGACGCTTGGTTCGCCTTCTATGACAAAAGTCCGGTTTCTTTTGGGACAGCCCTCGTATAGCTGACTGCAAAGTTATATCATAGGAAAGATGTACAAAAATCACAATAAGTAGATAAGAAAAGCCTAAAATCTGCCCTTTTACACAATATTAGCATAATCTGTCTCCTGTATTTTTATTTTTCCACTTCTATGGCCACTCCTTTTTTACTTGCTAGCAATGAGGTTAGCAGAGATAAATTTTAAATAGCTTAGTATACATAAAGGAAATTAGCAGACAAGATAATCTTGTAAGCTGTTACCAATCTTTTCTTATGTACAATTTCAATTTTTTTATTCCCTTTTCAAAAAGTTGGAAGAAGAAAGCAAATGCATTGAAAAAACTGAAATTAGACGAAAGATTGATGACATTACTTGAAATTGATCACTCATTTAGTTTACGTTCTCTTACATTTTCCTCTCAGTAAACCTGGTTGCCGACAACCAGGAATAAAGTGCCATCAGAAGCAATAAACTTAGGGATGTACGTAATGTTAAGAACTTGTAGATTCTAGACTTTCCTGACCTGAAGATTTTCAAGCAGATCTTTTGATTGAAAGCTTATTCAGTTTCCTGTAATTCTTGAGTTTAATAGACTTAAACGTAATTTTAAATTTTTTACTTGATAAGTTTTAAAAACTTAAGAAAACTTTGAATAAAACAATTTTATTGTAAAAATTGTTTGTGAAATTGTTTCTTAATGCCGGAGGGTTGATCTACTATCGATTATGTTTAATTCTTAAAACCTATACTTACTGCAAAAACTTGATTGACACTTTCACTAAGAGCTGTATCTTCAGGAGAATCTAAGGGAGTTTCTCTGGTAAATTTAGTATCAAATTGTGAGGTATCATCTGCTCCTTTCTAAAATTCCATAAATAAAAAGTATATTAGTCACCTTCAAGATGAGCAGAAAAAAAGAAAAATCATTTAAGACTTAAGACTTACTTACATACCAATAGTGAAACTACAGAAATCCGTATTTTGGTGTGCGGCGTTCCACACTTCCTGTCATACTTCATTTTCTACATGGAAAACTACAATACATAATTTCTCAAAAACTTTGGTGATTTTTTTTCCCTATGTAAAGAATGTTTTGTGAAAATCTCAGGCTATGATGTTGGTTATGTCTCCTTTTGATTAAATAAAATAGGAACAGTGATTCTGAAACACCGCAACTGAAATACGCGTTTTTGTAGTATCACCATCGATAAATCGAGGTCAGTTGAGGTAAACAACTTCAAATTTTATGAAAAGTGATATTATTCCTAACATGTTTATGTCATGCCATAAAATAACCCCTTTTCACTTGATTGGCAAGAGGACCCTCAAAAATTCACTTGTCAGCTCTGGTTTTCTCAATACTGGTATACAGAAAGTACAATTAACAGGACTCATCAGGCTCAAAAGGTCATAAAGAACACCATATGAAGTGATACTAAAGTTAGCCAGCACTGAATTCTTTTGTTTTCAATGCAGGGTCCCCTCCAGGAAATAATCCGTAAATGTTAGGTCAAATGATTATTTTTTAATGTTTAATAGAGCAGATCAGTTTCGAAGTGTGTTTGCTACGTTTCACCTTTTAATCACTGAATGGCTGTAAAAAGTATTTTTCCAAGGACTGAGTAAAAGTGAAAAATAAAAATAGATAAATAGAAATAGAGAGAAAAGTCGCTGTATTTGCTAGCAGTAGGTTGTGATGTTCATATTTCAAAGCCAAAGGGTGGAGAGCTAAAATAAAGGACAAAAATTAAAAAAAGCCCGTACCATATTGCAGAATCAGTTCTAGGATTCAAAAAAGTCAATATTATGACAAGTCTCACTTACAAAGGTACCTTTTTGGTATTCTTGCAATGGGAAAAAGAAAATGAGGCTTACCAAACACTTGTTTAAATATTTACTTTCTTCCTTTTATGACTTCGTATTAAGTATCGTAAAGGATATTTCTAGTGGATTCACTTAACATGACAAGAAAAAGAGAATTTCTCAAGGTAAATTGATTAAAGAATTAATTGAAAGACAAGAACACACAGGTTAGGAGGAGCATTGAGTCACGTTTCTTTTGCCTCTATGCATTATTATTCTTTATTATTCTTCATTCTTATTCTACCTATTTTCTTGGCAATATGGTGGTTTATTCTGGGATCGTTACAAACAAAATGAAGTGCAAATAATGTCTAAAACTTACAAGTTTAGGTTTGAATGGTGCTTCTGCTTTCCTTGACATAATATCATTCCAATTTATGCTTCGGAAGAAACAATGTCTACGAATTTCCAAACCATCTTCAGGAGAGGAGCCTAGTCTTTGGTGAGGATAGCGCTGAAGAAAGACAAAAAATGAACGCCATTCAACACACTTCTAAGAATGATTTTTAGCTCAAATTGATAGAATTCGAAGACAAAACTAATATAATAAACTAAAAAGTATAGGATGCTTTTAATAAGACTTAAAAATGACTATGACTATGGGAAAAGAGCTGGCTCTCATCCCCAGAGAAGGAATGAAAGTATTTTATGTTTTTAATTTTTGAAAGCTGTCTGTGAGAAACAACACAAAATTTGTATTAACTTTGATCAATTTTATTACTTTTACAAGTACTTGATGCGGTAATGATTGGAGAATCAGGACTTATGCCTTAGTCTAAGGAAGGTGCAAAAGAAAACCTAGTGATTAGACTTGCTAATTTTAAGAAAAATAAACTTACTTTTAACAATCGTTTTATCAGGTCTCTAGCATCTGATGACAAGTACGGAGGTAGATACAATCTTCCTTTCATTATCCTTTCTATGGTTCTTTTCCTATTTTCACCAGTGTATGGTGGCTGAAACACAAAATGGACATGAGGGAAACTCACAAATATTCCTCTTCATAAATTTATTTTTTGGAGAAATTAAAATACCATTGAACACATTGAAGAACAGGTAAAATTTTGCTGCAAAATTAAAAATAACGGTGTGGAAGCCACATACCTTGCTCAAAGTTTTAATTCATAAAAATTCCAAAATATGTTTAATAATACAAATTATTTCCACTAGAATTTGGGTCAGTTATTTCATCTAGCCGATTCAGATAGTTTTATTGAATTCCTTAAGATTGCTTTGAAGAGGGAGTGCTTAAGTATGTTGATGCAATGTTTCATGCATGGGTACCGTTCCTGGTAAAACCACAAGTTCAGAGGCCATTCAGACAAAAAATGGTAAAAAACTTTTAACCCAAAACCTCCATGTGAAGTTATTTCAATTTGATGGATGCTAAGCCAATCACAGCTTCACTGCATTCATTATGAACTCAATGCTGGGTAGCATTTGTAAGGATTTTCCATTCTGTGATCGTATTCCGTCATCATGCTGCTACAAAGTGAAAAGAAATGACTAGTGACCAGTACAGCATTCAGTGGTTTTAAATTAATTTTTGAATTTTTTTAGAATTAATCACTTATAAGGCTGTTGCAAAATGTTCTTAGAGGTAGTTGAGATGAAAAAGTACTGATGATGTTCCACTTACAGTTCCAGTTAACATATCATACAGTAAGGCACCTAGGGACCACCAATCAACAGCTTTGCCATGGCCACTTCTTGTCAGAATTTCAGGTGCCCTGAAAATTAAAAAGGAAAAATGTATTAAGATATGAATCGAAATGAGACCCATTTAAAAAAAAAAAAAAAAAAAAAAAAAAAAAAAAAAAAAATTTAATATATCAATATGATAATCAATCGCAGTTGTTCAAGTTACATTTTTCTAGATCCGAGAGTACGTTATTGATGGGATCTTACTGTAATCCTCAATAGGTAGTGAAATGGGTAACTTACTTAAAACCAACCTGATGACAGTGTTTGAGCGCCGAAATAGCGATTAATGTTAATTTTTAAAGTAAGCTAACCATTTTACTACCTATCCAAGATTACAAGAAAAAACAAGTCAATAATTGCAGTGATGTTGAATAGAAGCTTCAATATTTAGCACAATGGATTGTTGCAACTGAGAGTTTTGTCTATGAGCTGCGGCAAAGGCTGACTCACACACTGGTGGCTAGACTAATCTACTTTAACTAACTTTACTGCTGAATTTTGTTGCATGCAATGGAAAAAAAATCCAAAATTTTTTACGATGGAATTTTTTTAACCACTAATAACAATTCCAGTGCGGGCCTGTGTTGATACAGGCTTTAACAGAGCATGGATGGTGCAAGAGGAATCAGCATTATCATGCAGTAATCACGATCGGACCGATCTCTACAGGCGCTAATTTGCCTTTCTCTGCGATGCGCATTTAAATGAAAGCTCAAATCACAGAACTTTGAATTTGTTTTTTGTGCCTTGGTATCTTTGAAAATAATAATGGAAAATTCAGATGGATTGAGTGCATTTAATACTTTTGAAAAGTGCAAAAATGAAAAAATTTGAAAAGCCCAGCTGAAAGACCGAAGACCTTAGTTTTAGGATACTCTTGGTATTTATTGAAAAGGATTCTTTGAGCATCTTGCTGATTAAGGCAAAAACAAATCTTACCGTAGTACAACTGAAGATTTTACTCAAAAACAATTTGAAAGCACTAGACTTACATGTATTCGATGGTTCCACAAAAAGTATGAGTGACAGTATCATCTTGAATATGTTCCTTACAAAGACCAAAGTCAGTTAATTTTACGTGCCCAGTAGCATCTAGTAGGATATTTTCTGGCTTTAAATCTCTGGAAAATAAAAACTTTGTTATAAGAAACATCAAGGCAAATTATTCAGGCGTGATTGACATTGATTCATATCTATACTATAAGCTCCAAGACCTCCTAATTTTGCGAAACTGGTGACGCTTAATTGCAGCGTTCCACCGGGCCGATTTTCATGATTTTTGCGGCTATCGACGGGCAATTGTCTCTAGATAAGCCAACTCTTTTCAGATTTTCAAAATATGGCCCAGGTTTTTTTATATTACGTGGTAAAGTTGCGAATTCTCCCATTTAAACAATGTAAATTTATACTTTTTGTCATAGTTCGTTTGAGCGTTCTACCGGGCCGATTTCCATGATTCTTGCGTAAATCGACAGGTAATAGGCCCTAGATGAGCCCGCTGTAATCAGATTTTGGAAAAAGGACCCAGGTTTTCTTAAAATCACGTTATAAAAGTGAGTGAGTTTACAGAATGCTCCGATACTGCTACCGCTATGCGCGGGAGGATGCGCAGTGGTCGAGGAGGTTGCGCAGTAGCTGTGTAGCCTGCGCATCAGCTCTACACTTATCAACCCTAGATTCGCGCCGGAAAGCGCACGTCGAGCGGTGGCCGAGCGGTCAAAAACGTCATATGGGTGCATATCGTATTCGATGTAGGTTCGATCCCCAATTCGCAATATTTTAATTATTACCTGACTATGATTGTTCATTGTTTTACTGCAATATTTCATCAAGCAGTCATTCGAAAACGCGTCCTTTTAATTTTAAAGTAATTTTAAGTAAAGTTTAAAATTAAAGTATACCTCATATCGTAATTTTTTAGGGGGAAAAATAAACCTAACACTGATTGGAGGGTAAAAATAGGGCCCCGAAGCGGCCCATTGATGGCGCGGAGCGCCTTCAGGGGGTTGGGCCGCGTAGCGGCCAGGGGGCGTAGCCCCCTAGTCTCTTCATATCTTTTCAGCCAGTGGTTCCAAATGATCTTGATTCCTCCTTCATCATACACCAATTTGCTGGAAAATCAAACTTCGCTTGGAAATGCCTATTTTTCGGGAAAAATTGTAACTTTTCGGAAAATTGATGGGTACAGGAGAAAAACCAAGGTTATTTACAGACTCAGTACTAAAAAATAGATAGGTATCACAAATTTAATACTATATAGTTCTAAAGAATTTCTATATGCACACTTGTGTAAGTAATAAAATGGTACAATTTGATGTTTTATTAAATAATTCTTCATTTGATGGCTCCTACAAGTTGTGCTCGTTAGAATCAACATATTTGCTCTAAAAATTGATTTACGCATTCTCGGAGCGACTTTTCTTTTGCAGTAAATTTTTGCTTTTGTATCATTAGGCTTTCTTTAAACAAGGAGGTCACTATAAAATAGCACCACAATCATAAAATCAAAACATGACTCCAACTTTCACCCTACTGAGAGACACCCACTTTCTTAAGAGTGGTCATGAAACAGCCTCCTTTTTTTTTTATTTCTGATACATCATCAGTGAGACATAGTGTTTTGCATCATGAATCCATCAATACTTTGATAGAACCACAAGTTGAAACTATACTAATAAAACCAATTGTAACAGCCAAGCTGATATCCAGTTTTCAACTTGCAAAGGAATGAACCTTGACAAACATACCTGTAGATAATTCCTAAGACATGTAGGTGTTCAAGAGCTAGTGTAATTTCGGCTAAGTAAAAACTGGAAAGAAAAGAAAATTCAAAGTTAAGAGGACTCAACGTTAAAACAGAACGAACTGAAATGTGGATTTTATGGATTTCACTTTTCAAAATATCATTTTGTCCACTAGGTATGTTACATGATTTACTGAGGCTATACTGTTTCTCTGTTAAGATTCTGACAAATGCTGATAGCATATTGATTTCAGAGAATTTTTTATATTTTAGAATTTATGATTACATAAATTTGTGATTTCTCCAAAAAAAAAAAAAAAAAAAAAAAAAAATAGCAACCCAGACCAGACATTCAGAATATGAGAATATTGACACCAAGTTCTGTAGTATACATGCACAGACCTTTGTAATTTTTAAAGAAAAATTATTGCATGTGCAGAAGTGGAGTTGCGGATACTTAGCATTAGGAAACAGATTTTAGGTATGAACTTTGACAGTTTTACTTGAGCTAAATTCTCTTTCATTCTGTATTGTGCTACTGGAGAAAAGTTGTTAAATAGTCAAATTTTGGAGAGAGGGCTGTTAAAGAGATTGGAGGCAGCTCATTTTTATGAATCTAAAAGACAAGCCCCAAATCATAAAATAACAAATAACTGGTCATACAGATCTAAGTTTTTTAATTAAAGTCAAACCGGAAAACCACAATGAAAAAGCTTTCCTGAACATATTTTCCATAACTAAGCATCAAGCTTTAGAGAACAGCTTACCGAGCAACCTCTTCTAATAACATTCCATCCTTTTCAAGTTTCATGAACAATTCACCGCCACTTAAATACTCCAAAATCAAATACAGTTTACCGCCAGTTTGAAAAGCATACTTCAAGTCGACAATAAAGGGGTGCTAAAACAATTACAAAATTTGACAAAATAATTTAAAAACTGAACCACAGGCAAGGCTCAGAGGGAAGAGGTGTTTCGGTTGTAACTTTGATGAAGGCTCTCTGAAGAAAAAATATTTCAAGAATAGATAATGACAAATTATTATTCCATTTAAAAGCTGTTGGATAGCTTTCAAGGATACTTGCTGGTGATCTCTGGTAAAAAGAAAAAATAAAGGATAAAGATTTTTAAAAATGAGGTTCATGTATTGGCTTGATGCAAAGAGGGCAAACCAGTGAGGCAAAAATAGGGTAGGTAGGAGGCAAAATTTTAAGGAATAAAAGAGGAGGGTGGGAGAGGGAAGAAAAAAAGGAAGAAGAGAAAAAAGATGAGGCAGAGGATAAACACTGAGAAGGTTTGATGTCGGTTATAAAATAAGCTTTGGTATTTTCAAAAATAGGGAGTCTATCATTCATCATGTAGTACTAACATGCAAATCACACTAAGATCGATTCAGCATTGTTATAAAAAATATCTACTAAACTGCTTGTCTTCTACATAGGTAAGTTAAGGGCAGAATTCAATTAATGAAATTTTACTCCAAGGAATTTTCAATGAATTAATCATCTGATAATTCCACGGAGATAAAAATTAACTTTGTCACCTACATTTGAGAGATATGCGGCACTCAGATAAATATGAAGCTACTTGAAATTTAAACTGAAATTAGCTTCATTACTTCATTAAGTGCTCTGATGGCAATAGTTGTCAGAAGATTATTTAGCATATTTAGGCCTTTCTTTGATTAATTCCTTTATTTTTATATTAATAATATTATTCATCTTGCACTGCAACTGAAATGATTCTTGTGAAATTCGAGATTGAGAAAATTCAATTTTTTCCATGTTTTGATGAGGATTTAAAAGTGCAAATGGGAATAAGGGGTCTCAGGTGCAACAACCTTAAAATAATTAATTTGAATCAAGAAAAATAATGGCTGTTTACACTCGCTGGCAAATGAATTCACACCAATGTAAGTGGATATTCGCTCACAGGATCCTGCACTGTACTACGGCTGTGGCTCTTAAAAATAGAAAAAACTAGAGGGACACAGGTTTCTGATTAACACAGAGAAAAATTTGCAAAGAGCGCACTCAAGTGTACTGCCGCCAACTAATCCCAGGTAACGGCTGAATGGAGATAAAGCCTTGAAAGCGTCTGATCAGAGCACTTAGGCTTACCGCAACAGTTCAATGAATGATTTGGATTGGGAAAAATCATGGTGGTTTACACTCGCTTAAACGAAAATTCACATTACTCTCGGGGGATACAAAGCATACAGCTAATAGAATTCAGAACTGTACTACAGCTGTAGCTTTCAAAAATGGAGGATTTGAGCTGCTATAAATTGAGCTGAAATGATCTGATGCTTTGAAAAAAGCATTTTCTGGTTGCTTGTTTTTCTGCTTACGTTTTTTATTAGGAATTTTGCAGTTATTAATTACAGGGATGTGGAAAATTCTGAGCATTTCAATTTTAAGAGTCCTGTTCAATTGCTTTAAATTTCAACCTTATCTTCTTGTGATTTATTCCCTTCAATTTTCTGCAATTTTGTAAAATTCTAAATTAATTTATCCAACTTGATTATTCTTCAGCGTCATTTCAAAATTACTGCGAGTGATTAAGAGAATAGCTGTTTGTTCAAATTTATCCTCGAAATCAATGAAAATTAAAACTTTTCTTGTTACAATTTGTTCTGCATTCCTTACATTTGTAGGAGCTATGATTCCTTGTTCAATATCAAACATACGATAGGAGTGTTATTTCGAAAAATCAATAAAATGAATAGAAAAGAGAAAGTTAAAAAAAAAAAAAAAAAAAAAAAAAAAAAAAGAAAACCTAGAAAAATTAAGTATTGGAACAGTTTATAGGGAAAGGTTAACAGAAAAAAATACAAACTATGAAGGGACAAGGAGAGGAAAAAAAATAAATTGCTAATACCCTTTCGCAATCAAACCAATACACATGAATTTCGTACAGACGAAAAAATCTTCTGACTCAGGCTTAAACTTCATCAAAGTCTGAAAAAGATGAAATTAAATTAAATAAAAAGGATAAATTGATTAGATAAATGGAACAGAAATACTATGGATATTACAAATTAGTGGATGATGAATCAGATCACCAGAGAGGGATTAATGTTGAGTCGATTATCCGTATGCTTTTCAAACTTTTGTGTTATTTCGACGAATTTTCCAAATGTGTTGAATTTTGTAGATTACAATCTAGAAGTAAAAGGCTCATGGAAGAGATAGAAAAGCAAAATGAAAAGATGAGGAAGGATGAAGTGGACATTACTATGAAAAAAAAAAAAAAATAATAAAAACTGAAATAAGAGATGAAAGCCAGAGACAAAATGGTACAGATGAGATGAGTGATACAGAGGCTGAATGATACAGTTCCCTTCATCATTATTGAGTTGTTCACTATCAACTTCAGTTTGGATGCGAAAACAAAAAACTGGGACTGGAGAGATGAGCCACTGGGCAAGGTCGGAACTGCGTACAGAATAGCGTCAGATGTATCTTCTTTAAAATTTAAGTAGAAAACTATTAAAATGATGGGAAGCTCAGAAATCAAAACCGAAACCGGATATTAATAAGTTTCTTAACACAGATCAAATGGAAGTTAAATCATACGAAATTAAATCATTTGTATTTTTGTCATTCAACCAATGGTGATTGTAAAAGCTTACACCGTATTTAAGGATTGATATGCAAACTTCCCCTTGTATGACTTGTATTTCTTGTGAAAGTTTGAGAGGAATACATGTGGCACAGTACTTCAATTCATACTATGTCTAGAGGCCCATTGAGAAGATAAACATAACAGAGTTCTTGGAAATATCTTCTTGAAAAAACTGCACCTAGCCATCTTCGTTTGTGAGTTAAAAGCAAAAAGTTGAGGGGTGTTCAGGCATTGGAAATTGTAGAGTGAATTACAAAAATGATACTGAAGTTATAATGGAAAATGTAGATCCAGAGTAAGACTGGTATTAAAAAATTGGAGTAGATCCAGAGTGAAACTGGTATCACAGAAGTGGAATACACTTACAGACGACTGAAAACATTTGGTGGTGAAAAGAAAAAAGTGCGTTTTCATTTATTAAAAAACATATACTACGTACATACTTGGTTACAAAGTACATTTCGAAGTCGCATTAAAATTAGGTTTGTAAAATGACTCCTCTCTAATTTTAAAAAGACTCCTAAGCGATTTGATATTGCTTCCTGCACTGAGCCTTAAGGTTGACTTAGCATGCTTTTGAGAGATGACTCGGTAAAACCTAGGTTAAGTATTGAATTAACAAAAAGCTCAACTCTTTAACTTCAAAAGTAACTGGCAATTACATCAGATGAAAATTAGTGTTGAATGAGAACTAAGTAATGTTTGAACTGAAGTACAGACTTAGACCAAAAATCTTGTTATTCTCTCTTTTTTTTTCTCTCTCTCTCGATGATGAAAAAGTGGTGAAGACTTCTTTATCTTTGTAATTATAGAGGAGCATGAGAAGGTGAAAAGAGGGGTGGGAGGTGGGAGAAATAAATACAGAAAAAAAAGGGAGAACAAGAATAATTCATACCTCGGTGCTTAGGAAAGGTATTAATAGGAGGAATACTAACAAGTCAGATACTTGTTTATCAAAGATAAAAAGATAAAATTTTGATACTTCAATTAATTACATGCAAATGGGATACGGTACTTCCTTTCTGTCACGAAAACTGTGGGACATTTAATCATTGAAACGTGTAAAGCAACTTCAGATTAAGTTAGGTAATTTTGTTAAACGCACCACAAAACGGGGAAGAGGGGTGAACAGGCAAAAAAGGAGGGACATGGGAATGATAGGCATTAAGATTATTTCCTTGATACAGGTAAGAACAGGTATTATTATTTTGAAAAAATCTTGATTTTTAGAGGAGGGTTAAAAGAGGTCTTCTGTGGGATAAGAACTCTCACGTTGGACTTCCTTTGGGGGGTTATTAGGATGAAAGCTTTAAGTTGATGATGGTGGGAAAAAAGTTAATTTAACACCTCAAGTATGTGGCTTGTTGAGTGAACACGCTTTGAGGAGGAAGCTTCACACTCACTTTGCTGAGCTTCTCATTTAGACAAGGTTTCTTGTTTTCGGGTCAAAAATATTTCCAATTCCAAGCCAGAATATTTATAGAATTAACTCCCGTATAATCCCAATCATTAAAAAAAAGCTTCCCAAACATGCATTTTGTGTCATGAGTTGCCGACAGCAAGTTATTGTTACAAAACAAGATTGTAAATGAAACACTCAATTCGGCGCGAAATTTTTTCCTTGGATGCAATCCGAAGCGATGATCGCTAAACTGCACCCAGCCACATAGCTCCGCTTGTATCATGCAAATTTGTGTTGCCTGCATTAACTCCTTCACATCACCATACACTTACAGTGAACAGAGTGGAACAAGTGTTGCAGAATTTACTGACTTGGAACATTGCAGAAAAATTAAGGGGAGAGAGGGAGGGTTAGATTAAAATGAGACTGTTAGGCGGGGTCTTAGTCTAAGTTCTCGCGGATAAATTATGGTAAAAAACCTCTAAATGTTTGGAAGAGATTGAGAAATTGATTCATTTGATTGATTGCGATCAAAATCAGATACACATTTAAATGCAATTACAACGTACAATACTCAAACAAGAGAATAGCTTTAATAACTAGAAGCTAAACAGGATATGAAATCCTTTATGTTAGATTTCATCCAACTTTACTTCTAAAAAAAGGAAAAAACAAAGAACGAGGCAGAAAAATAGAGTTTAAAATCAATTTAGTATAAAACTAAGAGGTTTAAGGATGGACATGGAAAAGGGACTGAATACATACATGATTCCCCCTATTAAAAAGCAGATTATGCCCCATACAGCCATTCTATCGAAGCATACTCCCTCATAACAGCTACCAATATATGAGGGATAAACACCGAAGGCTTTTTATTACCTTGAAAATGTCTAACTCACCGGGCATCGTCATCTGCAAAAATCCCTTCATTTTCTAAATGTCTGAATAACTCCCCACCACATAAATATTCCAAAACTAAATACAGCTTATCTTCTGTTTGAAAAGCATACTTTAGTTCCACAATAAATGGATGCTAGAACAGAATTGATGACTTGAAATGAGTAGATGGCAAGAAAAAAAAAAATCATACAGATTACAAATATAAGCCTGAAACCAGCAAGAAACTCTGTATACAAATATTCTATTGCATTTTTCTTTCACAGGAAAATGTAAAAAAATCGATGAATGTTTCATCTTAAAATTTAGGTAGGATTACATCCTAAATTACATTGCAAGAACATTCCTGCAACAGTGAACAATTCAAAACAAGAAAATGTGACACAGCTCATTGAAAAATAGTGTCATCATTTACGAAAAATGTCAAATCTTGTTCAGTATGAGAAAATTTAAGTTCATGAGTAGAAAAATCAATAAGCTGATGAATATTTTAATCAGATTTAGTGGAGGGGAGTGGAATTGGTCTTCAGGAACAAAAGGGAAACATTGCTGGTTTAGGCTGAGGACACAGTAGTGTCAGTCATAGCAACAATTCATTGCGAATTTGTAGTATGCTTTTCACTACAAGTTTTGCAGAAACTAAAAATATTTAATCTTAGTCCTAAGTCTTCAGTGCTTCGAACAAAATTTGGAGAAGGAAAAAATAGTACGATGAGTTCGAGTAATAGTCATCTCAAATGGAAAAATGGAGGGTAATGATAACTCGCAATAGTGCAGAAGGCCGATTATTGAAATTTAAACCAGCCCGATAAGACATCGAATTGCGATATATTGCACGGTTAAGGTAGGGCTATGTCTTGTCGTAAGCGCATCATAGAGTCGATGACATTTCAATAATCGCCCCGCAGGTTGCCGAAACACTTATTCCTACAACCCTTCTTAGGCAATTCGGTGGGGCAGGGTAGATATTAATTGGGGCAATACTTACAACCTGACCATTGCCCCCCCCCCCCTTCCAGCCTACTCAAAATTATAGGCCTAGAGAGCCCTTAGTTAATCACACGACTATTTTTGTTCAGTGCGCTATTGCATTGATCCATTGCATTGGCCGGTCATTTGAAAAATTTCAGTTGGAGGATAGGTCATAGTTTCTGTGAACTTTTTTTTAACAAGAATTGATTAAACAAAGTAAATGAGACTTTAAGGTAATTCTCTATATTCAGACATTTAGCAAAGAGAAGTATTGAAACTGTATGATATGATACACACTGGCTGACAAAATGATTTTGGTGGATAATCAATTTCTTTTGTTGGGTTTTGAAAGGAGAGGTAAAAGATGAGAACACTTTTGGATCATGGTAACTTCGAAGTTGATAGGACCTCACTTGAGTCTTACCCATGGATATAGAACAACATGTCTAGGTAAGCGGTGAGCTACCTGATAAGATTAACCTACAGTAAATACTAAATATTAGAGAGGTAAGTGTGACAATTTTTTTAGTACAAATAATCATAGCTCTTCAAAGGTGGGAAAGGGGGCAAGGGGAGGAAAACAAAGAGAGAATGAGAACAGAAGAGAGAAAATTTAAACTGGATTGAGAGGACTTTGGTAAATTCTGTCTGATGGAGCATTACGACTTACAAAAAAACCAACTCAAGTCTACACGCGTTTCAAAGGAGGATATCCTACTGAACCTGAAAAATAATTAAGACCATCCGCAAAAGTTGCTTGAGTAAACACTTAAGACTGCTGGATGGCAATTAAGTATCAATCATTATTAGTTAAAATTATTTTAACAAAAAAGAAAGGGTATTTCTGAACTCAGGTTATTTGATGAAAACTAGCAATGAAGGAAAATAAGGAAAGATCGAATTTTTTTTAAGGGAGCATGCGTTTTTCAAAAATAGAGAATACTAAAGACAATGAATGATGGAAAGAGAAAGAGTGACTTATAATTCAGGAGAGTACTGATACGACTGACGTATAGGATAGATAAAGAAAAATAAGTTACGAGAGTCTTGCGAAGAAAATACTAAAAATAGTCAAAAATACAAATCAAAAAGCAACAATGATGTACACAGGGAAGAGAAGAACATAGACTGATTTTGTCTTTAATTTCATTTTAAATTTAATAAATCTTGTAGCTTTGATAGGAGTAGAGGAATACCAAGAGTATGAATTGAATGAAATCAGTTATTCCGTAAGTCCATTTTTCACTGTCTCTGGAACTCTTCCAACTCAAGACTCAAGGAATTAGCTCTTTGAACAGGATTCAAGCGTGGTACTTTTACTTCAAATCAACAAAGTATTAACTTAAGTGAATAGACATAGTGCAGTTTATTTCTGTTTTACCATTACGTCATTGCTTGAAAAATATAATTTCCACTGGTCAACTAACTTCTACACCACATGTCGAGGTGAATTAGGCTGAATGGAGAAAAAGGTATAAATTTTGTACTCTGATCTGTAATCTGAAACTTACCCTCGACAAATTCAAATGGCAGTTAAAATTAGGGACCAATTAAAGTTTGGAGCGATACACTCCTTTGATAAAAAAAAAAATAAAGAATCAGAAAAAAAGGGACCAGATTCCGAACCATGAGCAATGATATAAAAACTCAAGAACAACTTTAAGAACAGGAATGGCATACATTCAGAGCTATAAATATTTAATTTATGAGAGGTTCTGTTGACTTCTAACAGCCTGTTGTACCTCATAGGTGAGAACCATTTGGAGATAGGAAACCGAAAGAAACATACACATTAACATTGATTTAATTGCAATTGTTGGTGATTGAACAATCTATCTTCTTTTCCCTGTTAAGGAAGTTGCCTTTTGAAAAGCATATTTCATTTGAGACTGCTGCAGTTGTGTACTTAGGAATCAATACAATTGCAAAGTACTACAGATAAAATCATTGGCTTACCATGATACTTTCTCAGATATGAAACTTTCTCTTTCTAGAATGGAAAATAATTCTCCACCAGGACAAAATTCCAAAATTAAAAACAGCTTACTATCGGTTTGAAAAGCATACTTCAAATCGACTATGAAAGGGTGCTATAACAAATGTCATAATACGAAAATATTTTATAGAATTACAGCAAAACATTTCAAACATTAAAGCGAACTTTAGCTTAGATTACTTACCACTTCTAAGTTATGACTTCGATCATTAGTTTCAATGAGGAAAATGATTCAAGTTATTCGACTCTTAACTGACGAGAGGTTTGATTTTGCAAAGAAAAGAGCTGCCTTACCCCTCCCCCCTTTTTTTTAAAGCTGTTTGGGACACTAGGTGATTACCTGGACAATTAGTCAGTGAAGGTCAAAATAGTGTGATTGTCTCCAGTCTCAATAAACAACATGCATCTCGATGACAAAGAGTCACGGAGTGGAGGGAGGGATTGTCTAAATAAGAAAATATGTCTTTGTGAGAAAATATTGGATGAAATGCAACATTTAACAGAATCTCATAATCTTTAACCTTAAGGAAAAGTCAGATCAGACATTCGATGTGCCCTCCTGCCATCTTACTGAGAAATAAACCGGAAGGATATTGAATTACCAGCAATTTTTATATTATTAGATCTTGTACCCTAATAAAGTTATTAAAAACTTTGCACTTTGTATGTTTTTTACTGACAAGTTTGGGCACATCCCATTTACTTACAATAACCGTAACTTATCTATGTAAGTCAGTTAAGGGTTGAATAGCCTGAAACAGTAAAAAAAAGTCAAAGAGAAAAAAGTGTGAGAAAATTTGTTGAGTCTGCAATTGATAAATGTACCTTCTCGGGAGTAAAGCAAAATACATCATAGGTTCTTCAATGGACCTTAATACACTTCTCATAAGAATGTTGCATAAACAACAACCAGTGTAAATTCATTTTTTTCTTTTCTTTAAAATTTCATGATGGAATAATTCCAAAAATATGGTACATTATGCGCCTAAGTAGTTTTTTTTTTTTTTGACGCTACTCATTTTCATTTGAGAACCTAACGCTAATATTTAAGCAGCATTGATTTATTTCTTCTATTAATCTGTTATGAAATTACTTAGATAGCAAATATAATATACTAACAACTAAGTAATACGTTTTTTCATAACAAATTGAAAGAAGAGATGAATCAAAGCTGCTTAAATACGTTTCAAACTGGTCTAATCATGTTGTCAAAGGTCTCCTTTTTTCTGCTTGCATTTCCTATGACGGTGAATAGTTGACAGTAAATCATTTTTCATTGTGAAGGCACGAGAACATTTTTAGTTTTGTTCTGTTAAATTAAGTTGGGATGGCCCCAAAATGTTTCAGAGAAGGGTCAATTTTTTGAAATTGTTCAGGGGAGACGCTGCACCAAAATTCTTAAGGATACACGAATTAATCGATATTCCTCTGATAAAGATAAAGATGTAAACAATTTGGTTACCTTAACAGCTTCTAATATACTCCTCTCTGCTTTGGTATGGGCGGTATCTTTTTGATTTCTAACAATTGATGCTTTCCGAAGTACTTTCATGGCGAAGATTTTTCCAGCATCAGTGCCTGTTAACTTGCAAACTTGAAAAACTTTTCCATAGCCACCTTTGCCCAGCACTTTCCTAAGTTCAAAATCTTTTGGGCCTACCCTTTCATTTGCAGGGTTAACAACCTTTTCAGACAAAGGCACAGAATCTGTTGCTTCAGCTCTGAAAAAATCAAAATTAATAGATAGAACACAAACATAATTGCACAAAAAAAGTTGAGGAGTGCAGGATCTACCGTTCCCTTAATCCATTTTACCATGTTTTTCTTACTTTTCAAACAAATTAAATGGTAGGGGAGTTGTTACTGCTTTTGCATGTATTTATTTACCTGTTTTAAACTTTTTTGAACATTTTTAACTCAAGTCAGAATCTTTATCGATCGAGGAGCGATACCACGGTCCTGGCTGATCATTCTCAGAGTGATACTCTGTCACAAACGTGGCCATTTTGGCCGTTCAAATTCTCAGGGCAAGAAATAAAAACTACTGTGCCATCTGAATAAAATAAGAAGCGAGATGAAAATAGCAGAAAATTAGTTTAGTAAAAAAGGAGAGGAAATTAAACGAAGTTTCCAACAAAAAATAGCTCCCCACATCCTCATCAAATTCTTGGAGCTAACTAAATATATGTAAATGTATGAATGTGAGGATGGAAGAAATTTGAAGCGCTAAAAGTTAGGCTGTTACTCTAATAAGAAGAGCAGAAACAAGTTGGTTGCCTCTCATTGACCCCCTTCCCCTAATTTCTCAGCCGAAAGAAAATACGTTCCCATCGAGTACGTTATAGTGCCAACCGGGTGAAGAGAAAAAATCTACTTACTCGGCAATGGCATTAACATTGGGATCCGGATCATATTCATTCTGAAACAGAAAAAACGGAAATAATCAGAAGTCTGACCACATTTTGAAAATCAATCTGAAAATGTATAGGAGAGGGAAAAATATACAAGGCCGATCACGACGTGTTCTACAGGTAAATAGAGAAGTCGACCAAAGAGATATATTTGTGCCGATGTACACAACACGATTTTTCATACGCTTTAATATAATTGAATCACTTTCTGTTAGACGGATGAGAGTCTAAAAAATCATGAGCCCTGACTGTCTTTGATCACGCAGGACGCTAGGGCTCATGAGTTTTTAGACTTATGCTTGTCTAACAGAAACTGATCAATTACGTGGGAATTAATAAAGGCACTAACTTCCCTGCGTGATTTTTTTTACGTTTTTTCAGTGATACTTATTCTTTGGTCTTTCTGAGGATTCGAAGATCGAGCTGATTGATCCTGTGAAAGTTCTACCTCGTCCAGTCATCGCTCATCGCACGATACCTTACGATTCTGCCGTGCTGAACCGCGACGAATTCATGATGAATCGTGCAACAATGGAAACCTACCACTGTGAGACAACCTCCTGTGTCGTTTTCTTTCTTTGGTCCCGAAAAAAATTTCCTATACAGGGTGCCTAGATTTTTTCAATTTGGGAAATCCTGATTTTGCCTGATTTTTGAATGCTAAATCCTGATTTCACAATATTTCCAAATCCTGATTTTTTGCGGAGAAAAATTAAGACTTCACAAATATAGCTCGATTAAAAAATCCCATCGGACGGCCAACTTTTCTCATATCCTGATTTTACGACCGATTTTTCCTCAAATCCTGATTAAATCGGGATTAAATCAAGGTTAATTCTTGATTAAATCGGGGTTAAATCCTGATTAAATCGGGATTAAATCCTGATTGACCTAAAATCCTGCGGCCCGATTATTGAAACTATGTCGGCCCGACACGACAAGACTACGCCCTATCTCAACCATGCAATATGTCGCGATTCGATGTCTTATCGGGCTGCTTTAAATTTCAATAATTGGCCCGCTGATAGAATCGGGAAAATCAGGAAAATCCTGGTGCTGAACACCCTGCTCTAGTACTTTTGTCCATATTTTTACCTTCGATCAGCAGACACTCCCATGCACGGAAACGGACAGTAAATAGAGCCTGATCAGGGTGATCGACTTTTGAAAAACTGTCTCTTGAATCGCGTACAAGTGCCACGGGATCATATTCAAATCTCTTGTTTACCGCTCCTCGACAGAAGACTAACGCACCTTTAAGGAGGTGTTACGGCTATACTGCCGTGCTAAGGAAGAACACTGTATGAACATTCAAGAGTTGCCAAATTTCCTTTGATAAAATGTTTATTTTTGAGGAAAGTTATGAACATTTTCCCCTGAAATTTTCAGGAAATTAGGGTGAAATTGCGAACAATAGAATCTGAAAAATTGGAAGGAAAATATTCATAAGGTTACCAGGAAATTTGTGTATTATTAAGGGAAATTTGGCAACGCCTGAAGGTTCATACGGCGTAACGGCGTTTTTCCTTAGCACGGCAGAGAAATTAACCTGCGCCAGCCGAGCAGGAGGGTGATGATGAAGATGATTGGGAGCATTTTACCGATTGAAGGAGAAGGAAAACACAGATAAATAATGGCACACCTTTGGTTTTAACAGAGTCAGTTTTCCTGCATAGAACGACACTTTTCATGAATGAAAAATGTAAACACTAGATATTTTGTAGAAATCGAGAGTAAGAAGGGTAAAATGATGGCATCCGGTCACGGCGAAATTCTTTACGAATGTAACCGAGAAACTGTCGAGTCATTTCCTCTAAAAATTCTTAAATAAACTTGTCACTTTACCGACGACGGTGCCAAATCTATGCATTTTTTTTAAATGGTACGAGATCAATGTAGGTCTCCCATAAGGAGGGGTCCGAGAGATGCCCTCCAGCTCGAAGAGGGATCCAGGGAAGGACCCTTAAAATTTAAAAAAAAAAAAAAAAAAAAAATGCAGCATCTTTTACACGACATTTTCAGTATATTCAGTACTTTCCGATTCTTGTTTACTAAAAATTAAATTTTTAAGAACTTAATACCTAAAAATTTTAAGAATCCTCCGATACTTGGATTACATTTTGCAATAAAGAACCACTATCTCTGGCTCTCCCATAAAAGCACATATCTGCATAGGGAAATCGATGTCATGTATATTGTTTCTACGATGGGACAGAAATAGTGGTTAAGCCTTATTGCAAAATGTATAATCCACTTCTAAAACCTACCAATAGCGACCGTACTAAAAAAGAGATATTACATCTAAATTCTTCCATTTTTGGTAACAATGATTTTCTGGTCAAATAAACGTAACACATGCCATTTGGATGGCTTTTTGCATCTAGGAACCAGGAGCATTGCAACGTTGCTAAGATTGTGCAGCTTCTTTTGTCTTGGAAGAAAAACCTTATTATCTACAGACAGTTTCTACTTGACTTGCTAAAAATTGTAAATTTAGGACAAAAATTACCATTTAAATTTCACCAAGTAAATTTTTTCAGGATTTCAATAGTTACACTGCAATGGATAAAGTTGCACAATCTTAGCAACATTAAAATGTTCTTGGTTCCTTTTTGTAAAATGGAATCCACTTGGTGGACATCATAATCATGTCTAATGAGTAGTGACTTCGATAACATGCTAATGTTGTTTTGAGTGCGAGGAATAACATATTTAGAGGGGAAAAACGCGATCACAGTGCAGATTACTGCTAAGACATCGATAATGTCGCTATTTTTAGCTGCTTTCGGGGGAAAATCACGAGGAGACACATCAATCGACTCCGAATGCTACGCTCATTATGCAATACAATTCAAAACTGGGCCCGAGTTTTAAATTAACGACGTTAAAAATTAAAATTCGCAATTTAGAAACTTCTTAAGCGCACAGAAGTGGATCCAGCGGTTTGGCAAAACCGGATTTCCCCCATTTAAACCTATGCTTAATAATAATCGGAGCACCTGGCCTCTCCAAAAATCGATACATTTCCATAGGTTTAAATGGAGAAAAGACCATGTCGCCAATTTGCTGGATCCGCCAATACAGCGCATTTGGAATTTTTTGGATGAAAAAAGGACCTTGCGGGCACCTGACATGATGTGACAGCGCCGAGGAGAGAGGATCCTTAAACTTGTGCTGATTAATAAAAAAAAAAATGAAAATAATAAAACCGATCATACGGCACGAGGCGAGCTCCCCCCCCCCCCCCCCCCCCCCCCGGGAGGAAAACCGCTGTGTACGCCCGATGAGGCCCAGCTCCGGTTCCGGGCACGACGAGCAAGACCGACTATCGGTACAGTTCCATCTGACGCTATGGTAAAGAATCGATAATTAAGATGTTGGTTGCGAACACCCTGATAATCGATACTTTCCGATGGGTTTAATGATCGGAAGATCGATCGATTCATCGGAGGGCACGAGAAGCCGCTGGCGCAGCAGTGCGAAAGTGCCCCGGCCGCCTGAAGCGGTGGCTAAGCGGAGACAAGTTTATAATAAGAGGCTGAAGTAAAGGTCTTGTGACCTTCGATTACGCAATGGATAGCACGGCTCGACCGATTATCGAGTCCCCCGTGCAGATGATCAATGCAAAATTCGCCATTGTGGAAAGCCGAGCCCCGCGTCCTGGCGTCCCACGTTCGAGCTGCCTGATCCAATCCAATTCGCGGATTTTCATCTTTCTCCACTCCTCCCTCCCTCTCTCCCGCGGCGCACAGTGGATCGAGGTAATAGGAGAGGTCGGACGAAATTCGCAAACTTCACTGAAAAAAAATTCTCGGCGTTTTTACCAAGGTCCGTTGGTACCTTTACCATCTCACTTTTTTTACCAATTATGGGTAATTTTACCTAGACAGTCTGGTAAGCTTACCAAAAAAACGGTATTTTTACTGTTTTTTCCAGGTAAGAATACCACTTTTATTGGTAATCAATTCCCGGTAAGTTTGCCATTTTATCTCGGTAATTCTACCACAGTTGATAAAAATTATTGGCGTTTTTACCAAGGTCCAGGAAAATTACCGAAAAAGTTCAATAATTTTACCGAGATTTCTCGGTAAAATTACCAATTCCATAAATGGTAATTTTACCAAGAAAAAACTGGGATCAAATAGAACCCTGAATTCTTGGTAATTTTACCCTTTTCTTTGTAAATACACCGAGATTTTTTTTCAGTGTTTAAACGCTCATAACTCCGTTTATACAAGACTCAAAACGTGGTTCGATCGGTTTTTTCATGAAAGTCGCTTCAAAAACCACCCCTAGAAATTTAAATATGACGAAATAAACGTCAAAATTTGAAATTTTAGTAAAAAATTCAGTGTCCGACCTCTCTAATTGACGCGTTCCATTGTGCGGCACGGTGACACCCGACACGCGTAGCCACCAACTTTTCACTGGAATCGCGTTGACTCTTCGTTGTCACCATTCACCAATGGCGTGGTGTGAATTGCGATGTATCGATTGTTATGCCATTTAAACATATGGTAAAGAATCGATTATTAAGGTGTTTGCTACTAACACCCTGTCTATCGATCCTTTTCCATAGGTTTAAATAGCAGATCAATCGATACATCGCAAAGCATGCCACGCCACTGCCATTCACCTTGTATGCCGCCCGTCGCGGTAAGTCAAAGATCAGTAAATCCATATTTTGGATCAAGTCCTCAGGGTGTCTACTAAAATTTCCTTATGCATTTTCCGGATTTTCTTTGATATTTAAAATGGAATTTCCTAATTTATTGCACGGTTTAATTCACACTTCAGGGTGTCAAGATTTGTTTTTTCATTATGGGAAATCCTGATTTTTGACTGCTAAATCCTGATCGCATTATTTTTCCAAATCCTGATTTTTTGCGGATACAATGAGGTGAATGTAACTTCACAAAAATAGATCGATAAAAAAATCCAATCGGGCGGCCGACTTTTCTTAAAACCTGATTTTACGACCGATTTTTCCTCAAATCCAGATGATATA